AGCCCATTGTGGCTTCCATTGTATTCTCCAGGATGTCCGACATTAATCTCCCTTCCTCCGTTGGGTGGGCAGCAATCATATGTGTCATCAGGGTCAGCTGGGGCCTTACCCTTACTGGTCCCACCATAGGGGGCCTCTGGGGGAAATACTTTTCCAAATTTCCTCTGATACCATTTGCGTAATGCTGAGTCTGTAGGCATTCCTGTTGGAAAGGGGTCTCCACTCCTGGCATGCATAGCTTTCCTAAGCTCCTCTGCCATAGCAAGCCTTTGATCTTCCAACTGTTGTCTCAGCTCCTCTTCTAAGAAGGTCCTTGTAGGCATCTCAGGAGCAGACTCTCCATGACCGATAGTCATGGACATAGTGGGTGATTTGCAAGCTTCCTGTTCTTCTTTGAGGACTGATCTGAAAGAAGTCTTGGACTTCTGATCGTCTTCTTCTTCTGAACTAAGCGTGACTTCCAAATCCCTAAACCAGGATAAATAAGATAACCGTGGGTTGGTAGCAGTGACCAAGGGACCGAGTCGTCCTAAAGGGATGGGCAGTAAAGGTGGATTCCTACCGAGCCCAAGGGGATTAGGTTGAGGAGGGACTGGGCGCCTCGATTTCTGTGGGTTAGACACTTTAACAAGAAGTGATAATGAAGGCTGAGGGAGGATTTATTTCTCAAAAGAAACCTGTCAGCATGGGGGTAGAAAATATGGTGCACTGTGAGTCAAAGTGAGGTTCAGTGGTGAAAACCAACCAAAACCAACACAAAAGACAATGAAAGCGAGTGGTGGTGTGCCTATGCGGTACCTAGATGGTAGAACCTGTTCTTTGGGAGGGTTTTTGCGAGCTACAACACTCAAAGATGAGTGCTGAGGGTTGGGGGTGCTCCTGACAAAGAGGGAGCAAGAATGTGATAGAAAGCGATAGGGTAGACTGCTGTCAGCCTACAGAAGGATGGATGGTGACTTAATTCAATGTCCTAAGCTGTACTGAGCTCAGGGAGGGCTTGGAGCAAAGTATATGGATGATAGATGATGATAAGTGAAGTAGATGATAGCTAGACCCTTAATAAAGTCTCAACTATCAAAGCTGATGAATGATTTACTGAGAGATGATAAATTGCAAGCAAGAGGGGCTCTCTGATGTCTTCTTCTTTTTTTTTTTTTGCTACCTAAGTACAGTGACTTATATACAGTACAGGGGCGTTGCCTATGGAAAACAAGGTGCAAACACTTGGTAAGTGATTGGTAACTGATGAGTAAGGAATGTAAGCGATGGGTAATCATCTTGGAAAGCATTGGTAAGCATTGGTAAGGATAAGTAAGCCAAAAAGCAAAGAATCAGTAAGCAAAGTCAAAAGATTGGTAAGTATTGGCAATAGGTGAGTCAAAGACAGTCAGAATGTCACAGTATGAGTCAAGCAATGTCAGGAACTGGGAAAGTGCACTGGAATCACATTAGGGGGAGGCCGTGCATGTCACATCTCAAAGAGATCACTTCTAGGCCAAAGTGGGATGACAGAGAGGCAGCACTGATCTGATGCCAATATAGTACATCCAAAAGCAGACAGGGTGAGTCAGATGTCAACAGGGGTCAAGCTTTGGGGGTCTGTGGGGTGACAGGAGCATAGGGGATTGCAACTTCCCCCCCCCCCAAACCATCCTCTCAGTGAAGCAAATAAAAACTTCATGAATGAGGCTCTGTTGGAAGAGAGGATGAAGGGGGAGCATCTTCTGCTAGATTATACTGTAGCTGTCACAATTTTGGAAGAATGATGGATGAGACTGGTATGAAGACATTGCAGGGGGCAGGGAGGAAGGATCCATATGCTTCTTGGACTGGAGAGACTGAAATGACCACATAAGACCTTTCCAAGCAAACAACAGACCTGAGGCAACCAAAGAACATCCTCCTGGAGGTCATACTGACAAAAAGAACATGCTGTCCAAGCTGGATGGGCTGATAGGGGGCAGATGAGGGTGGGATGTACCAGGACACTTCAGGATGGAAGCTGGTAGGAACTCCTGGTAGATATATGTAGCCATGGTCCCTAGCAAAGGGGACAAGCAAAATGACTGATGTGGAGGCAGCCATATCAGAAGAATTAGCAAAATGAGCATCTTTTGGAGGGAGTGCTGTAGAAACATGTGGAGTGCACAAATCCTTTCCAATCCTGGAAGGTAGGATCACGTGGCTGAGCACTACAAGCGAGTGTGGGAATGGTTTCAGTGTCTGCAGAATTGGTGGAGATATGTCGAAAACTGGAATGCCATACATGGGCGCTTAAGAACTTTATTGGCGCTTAACCTGCCTCCTCCTTTTTCTTTGCTATTGACAACTTGTTCTTGTGTGAGGGATGACTGCCGACATTGCTGGCTGTCCTTCTTCGCATGAGAGCTATGGTCTTCACCTCCATTCATCAGCTACATCCATGTCCACCTCACCAAACACCTTTGGTGTGTGACACCACCCTTGCCAGGGATGATGAGCAGTGATTACCTGGACATTGTTAGGGTGCTTGATGTCTTCCATGATGGGGACGACATTGATGGGTGCTCACCAGAACAGGTTGAGTATTTTAGGTTGCTGTCTGAAATCTACCAAGCGACAGATGTGATCAACTCTGCCATCTTGAAGATTCAGACTCAGAAACTGAACAGTACCATGCCCCTGTTGGAGGTGATAATGGTAAACATGTTAGAATAAGGATCTTTGGATATTACCAAAGCCATCACTGGCGGGGCCTATCACCATTTACATAACCAACAGATTGGAGAGTTCTTGGCTCCACCTGCTTCCTGAATTCTTGACCACATCAAGCCAAAACAAGAGGAACCATCAGTTTTGGCAAAGGTTAAAGAAGACCTGACAGATCAGGAGAAGGAGAAGCAGTGGCATGCCATGGAATTAGGGTTTGTCAACTCTGGGGAGCTGTTTAAAGAGGTTGGTGCCTGCCTAGGAACTGGGACTCACAACTCTGCTTGGGAGGTTTTACTGCAGGACACTTTGTGGGCTGGGCTTCACAAGAACTATCATAATGCCGTCCACTCTGCTGACCCTCTCCCTGCAACTCCCTTCGTCCCTGTCCCTTCTGATCAGCTTTGGTTCTACCTTGGAGGACAGTCCCCTGTCCCCACTGACCATGTCCTCTGTCAGCACATGTGCTACCAGTGCCATTACTTGGGACATTGGTCATGCCACAATGGACGTGGCTCCTGCTATACTCTGGCCCTCAAGGAACTGCCAACTCCATCACCATCATCACCCATCACCACTCAGACATGCTCCCACGTCTATACTACTTGCAGACCCCTTTCCTCCCATCCTGCTAACATGCCAGATCCATCCTCAAGGGTCTGAGGACCTTAGAGGGGGGGTGATGTTACACTTCTGTCAGGGGTCTTTCCTTTTTTGCCTCCTTGTGGTCACATGCATCACATGCCTCATCACATCTCTAATAATTGTCGCTGTCCTAGGGGCTCATATGCTTGAAGGATCATTCAGATCTCCCACTGTCAAGGTATTTCCAATACCTGTGGAGACTGTGCCTCTCCTTTGATCCGGTGTCCCACCACCCTCTCTGATGGATGACTTGTTTCTTTCTTGTTCCAATGACTCGTTTACGTTGCTCATATGTTGTACTATAGCTCCGGTGTCTGGCTCCTCACTGCACTTTGATTGCACAGCTGGTATAGCCTTCATCTCCCTGCCTACCCCCATCTCTGACACTGAATGACTCCTATTTATTTGACTGATGGCTTTGTTGACTACTGCAGATACACATCACTCGCAACTGGTACAGTACTTGTACTTAGGGGTATATAGACCTATGTACTCCATCATGTATCCCCAGTTTTTCAATAGCTTGCAACTCAGCTAACTTCCTTCTCTTTCATCCTTATTCTCTCTCCATGCAACAACCTAAATGGATTGCCAGTAGACAGAATCTCTGTTGGACTTCAGAGATAACTGAGCCATAGGGGTTATGACACATTCAGCCCATAGACTCCCCCTCACACGCTTCATGCCTATTCCATTTGAAGAAGTCACCACGCTCAGGCATAACAGCTGACCTTCAGAGGAAGTTTTTCCCAGGATTTAATGCTGAAACAATCTGACAAAGGCTATGTGCATGTGGCCTAAAGGCCTATGTATGTCACCCAAAGCCTCTTTTGACTGATGCTCACAAGAAAAGGCAATTCAAGTGGGCAAAGGCCCATGCTGACTGGACAGCAGAGAATTGGAAGGCTGTTGTCTTCTCAGATGAATCTAAATTCAATCATTTTGGGTCAGACAGCCATGAATGGTGTTGGAGGAAGCCTGGGGAGGACTTTGATGCATGCTACACCAGGAAGGTGGTGAAACACGGTGGTGGCAGCATCATGGTGTGGGGGTGCATCACAGCCACCAGGCCAGGCTGGATATGTCACATTGAAGGTCATATGGATGCAAAGCTCTATGTTGAAATCCTGCAAGATGAGCTTCTGGGAACCCTCAGTGACCTTGGAATGAAGAAGAAAAATGTCACAGACTTATGGAATGCCATTGTTGAGGAGTGGGAGAGCATCGAAGAAAGCTACCTTACTTCACTTTATGACAGCATGCCAGAGCATGTTCAGGCTCTTCTTGCAGCTAAAGGTGGCCACACTAGGTATTAGAATTTTCTTGTTCATACCATGCATATTGGACTGGTGACATTAACTTCTTTCGAGCACATACCACATCCAAATATGAATTGCACAGTACCTTTTTTCATAATCATCTCATGCACATTGACACTCCTTTTTTCCTATTATCTTTTGCATACTGCCATTATCCCTGCAATTATCGCTATCTAACGAGCTATTAATCAATGTCTTTGCTTCAGTTATTGTCGAGCGAGATGAGCACTGGTTGGATTATTAATGCTGTGCATTACTTAATTGAGACACTGTACGTGAGTCGAATGTTACTGCATCTTCCAAGTTACTACAGAAGACATACTAACCTCCCACGCACGCCCTTGGAAACGCGTCTGTGATGTTGTCCTTTGGATTCCATTTATGTAAAGCATCATAACCACGCCTGCTATGGTAATTGTAACCCTGCTTCCACATATTCCACCGCCCAAGCTGTGCAAATAAAGAGCAGTCTCAATGGAAAAATGGCTGTAGGCTCAGCTCTGCACACACAATGGATACTGCGTGGAGGGATGTCCGCCAGGGTATATAAGAACGTCTTTACCACAGCGCCGTCTCACATCTACTTCGCCCATTACCACCGCCGACTCTTGTATCGAAATACCATGCGGGACCCCTACGCATACCCTTCGTCGTCTACCACAGAGGCCACCCGGTCGACATCGTCCATAACAAACACGCTAAGCGCGAACCCACACTACGTATGTGGGCTCACCTATAATCTTACTCGTGATATTGATGCTTCCTCACGTCGTAGGCCATCTACATGACAGGACCCCCTGTCAATAACCCGGCTTATCCGTATCCAGCACGCAATGTACTAAACCCTAATTCGTACCCTGCGTATACTCCGCTGTTGACGAAGCGGGACAAACAAGGAAAAGACAGGAAGCATTCCCAGTACAGATCTGATGTCCTTGCAAATTACCGTCCCTTGCCACCACCGTATTCACCAGACGGTTATCAAGTCAGAGCGGAGTTTCCGCCGATCCAGCTTCAGCAGAGGAACAGTGATGTTCCATTCGCCATTAAGGAAACCGGGTGTATTACGAATAGCGAGCGGGCCATCCTGGTCAAAGACTCGGTAAGTCGAACGTCTTCGCTGAGCTCAACGGTGAGTAATAGTCCCATTTCTCCAGTGGACCGGGTGCGAGCGACACGCTGCAGAGAAGCGCATTCCCACCGGAAAAAGACGTGCTCACACGTAGCTTGTTGTTAGTCACCAGATTATCGGGAGGCATACCTTTTGGGAAAATTGCGTCATACCTTGTGGGGGGAGTTGCTGGCGACCAGAGATACTCTGCCCGAGGAGATGAGTTCCCTCGGGCATGATACGTCATATTTGAGTGTATCCATATAAATATGTATGGAGCTTGATGCTCTGGATAAAGGTAAACATTCAAGATGTAATGGTAAATAATGCAAGTGATATCTTGTCCATGTGTTGCAGGGTCAAGGTTGGAATTCACTTCCCGAAGGCAAATCATGAGTCCCAACAAGAGCACATCATTGTGGAGCCGCGTTTGCTTCCGTACTGGTGGGCCTGTTGATAGAAACTTCTGTTGCCAAACGCGAGATGTCTGAAAATGCCGCCTTCAGCATGTCTAGGTCACCCTCGAGTGCTTCCGCCTGAGACTTCATCTGTTGGAAGTCAAGAACCCTAAAGGATGGACACTGATGGCCTGCGCACCACTGCTATTGTATCTCGTGCGGCGATAAGTTCGTGGTGATGATTATATACGAGTGATTGTCGTTCGCTGTCGAGCTGTCGTATTTCTGTAGTCTCGGTGAGGAACAAGGATGGCGCGTACTATGCGGGACTTGCCTGATAGCAGCTCAAACTCTCGCTTTATTAAGGTGGGTAGAGTTGATGTCGTGATCAACTGGTCATAATAGGACTTTGCGTCAAATGCAACGGAATCTGCATCAAGGACATAATTGTTTTATGGTTGCAACCCATGTGAAGAACGTGGGATGTAGCCGTACCCATATTCATCGGATCGTTTTGGTTACCAGGCAGCGGAGGAGGGGGTCCAACACCCAGACCATAGTGCTTTCTTAGTAGGTCCCTAGCCCTCGACTTTGGAGCTGAGCCATGAGGAACAGGTAGTGAATGGGGCGGCTGCTGGCGCGGGGAAGTTGGCCGGGATGATGTAGCAGATGGAGGGGTTGTTGGACGTAGCGGGGAAGACACCACTCTCGGTGTTGACTGCTTGCGCTGTTGCTTTGGTGAGGAGGGCTGGGAGGACATTGCGACGGCAGTCTGTCCCAGCTGGACATGCACTCGACAGTATGATTATGTCAGCTATCCTAAACAGTCCAGTCTATTTCCAGATTTGGTACAGATATTGCGCGCAGTTAAGTTCTTCCATTGACCGTCTGACATGCCACTGGACTCGTCACCGCTGACTGAAGTAATTGAAATCCCAACATCGGATAGCGGCGAAGATGAGAGCGGACTGTTTTCTTCTCCAAAAGCACCATCGAGGCCCAAGAAGGCGCCCGAACAACCACCCGGAGACCGCAAGCGCAAGCGGAAGGTTGTTCTGTCCGACGACGACGACCTGCTTCCGATCGTAATCACTTCGTCTCCAGCTCCCCCAGCAAAAACACGTCGTTCTTGGACAACATCAGCCAAGGCCTTCCCGGCGACCGAGAAAAGCGCAAACAAGGTAGTAGCCCGCGTGTCGCTGATCGGACGCCTACTCACCACGTACTCAGCACAACTCCCGCTCACACACACCGAGTCCTCCAGACCGAGTCCCAGACTTTGATCCTCCGAAGTCAGTCGCCTCGCCAGTTCGCCCTCCAGCCTCTGGAAAACCTAAAGCTACCCCGATGAGCGAGCTCATCCGACGCGTGAATTCTCAGCCGAGTTCCCCATTTCCAAAAACTAGTCGACCGTACTCGCCACTGCTCAAGTCCTCACGAACGATGCTATCGCGCATTGCGCCACTACATCCCACGCGACGAACGCCTCCGCCGCCACCTCCTAGACCCCCGCCCCCAAAGAAGAGCAAGAAACAAGTTGAGCTGGAGGAGAGGATTGAAGAAGAGCTTGCAGAGACCATCGAAGGGTGGTCGTGTATGACTGAGGAAGAGAGGAAGGAACTGAGGAGGGCGAGATTGGACGCAGAACTGGGATACGAGTAGGTTACAGGTGGCCCATGGACAGATTACTGTTAGACTAGAAATGCCCCCTATGTAAGCCTAGTACGTTTGCAATTGCCGGTGTGGCTGTGTTGTTGCTCTGCCGCTGGTGCTGGCGGTGCAGTGGATATTACATTGGCCAGGTTGCAAAAACCAACAACGAACGGAAGATTTTGGATCAATAGTCGGTCGCCTCCATTCACCCCGGAATACTCATGGCTCTTCCTCAGCTCTTGAACGCACTCGACACGTTGAAAGAACAGGCCAAGGATGCCATATGGGCTATATCCTCTTGTATCTGCCAACAGTCGGCACGGGTAAAAATTAACGGGCGGACGTGTCAGTGATCATTTTTACACACATTCCATATTGTTCTGGATATCTTTTTCCCTCTATGCAGTACTGAATCGGAGGTTCATTTTCATCCAGTTAACATCGTCAAAGTGCTCGGAGAAGGCGGGTTCTCGTTTGTTTATCTTGCACAGGATGAAACGAGTGGTGTGAGTGCTTGATTGATGAAACCTTTGATTGCGGTGGTCACATATCTGCATCGCAGCGACAATTTGCGCTAAAAAAGATCAGATGTCCCACTGGCTCAGAAGGTGTGAAGGAAGCCATGCGCGAGGTCGAGGCATACCGACGATTCCGGTACAGTTGTCGACTTCAATACTGCACCACTTGATGACTCTACCTCTTCAGGCACCCTAACATTATTCGGATACTTGTAAGTATCATAACAACTCCTTCCAATGCCTGTCAGTTAACTTTGGATAGGATTCCGCAGTGGTGCAAGACCCAGAAGGCGAAGGTCAAATCGTCTACCTTTTCCTCCCACTATACAAGGTACGGGAATTTCACCTTTCCTGCGTCTCTCCCTCATATATGGACAGCGGGGAAATGTGCAAGATGCCATTAATTCGAATGTAATCAATGGGAAGCATTTCTCAGAAAAGGAGATGCTTCGTATCTTTAAAGGGACCTGCGAGGCCGTTCGCGCAATGCACGACTACCATGCAGGTGCTGGGTCGGAAGCACGTCCCCAGATGTCTCCTACGCGTCATGCCATGGGATCGTCGTCGCGTACGCGCTCGCCGGTCGACCACCATTCCGATGACGAAGAGCAAGATGAACTATTGTCGCACCCTGAAGGTGACGAGGACGGCGGATATGCCTACAAGTCGTCTGTGAATGTGCCACTTGTCACCACGCGCCGTGTAGAGGAAGGTGACACCGTATTCGATGGCGACGAGGACACCCGAAAAGTGAATTCGAACGATGGCAGCACCAGAACAAACCTACACGTACCTTACGCCCACCGAGATATTAAACCTGGGTAGGGCTTTCCGTTCAGGTTGTCCAACTACTTCTCGTTTACCATCATTTTAGAAATGTCATGCTTGCCGATGGTGGTATGCCGATCCTCATGGATTTCGGAAGCACGGTCAAGGCCCGGATCCCCATAGAATCAAGATCACAGGCACTGGTACAGCAGGTAGGCCACTACTGTGCGCTGGAATTTGTCAAGGTGTCAACGTACACAGGACATCGCAGCTGAACAAAGCACCATGGCATACAGAGCGCCTGAATTGTTCGATGTCAAGACTGGCATTACCCTAGACGAGAAAGTGGACATCTGGGTAAGACACATCAACACCATACCCCTCGCTTGCTGATATAGCGCCTTAGTCACTTGGATGCACTTTGTATGCCATGGCATATTCGCATTCACCGTTTGAAAACACTCAGACGACGGAGCAAGGAGGTTCGATTGCCATGGCCGTCCTCAACGCACAGTACAGCCATCCAGACTCAGCATATTCACAAGGCCTTAGAGAACTTATTGACATGATGTTGAAGGTCAACCCAAAGGACCGGCCAGATATTCATCAGGTAATTTGTACAACTGCGTCAGCATCAGTTGCATGCTAATTGTCGGTGCAGGTCGTCGCAGCTACTGACAATCTTCTTCGATCTTTTGCGTAGATAGACTGGACACGATCTGCAGAGGAACTAGGATGTAGTTTATTCAGGAAGTCGAAAATATACATGACATACCAGTTTACCCCTAGCACCTGATTAGCTGTCAGTTGTCGTTATCTTTCTGGTGCTCTTTTTCGATTTTTTGTGGGTGTTTTCCTGGACACGCGGTGCTTTCTCCTTGTCAATTGTCTGGGGTTTGGAAAGTACAGGTTGGGTTTGTTCAAGTTTTTGACGTTTCGCAGGTCGCCTAGATGTACTTTGCTGCACCCGCTCGGAAACTTTGCCCGGTGTAGTGGCACTATCGGTGTTGGCTGCACCATCCTTCGGAGCTTTCGTCTTTGCTTTTCTCGTTATCGCCTTGGTTTTAAGTTCCTTATGTCGCTTCCTCTTCTCCTTAAGGGCTACTTGCTTCGCTTGCTATCCAAGGTCCAAGGTGGTCAAATAATGACTGGCGACATTATGTGCCTTACGCGTTTCAGAGCCCTTTTCGACAACTGATTTGGTGGGAGCTCCTGTTCACTCCCCTGGGCCCAAAGCACCCTGACAATGTCCCATGCGTTGTCGGTTGAATTTGCCGTCGATGCAAGTGCCTTGAAACGGTCGTAGTGTCGTTTGTGAGCCTGAAACCAGGTACGTATGGCTTGTATCAAGTCCAGCACCGAAAAAGAAGGTGAACGCACAGTAGAGCCCTTATGGACGGCGGCCATGTCCGCATTCTTGATGATTTTTCCCCTGCACAGAACGCACCCGTAAACTGTGGGGTCTATGGATATCAAATAGACAGGATCTTTGAGTGCTTCTTCGATAGATATTGGTGATTCCTCCTCGTCTTCGTCTTCGTCGACGTCCCCTTCGCTGTCATGCTCTCCATTTAGCACTGACACCAAATCTTCGCCTGCCTGGTTATCCTCCCCCGACTCCGTTTCCGTTTCCGATTCGTCAGAGTCTGTCTCGTTGAAGCCTAGTAGTTCCCTCGTTTCTTCGTCCAGCCCTAGTTTTTCCTCGTCGTCGCGTCTTTTACGTCTCCTCTCGACCCGCTTGAACATCGTGTAGTGTATCGGAAAATGACCCTAGAAATTCACGCGAGTGTGGTAAAGAGCCAACTCGGCTTCATACGAGTGGCATCCGCGACACCGCCACCACACTTTTTCATCCATGCGTCCACTGCCTCTCCGCGCTCGGGTCGGTGCCTCCGCGTCAAAGAAACTCGTCCCGCTTGGAGAACTCGGCAAGTTAATCGACAGAAGACTAAGCAAGACATCGAATGACGTCGAGAACGACAAGCCCACGCTCCGGTCGGAACCTCCCGATACCCCCCTGTCCTTCCGGAAGGCCCGCGAAAGCAACACACGAGCGCCAGTCAGTGGATCGCTATCTATGACACAAAGTTCCCAACATGAAACTGACGAGGGAATCGTGGAATTGACGACCGTTGCAGACAGGCTTGTCCGCACGGCAGCACGGACGCAGTTTTACGCGAGCCACGGATGGAAATACACCAAATCTCTTCGGGGAGATGATGGTCGTATTGAAAACGCGCTGAAGGCGGCTGCGGCTAGCAAAAATGCGCTAAATCTTCGGGCGTTTCCTGACGGCGTAAGAGGAGAGGCTTTGGATCTACTGGAGGAAGAGGATGTGTCAGTACTTCACCAGATCCCAGCTGGAACCTTCGTGGAGATTCGGAGGTGGGTCATTATATCTCAATTTTAGTATGGGTGCGAGCTGAATGTTTATTCTAGAGGGTCATTGACGACCACTGGCATTGTGATCAGGAACGCTCTCATCGAGGGTCGCAACTTTTCAGTGACGCTCACTATCACCGGCCACGTCATTGAGCACCCCGAATCCGACGTTTTCTTTGAAATCCCGAAATTGGTGACATATTCACTAACACGGCGGGCTGGTGTTGGGGCCATGCCCAGTAATCGCACAGAAACTAGTGCCCGAGTGGAGATATTGAAGCAGCTCCGGGATTTCGAACGTGATGTTGCCAACGCCTACAGTGGCATTCAGGCCACCAACCTCAATCTATACGACTTAGTAAGATCGAAAGACCCGGATGAATGGTCGACGGTGACGGTGCCAGAGGCTGCCAAGCTTCTTCTGCCGCAACGGCGACAGACAGTGGCTTCCCTTTTCGCTATGCACAGATACCTCATGAAGCAGTCGGAGGAATTTGCGCCCCAAGTTTCGACTCACCGGCTTGCCCAAACCTTTGATGTGCGACCGCTGTCGCACCTGGAAAAGCTGAGGGCCGTCAAACACATGATTCGCAGCGCTAGTCCTGCAATTGGTGCGTTTGCTACAAAGGCACGGGGTATCATGGCTGTCAACCGGAAACGGAGGATAGAGTCTTGGGACGAGCCTCCGATGCGAACGCTTGCGAGCGACATTAGCTACACAACAGAGGATCGTTTAATTATTGACGTTCTACAGCACGCGTTGCGTCGTCACCGGGATGTGGTAACGGATCCGTATGCTTTGATCGTTGCTAGTGTTCTCAAGACACTGCAAGTCGATGCGGATGTGATAGACACCGTGGTCTTGCGCGAGGTATTAATAGATTTGGGCCACCTGGCACCTTGGGAGGACCTGGTTTCCCGGAGGAAAGAGTATGAACTGGATCAACTCCCCGCCGACGAGTCCCCCCGAGCCGCCGCTGAGAATCTCATCGTGAAACGCAACTTAACCGCACATCACACTGCTGGATCCTCTCAACCACTAGGCCCCGAAGATTTTTACCCCCGAGACCCTGTGGAACATCTGCGTCATGACTTCGGGGACATGCCCGTGTATGTCGTGGATGATGTTGATGCTGAAGAGCTAGATGACGGACTCTCCATTGAGGAGATCCCGTCGGAGCCGGGTTCGGCTTGGATACATGTGCACGTCGCCGACCCCACTGCAGTCATCCCACCAACGCACGTATTTGCCCAGCAAGCGTACCAAAAGGGGATGACGTGGTATTTCACGCATCGAACATGGCCGATGTTACCTACGTCCCTCACCAATTCCAAGCTGAGCTTGGGTGCACATTCCAAGTCGGGAGAGCCAGAGCCGGTGCTCACTTTCAGTTTCAAGATCGACTCTGCAGACAACATGGTTGATTACCAAGTCCGACCCGGTTTTGTTCGGAATCTTCAAATAATCGACTACGACAGCGTGGATCGTCTCGCAGGATTTCCCAATCTCAAACCAGCCCAGCCATTTGATCTGGGATGTCCACCAAACATCACCACCGTTACGACAGAGCCAATACATGCTCAAAATCTGCGTTTCCTCGCAGACACGATTACGCGGCATAGGCTACGCAACCTGAAGTTCAGCGACGCCTTTCTTGCGGTCATCCCCTATGCTAGAACCTCTACCGTTGAGAAGCCCCTTCATGCCACTCCCCTTTGCTATCCAAAACCCTTTCGCTTCACAGGGTTTCCGACCATTAAATATCAGGTTCTGACGCAAAAAATCCAAGAAGTCGGGTCTCGGATGGTGGTCGCAGAGTGCATGAAAGCGGCATGTCGCGTGGCTTCTCGGTGGTTTTTGGACCGCGGCGTTCCGATGCTCAGACGGATTTCGAAGCCTCCTGTGTGCCTTAGTGATCCAGAAGCATTCTCCAAAATTCTCGAAGCGCGGGATTCGGACGGATTCGTGGACTTTTACTTGGCCCAGAAAGCTAACCTTCATATACCTCCTGTGGAGCATACTCTCGATCCCGGCATGCATTGGAGTATGGGCGTTCCGGAGGGGGAGGGCTATATCCGGGTCACATCTCCACTACGGCGGTACAGTGACTTGGTCGCCCATTGGCAAATCAAGGATGCTCTCCTACGTCCAGGTTCTAGTCCGTTATTCTCGCGAGAATGGCTGACTGGGTATGGGCCTGAAATCAAGGAGAAGGAGAGAGCATTCAAGGAGGCAGAGCGTACTCACTATGCGTATTGGACCGCGTTGTACCTCAAACGATATACGGAGCACCCGCATCCCGCTACGGATCGCCCAAATCCCTTGGAGCGGCTGACCGCGACCATTCTCTCACACACGTATGTGGAACGCCAAGGTGGCAGGGTTCGCACAATGTGTCATGTGCCTTCCCTGGGGATAAAAGCAATAGCCACACTGCCCCCTGGAACCATGCCTGACATCGGAGATTCCCTGGACGTTCGCCTAGCCGACATCCAAGTTGGGCTTATGTCGAAAGTTCACGTACTTCCTAAGTAGTTGATCCACGCTGATCGTCCACACGGCCACAGTCACATTGATATATGTACACTATTTTATCCCCTTGGCGCTCAATGGCAGAGCGACTAATGCGGCGACGTGTACCACGTTGGGCAAATGGGTCGTTAATCATTAGAGTGCATTTGATTGGTCCACCTAGCCGTAATGACGTAATTAGTGAAATCGTTCCACTCGCAAATTTACTGTAAAGGGTTCATAAAAAAATCAGCCGTCGCGTCGTGAGACTGGTAAAAGCTCGCCGTTCCTTTGACACTTGTCTTTACTTGCCTACCATGTCGATGAACAGCACCCTCCATACGACTGGCTACGCAGCCAGTCTGCTCGACTCAGTGCAGGATCACGTCGCTGCTTCTCCTGGACGCGCCGTATTGCTCACCTTACTCTATTCTCCCATCGTTGCCATTGTCCTAAATGTGCTCAGACAACTCGTGGGTCCACTAGTTCTTCCCCCGCCTCGAATGCCACTGACCCCCTTTCAGCTCTGGCCGCGTGACCGCTCTCTCCCTCCGGAGGTGTTCCACTGGATACCCATTGTTGGCTCATCTATCTCCTACGGACACGATCCCCTTGGATTCTTCTTCAAGTGTCGAGAAAAGGTGTGCATGACTTCCAAAATTAAAGTGTTGAAACATCTCCTAATGGAGAGGCATAGTACGGAGACGTCTTCACCTTTATCCTGTTTGGCCGTAAGGTCACCGTTGCACTCGGTCCCAAAGGTAATAACTTTGTGCTCGGGGGCAAGTCCACGTTTTTCTCAGCTGAGGACGCATACACGGTGATTCTTGTGCGCTTGTGTACATTTTTCATTTTCTCACCAGCTACCATAGCACCTCACGACTCCAGTCTTTGGCAAGGACGTCGTCTACGATGTTCCAAACGATGTGTTCATGGAACAAAAGAAGTTTGTGAAAGTCGGTCTATCAATCGACAATTTCCGGGCCTACGTCAGCATGATCGAGGAAGAGGTAGAACAGTTTATGAAGACAGACCCGGCTTTCCTCACCTATCAGATGAACGACATCAATGACTGGGGTCGCTTCGATATTGCCGACATCGTAGCCCAAATCACGATTTTAACTGCCTCGCGGACCCTTCAAGGCAAAGAGATCAGAGACAACATGGACAAATCGTTTTCCGATCTGTATGCCGCCCTGGATGGCGGCTTCACACCGATAAATTTCCTGTTCCCCAATCTGCCATTGGCGAGCTATCGTCGTCGAGACGAGGCACACAAGAAAATGAGTGACTTCTATGTCAACATCATCCGTAAACGGAAAGAGAGTGGTGACGTGAGTGTATGCGACATCAACTTGTATGAGTGTTACTGACAGCGGTATCTCAAGGATATGCAAGACATGATCTCTGCCCTTCAGAACCAGCGGTACCGTGATGGTAGACAACTCGAAGATCATGAGATTGCTCACCTCATGATCGCTCTTTTGATGGCTGGCCAACATACGAGTTCGGCAACGGGATCATGGGCAATTCTCCACCTTGCGGAAAACGTCCAGGCCCAGTAAGTTTGGGTATTCTCGCCTAAAACGCCCGCAATCTGACCGTACGACACAGGGAATCTCTCTATAAGGAACAGGTCGAACACTTCGGTAACCCCGATGGCACGTTCCGTGAAATGACCTACGAAGAAATGCGTCGGCTCCCTATCCTTGATTCTGTAATCCGCGAAACGCTCCGTATGCACCCCCCGATCCACAGTATTCTCCGCTACGTCCGTACGGACGTCACCGTTTCACCCACACTCTCAGCGCCTGCAGAAGATAAGACATATGTGGTTCCCAAGGGCCACTATGTTCTTGCCTGTCCTGCTGTTAGCCAGGTAGATCCTAAGATATGGTCCAACCCCCATATCTGGGACCCAACAAGATGGAGCGATCCAGAAGGTGTTGCCGCCGAAGCGTTCAAAACTTACATGGACGAAAACGGTGAGAAGGTTGATTTCGGATTTGGCGCTGTCAGCAAGGGCACAGACAGCCCCTATCAACCTTTCGGTGCCGGCCGACACCGTTGCATTGGCGAACAGGTACAGTGGCGTTTTCAAATTCCCATCGATGAGAGGTGCTTATTGTTTCCGTAGTTCGCCTATCTGCAACTTGCGGCGATTCTTGCAACAATTCTCCGCAAGGTTGAGGTCAGATTGGAACCAGGCTGCACGTTCCCAGAGCACAACTACCATGTTCGTCGTTTGTTCCCAATCTTTTTCTGACTAGTGGCTCATCGTCCTTCCTTTAGACCATGATCACGATGCCTAAGAAACCACGTAATATTTGCTACAGACGCAGGGCTTTTGACTAGATAACGAAGGTTAAAACTAATAATTTTGTTTTCGAATACAATCGCATACCCTCCATTATACGTAAGATATGATCACAATTGTAACGGGATTAGGGACTGAAATAAATGCATGGGAACACTTGGTGACCAAATGTCAACCTTCAGGCCTTTGCCCAACCTGGAGAATAGAATCCCCCTACTGGTCTAGCCTCCACTTTTCCGAAAGCACCTGTGTAATGGTGTACCAAGCAAGGTTGCCGGCGGCCGTTCCCCGGAGCTGATCATATAGTATACACTCCACACAGTTGACAAGTCTCGAGCGCTGACACGGACATACATAATTTCGAGAGTGGCCTGGCCCCCGTGGCTCCCCTATGCTCAAGCGGCCCACGTACTAAGCATTGAGCTTAAGGTTTGCGGCGGCCGTTCCCTGGAGAGCAAACTAGTCGATAAACACGATGCTAGTCGTTTCCCTCGGCAGACTGACAAATTTCGAGCGGAGCTCTGAATCACTGCTAAACATCGAGATTCGCCCTTTTTGGGTGGTTGGATGAGTGCAGATGGTTCATACAGTATCACAACTTCAGCCCGTTGCTACTTGCGCAGCCTCAAGATGTGGTCGGCCGTCAAATCCTCAATATACCAGGTCTTACAGAGGCTTAACCATTTGTCCCTTCCTTCGCTAACGTCCGTTTTAATTGTGGATTTCCCTCGTTGCCAACCGGGGGAGTTGAACCCCCGTTCCTTCGGCCTGAAGGTGCTCCCCGTTTAGAAGACGTGTGGCTTTCTGAAAAATTTGGGATGTTAGTGGGCTGCCAGATACCTTCTGGCGTCAAGACGCTGGCATTGAAACTCCACTTCTCTTGCACAGTGAACTCAGTTCTGCGTTATTCCTTGGATCCTTGCCTTGTCAAAGACTAACCTCTATATCTCGATGGTTCCGCCAACCTCTGGCAATTACCTCCCAATAACATTCAACTCTGCTCGAAAAGTTTCTGTGCAGAGTCGAGGTCTCAGCTGCGCTGATATGTGCCATCGTGGCACCTAGGCTCAAACACTTTGAAAGCCCTCGGTTCAGCTCAACTCATCGCTGCGTGACACTTTCGCTGGCACCGGCGGCAAGGACAACTTGACGATCTTGAATTGCATGGCCAGTTGCAAGGACATGAAACTATATTAGAATCTCTATGTCTGGCATTCCCCAGGGTGCGCCATTTGGTACTCCGGAAAGAGGACACGGTTGCCGTCCTCTGCGTTGCAGAGGGCTCAACACGATTTGCCACCGGCAACAGCTTAAAAGCCCGACTACCAACGAATACCTTCGCTGAGTACTGCACGTTATCGATGATCTAACGGCCTGCCTTGGGTGACGGCTAGAGGCAGGTTTGCCAAAGTTGCGATTAAACCTTGCGGAATTCTAGGCAAGATCTCATTCGTGTACGAGTGGCTTAACGATGTATGTGTTTTGGAATGCGCGTACGACACCCAGGATATCGAACTCTCGAGGGTGATAGGCGGCAAGTCGTGGTTGGTGCGTACCTTATTCCATGTATTCATGATGAGCGTCCCAGTTGAAACCACGTTCCTCTTGCGTAGGCAGCGCCGTCTCTTTGGTGCGTACATTATTTAGATCTTGTATGCCGACGCTGAGCATCTCTCCCTCCTGGCTAGCCTGTGTTATACCGACCTTAAATTCTGGATGTCCTCCGTGATGCCGTATGACGGGACGCGTTGGACACCAAACAGGTATACGGGCTTGATTGTAGCGAGGCCGCCGAATATCTCAGTCCGTTGTAACAGACTCGTTCTCAGAACACAGTTGCACCTCGTTTGTTAGGAAACTTTCAAACTTTTTAATGTTCAACAAGGAAGCCGGTCTTGGCAAGTGTCCACTTGAGAATCCTCACTGTGGGCTTTACCAATGCCCCGACTATGGCTTCAAGGAACCATGTTCTCATGTGACAACTGTTGGTCGAGTACTACAATATTGGTGCAAGCACTCGAGACCATTTGCCGAGAATCGCAACGGCAAATCCTCATGTGGTCTTGAGGGACTAATGATGATCAGCATGGGTCATGTGCAACACCATCTTTTTTTCTCCCAAGTAGGACGCGCCGGTCATAACACAGAATCCATAACCTCAAGGTAAAGGTAGCGGCAACAGAGGAAAACACCTCCAGGATTATATGAAATCTCGGGCCTCAGTACAGATTTCCGAAGTCAAACGGACTTGCAACTCGACTTACGTACGGCCGTTAACCTCTCGATGGCGAATTCTGGGTGCTCCCATTAGTATGCTGAGCGGGAGCCGTCGTGGTTGAGAGAAAAAGTGGAGCCGTTGACACCTCTCTCAACAATTTCCCATGATTTCTTGTTATTCAAGCGTTAAAGCTGGCGTGCCGACAGGGAGACTTGCGAATCAGGGTTCTCAAGTGGTGATAGGTAGTTGCTATCAGATTGAGGTACTAGCTAAGCACAGGTTCCGGAGTAGCCCGTCCCCAGCCACCACCCTCGTCTACCCAAGATCCAGCCCAACTGTTATCTTCCATCCAGGTATCAGTTTCACTGTTAGGCCAGGCGTTCGTACTGATTCCAGGGTTCATGGAGAACTCCCGCTCCTGGTCCTCATCCATGCTCACCTCTCCCACTACTGCCTCTTCGTCTTGGGACATGGGTGCTGCAGACCAGTTGTCCTTGCGTCGTTGTACCCCACCCAGGAGCTCGATCGTCCAATTCCCTTTTCTCTCGCCTGCAATTCTCCGCAAACACAACTGACTGTCTCTCTCTGCCATCTCTATCAATAGCTCAACCGATCCTCCACACAGAACAGCAATATCGTCTGAAAACCACAGGTCCTCGACCCTCAGCACGTTCTCCCCCCAGCCCTCAAATGTGCGTAATAAAGCAGCGCCAAGTTCCTCAAGCTGATGAGGTCGCCCAGCCTGCGGATGGGCCGTAAAGTGGTGAGTGACTACCAGACGGTGAGGTTCCTTCTTTTCCAGTGCAGCGTACGCCGTGCGGATCCGTCGCTCTCTTTTCCTCCTCGAGTTCACATCGTCCATGCGTTTAAACGCTGCAACTTGACTTGCGCCCCCAAGCTGTTTATCTCGTCCCCATGGATCTTTATCCAATGCGTATCCGATACTCGCCACCTCTACTGTGTATCCCCACTCCTTACTCACAGTCGCGCACCAACTCGCAAACTCTTCCACCGTCCATTCGAACTTATGATCGGCGTGCCTGAATACGCGGTCCGTGTGCCCAGTTGGATCGGGGTGTCCCATCGGGTCTCTCATGCCCGGCGGCGAGAACCTGGCATTGAATGTATAGGAGGGGGTTGTCATTAGAAGTATGCGTGGATGATAGACGCCGAGTAACACCGGCGCGAAATGGTGCACGAGATCGTCAGTCAAGTGCTCAATCCTGGGTTAAGGCTTCGTCGATGAGGTCTGAGTGGATATACGTATACGAAAGGAACGTACACTTCAGAGGCGACGATACACTCCACGTCTACGAACGTGGGGTTGATGGAATCGAGACTGCCATGCCATAAGCTAACCTGCAGAGGTTCCCAACGCGTATACTGTGGGTTGGCAGAAGAGGGGGAAGTGTCTTCAGCTGCATATTGGAGTACTCCGGTATCGATATCTAGTCCCGCAATGCGGGTAGGATGTAAATCACGGCTTTCGGAATCGTTCAGCAGTACATCGTCGAACATGGATGCGAGACAGTCGTCAGCATTTTGCGTACTCGCCAGTGATCTGTTTCTCCATTGCGATTGTGGGCCTAGCCAGGGGGCGGGTTGGCATAGAGTTGTGAGAAGCTCGCCCTCGCCGCACCCGATATCCACGATCTAGGCAATTATCTGTGTTCCATCGACATTACTGGGGCGCAGAACTGTGATTCGCTAACCTCTGATACGCCTTCTCGCCGGAGAGTATCAAGCACCCATATCCTCCTCTGCTGATGCAGGGGAGGGAAGAACGCAACATTGACATCTGTTGGACCAGTGTTCATATATAGACGAACGTTGCAGTTTGCGGTGGAGTTAGCTGCCAAGGGGGACTCAGCGACAGCATGCCCAAGAAAGAGAATACGAAAGAGCTCTGGGATTACAATATCAATACCAATACTACAGAACGTTAATCGTGACTCTAATCGACCAAATTATTTACACCAACATAAGTCCACAGTTCGGACAGTGGGTAAGCATACAAATAATGAGACAATCAAACCGGAACAACAGGTATCTAACAACGCGAGCGCAGTGTGGCCGGGCGTGCAAGTCGAGTCTTTTGAGCCGCACAACACAGCTATGTCCTCATACGAGTGCAGCCAATTTTAAATACCCTCGGAAAATGGAGTCGCGCACTGCATCCAAATTGGGTTGGAATCTCGTGGTTTCAGCAATAGAAAAGTACTTGCCGTTCGCTATAATATCCTGGGTAGCTGTCGTGTCCTGTAAGAGGTCCCAAAGTCATCAATAGGCAACGAACTACTGGGAAGCGAGAGAAAAAAATACATACGGTGACGTTCGTCAAGTGGACGTATAATACTCGCCGATTCTGATTGTTCCGCCTGTGCACCTGTTGAAAGTGCGCTCGGAAGTAATTGACCACTGATTCATATTCGTTCGGGCGTTCACCGTACGATAATATGCTAATCGGACGATAAAAAAGAGAGCTTTGTTAAAAGACATTCTGCTTACTACTTGGAGACTCGCAGTCCGCGTTCGAGTTTTTTCTTTAGAATATCAGTCTTATCTGTGAAGAAAATTCCTGGGTAAAGAACCACGCGGCGGCGATGAGGCTTACTTAAAAATAACACCAAATGTACGCTCTTCAACAGTTGATTGGAACATATTTGGGTAAATAACTGTAACGAGTCGTCAATACGGTTCGTGCGAGGGTCCTCCTCCAAATACTGCGGGAAAACAGGTTAACTCGGTAACAAACCCGTGTAAGATGAGGCTGTACCTGGTCAAACGCACTTAATGGACTGACAAATATGATGGCGTTTGCATCGTCGAAATAAGGGACCCAGGTATGCCGTTGACCTCGAGCGCCGCCGACATCATATAAGTGCCATGTTACGGTCTTCCCGTGGACATCCACGTCAAAAACATGTTCCGAGACGCCCATAGTTTGGATGCGGGCGTGTAGGATATCATCTGATACGAACCCCGGTAAACTTGACTTTCAGCAAACACGTAATGGAAGTTACCTGTGGAGGGTATGTATCCTTGCGCAGATATTCGGGCGATGTCGTTGAGGAAGCTGTAAAAGCTCGGCTAAGAAAACAGACAAAGATGGCAGCATATATGCAGGCTCTTACAATTCGGACCACTCGTCCAGTTTCAATTTCCTCTTGGAAATCAAAGCACGTACGACAGGATGCTCCCACAAGGTCCGTATAGCGTCCTGTGACTGTTCTAGCATAGATGCTACTTCTTCGATTAATGGATCGGGATCGAGTGTAGATAATGACGTTGCTGGACGACCGGATGCTTGATCTGGTACTCCAACTTTTGCTGAGTCTATGGGCGAATTCACGCTGCGCCTCAGTCGCTTTCCTACTACTGACTCGTGTCCCTTCTGAATTGTCCTCGCCTGCCAACCAGTGCGAACGAATACTTCGCCCTTGCCAGAGCCCACCGGGGAGACCCCACCGCTGAGACGATCTGCGAGTTGAGGTTCTGTGCGTACGAGGGAACGGAGGTGTAGACGAAGCTCTGAGATGGATGTCGCTTTTGTTGGGATAGACGTCGACGCCTGAGAGTGAGTATCGATGGGAGAAGGAGCGGTCGGCGATACCGAAGGCCCGACATGGTCTAAGACGGGGAATTCGTCGTTGCCGAGTTCCTGACGTTCCAAGGCGCTCTGTGAGTCAGTACCATCGTCGACGTCGTCCCAAACTTCGAGCGTCGCGAGGATCTTCTTGATCGAGCGGACGACGTTGAAGTAGACGACGGTCCTCCAGGATATGCGCTCGCTCTCCAGCGACGCGGGGCTGTACATAAGCTGAAACTGTTTCTGCAGCGTCGATTTCCCAGATTCCGCCTGCCCCAGCAGAAGTAACTGCGCGCATATAAGAACGGCCTCGCATCGGTTGACGACAATAAGGAACGCACCTTGACGTCGTCCCTGGACCGCTCCCATTTTCTGCGATCAACCTTGAGTTCCTCGTCGATTTGTTCCGATATGCGACGGGCCTCTGCCTCTCTCCGGAGACGAGCTTGACGATCAGACTCAGACTCTGTTGGCGGGGGGAGGAGGGCCAAGGACAGAGGGTCGTCCTGGCTGCGGATAGAGGACGTGCGCATCACCATATGGGCCGAGTGCAGAGCGCTGAGCACAAGCAAGCCGAGTCTGCATTATGAAAGCGGGCACCCTGTCACGCGTCACACACATGTCACATTGCCATGGTACGTTTCTCTCTGCCGCCCATCACAGAACTATATTTTGATGGGCCCAGTCCGTTACGCTGCACACCACTCACGGAGACCTTAAGGTAAGCGGAACGCACGTCATGCCTTGTAGTACCGTTCCCTGAGCCAGCGCAAGATCGAAGTCTTCTGTGAGGCTGTACCCAAAGCCGCTGAGGTAACAATGTTTCCTCCCCAACTACTCAGGATCAAACGTTTCGAAACTCACACCGCCGCCGTTCCGAATTAGAACTTCTTGGCATTGTGTGCATCCGGATACTATGACGATTGCATATTCCACCGCAACATCAAGGGCTTCATGATTCAGACTGGCGACCCTACTGGAACCGGGAAAGGCGGTCAGAGCATATGGGGAAACCCTTTCGACGACGAAGTACGCTCTACCCTCAAGGTACGCAAATCCAATCCTGCGGCATCGCAAACTCACGGCATGGCTGTACGTCCTGCAGTTCAATGCACGCGGTGTCGTTGCCATGGCCAACTCAGGTCCTAACACGAATAAATCCCAGTTCTTTGTCACTTACTCCAAGCAGCCCCATCTTGATGGAAAATACTCCATATTTGGGAAAGTTATCGATGGCGCTGATTCCACTCTCGATTTGATGGAACGGGTGCCCGTCAACAACAAAAACCGGCCCTTGGCAGAGATCAAGCTAACGCATGTACGGTCTTTCTCGGTGCTTTTTATGTCGTCATAACTCAATCGCCCAGGTTACGATCCATGCCAACCCTATAGCTGATGCTCAGTTGGTTTCGCGTTGATCATATCTGTTCGCATGAACATCAACTGGCCCCTAGCGAAAGCTTGATGAGGAATGGGTTACGGATGTCCTAGCAGTCATTGCAGATGGGCATGCGTGGGTGTATGTAGGTTACCGCTTGATAAAGCCTACGAGTTCTTTCTGTAATTCCCTTTGCCTCCGTGCCCTTTCCAAGTCGTCGATACTTCGTAGATCGTATACAATATCTCGTGTCTTCCCAAAGTATACCTGAAAACATACGCCTAAGCCCGATGTCCCGCAGGTTGCAAAATCAAAGCATACTTCTTGCAAGAGATTTCGCATTTTTATCTCCATCTCTTCGATCATTTTCCCGGTGTTCGTAATGTGAGAAGATGCGTCGTGCAGCGGCCAATCTTGCTCGGTCTGCGGGAGTGTAAGTAGTGACGGGACAGTCGGGATACAAGCCCTCTTACCTGCCGGGTCATACTTCCGCTCAGGTTCACCTCCCCAGCCATCTTTTTGCCATGTTGTTCCGAATTCTTCTTGTCAGAACCAGCAGTAACTGACGAAGCATCCTCAGATCCTTTGTTATTTTGCCGCGTTACGAGCTGCAGCATTATGGTGGAAGTAAGCTTGTAATGGGCCTGCCTGCCACGCTCTGCCGTTTCGAATACGTGTATCGAATCCCATGAACCAGAAGGGTTGTCTGGACTTGACGGATTCATCACTATACAAGGACTCTGGAATCAGCAAGCACGCCTTGGCCGATGAACGGCACAGGGAGGAGTATCCTCAGAACTTACCCTTCTTAAACAGAACGACCCCCGCGAATCCACCATCGTCGAGCTCCCATAGATATACAGACGATACGCCCCCTTCGTAGTACCTGCCCGTTCCGATCGATGCCACTCGCGTAAACGACTTGTTTTCCCGCTAGGATGTCGACGCATGCAGATTCGAAAGACTTACATTTCTCTGTAGGTATCAAAGGCTTCGTTGGCCGCAATCTCGAGCTTCCGAAGCTTGGGAGACGGCGTTGTGCCGTCTTCCAACGGTGGATCATACTCATTGGACCACGGTGACCTGGTCGGCGCATCAGCCATACGAGATTCCAGCGCGTAGCAACGACGCAGCAAGTCGTTTCTGAATCGCGCATGTCCACTCACCGATAGCTGTCCCCATCCCTATTGTAGTCGCACGCGAGATATTCCCTACCAGTAGCACGATCTGTGTGTACTTTGAGCGGTTGATCGACGCTGCCCAGGAGATCATCAGCATAGTCCGGGCAGAGCTGGATAAGCGCGTTGACGTTCTCCTCCACCCGAGTGGGCGGCAGACGCCGCATAAGGTCGAGCATCGAGTCCACTGGATCGGCCATGGCGTCTGTCACTTGTCCCCGACACCGATGGTGGTCGGTGCGCTTACTTTGTACCGCAGACAAACAAGGCAACCCTGTGCGAAACTAATCATGTATAATAGTACTGCAATACACAAGTCATGGACCACGAGCAGCAAACTCTTTTTTAAAAAAAACAATAGTTAGAATACATGACCCCGATAGTGCGCTGTTCCCGCAGCGCGTTGTAAACACACGGGAATCTCTGTTGTTAGAGGAACCTTAGGACTGCTGTTAGTCTAGAGGTGTCGGCGTGATCACAGTGGCGATGAATGATTTTGGGGTGAAGTTGGAGAACTAGAGAATGCGTGGCTGCCTTGGGTTCGTCTATCTGTAACGCTTGAACGTGAGGTGTATAGGTTGGGGAGAGGCAGCAAACATGAGTCCTCATATACCCACGATTGTGGCCCAAAGGCGATTGCAAGCTGTCTGATAAGTATTGGTGCGGCTGGACCCCAAATGGATGGTTCACTCGTGCATATAATCATGGTCTCCTTGCAGTGGGTAAGCACGACATTAGTTTGTCGGTGGTTAGCCAGGAAGCCAAATCTGTCCGTTCTGGCCGCAGAGATGATGGTGTGTTCCGCTTCGTTGCCTGAAATAAGGCGGAGCTTGGAACGGCAGAACCGAGATGAGGCATCAAACCTTAAAATGAATCTACATTGTCTTCATGATGTAATTTCTACCTCTTCCAACTCATGTTCAATGAGAGCACGTTGGTCATCGTGTGGTGTGATGATACGAAAGCCAACCCCCTTAGTCTGGTATGCACGGGCAGTCCGCACTACAAACTCGTGCCTCCGAACGATTCTACCTTGAAATCAACGTACGGTCACTAGAATCCGGAAATTAATGTGCAACCCAACTCTTTTCTGATGCACCTACTTCATCTGGTATCATATTTGTTCTGATGCTTCCCAATGCCTGGAAGCGCGCGGCCATGTGAGGAAGAATAGCCGCCTGACAAGCTGCCCAGGCTTGGTGGACAAGGACTGAATCTGATACAGAACGCGACTCGTTATTGAAAAAATAACGTCTTCACAATTGGCTGGTGTAAAGCCAACTCGCCACCCGTGGCTTTCGTAAGCGCCTGCAGGGATCACCTGTCACTCAACGATACTGAGAGCATATCTACTACACCATCAATGCAGAGTGCCATGTCCAAGTACGATGCAATCGCAATACGATCCATTTCAAGGGAGTACTTCTGGTGGTCTGCGTTGCAGAGAATATGCTTCTGGAGGAGGTTCCTTCCTAGGATAATTCTATTTCGCTTGTTACGGTTAATACTGCGTAGAGGGTGTATCACCGTTGGTGAGGTGGACCACCAGAGCCTTAGATGGTGAGCAGAACGTGATGGCTCCAAGTCGGCAATTGCACTGATACGAGGCTGAAATGCCCATGGCACCGTGCCATGCACCTAAAGAATCATCTGATGAAGTCTCGAAGACGATTGGGGAGGAGTAGCTTCAGAATAATTTAGGTATAATGTGTGAGACATCAAGGGAGAGAAAAGAGGGGGGGAATTGGCGATGGGCGGACAGGCCTTGCAGCTAGTTGCAATGCCCATGACGAAATGGGCGCTAGTATAGAAGCATTCCGCAGCTGCGCAACGTGGGTACGTGATGCTTCGGAAAGAAACTAGATACGCACCTGAACATTGAAATGCCCCGTCATGGAAATGGTTTTGCTATTATACAGGAACGCAGGCTGAGACGGAGCTACACTTCAGACCAGTACTTGGTCGGAGGTTATTGGCATGCACAGCCTCTACATGGCATCTGGCAGAAGACGGTTTACGTAGTAAAGTCTATAACAGTGATTGTACGGGAGTCACAGTATCAACTTCTCCGTTGTCGGTCTTTACTATACATCCCAGAGGAGGCTTCTTCAACCCAGTTTTGCATTCAAGTTGTGTCACTCTTCATATCATTTTTGTGTCATGCTCTTTTCGCCACAATACTAAAAGTGCCAGACGTTCCTGGGAACCCTATCATGCCGTGTCCCTCTCAAGCACACCATTTCTGCGTCATGCTCTGATAAAGGCAACCATGACGGTGCCTTGACGGGAGGAACCATTTCTGAGATTTGGAGTGGTACAAGACGGAAGGCATCGATGAGAACAACTTGGCTGCACGTAGCCAGCAAGGTAAAGCAATGATAGAGAAATGCCGAGCACGCGAGTGCAAGAAACCGAAAATGATGTGGTGTGGAGAGCGACACGAAGTGGAAAGTTTGGTGCTTATGGTAAGTATTGCAGATAACGAATTGTGCCCTTCAACGTTTTCAACGTTCCGCTGCTAAACGCTCATATGCGACTACTTGCTGTATCCGAATATACATGCTGTCATGCTGATAGGGACCATCAGCATATATACATATCCGCAACATAGAAGACTCCATAGACCATAACCAGAGGTACAGACGGCGTCCATGATGAAACTATATAATCCAACCCTTATCGCGGACAGACGCACTTTGTTTCAACGCACTAGTCATGAGTGACCAAATTTACTTCGAAGTCCAGGTGGGAATGGCCTTCATGGTCATGGCGTCTGCTGCGTCGGCACTGGCTGTCGGTGGTGTGTTGCTTTACATTGGCGTGAGTTTCTTCCCTTCGCCGCCGCCAAACAGACTGATTTTGTCACGTTAGTATAGCGCCGTTGCCATTAGGCAAAATGCCTCGCGGAGGTGGTCTACCGCCACGCATATACACTATTATTTCCTTAATTTGATGATTTCTGACTTCATTCTGGCTATGGGTCGGTACATACTACCTCGTTGTTCCTGTTGATGACTGACGACATATAGCTGGATTGCTCGACATCAAGTGGATTGTAGAAGCGGCAAGCCTTCCACACGTTTGTGAAGCTCCTCGTTCGCTCATTTAATGTCTAGAGGGTGTACCCCAGTCCCGTTTGTACCGTCCAAGGTACTTCCGCTTTCAATTTACCGGATGTTTGTTTTTCAGTGCATCCAGGTTTCTTCATGCAGGTGGGGGATGTTGGGGTTGCTCTTAGGTACGTATCAAAGTCAAAATGAAATCGCCTTCACATGCCCATAGACCCTCAGTATAATGGTACGCCTGTTACATAATTTGTCGCAGTAGTGAAATAATGATTTTAGATAGGCCATTGCCTTGCACATACTGCAAGTATTGGTGCTGAAGCGGAAGTCTCCACCAAAATTTGCGCTCCTTATACTGGCAATAATTTGGCTGGTCATCCTAATTCTGGTGGTCGTGCCGAACGTGGCTCAACGCAACGTTTACGGTCCCACCGGCCATTGTAAGTGTTTATAGTTCAGTTTTACCTTCGATAACTTGAATTGACACTGCCGTTCAGGGTGCTGGATTAACCGCAGTATCATGGAGCAGATTGGCCTCGATTATATGTGGATGTGGATGGCTGCTGTATTGAATATCATCTCATACGTGTTCCTCGTGCTTGTTATCAAGCGATTCCTTGTTCCCGTGGATGGCAGATTCCGCTGGAGTCGAAAGCAGGAAGAGAGAATAATCCCGTATGGAACGGAGACATCTGCAGAGAGTCTCAGAGCAGTTCAAATGATCTTGTAAGTGGCCCCTACCCTACAATTGGTGGCTTCTGGACAAATCACTTTACAGTTACCCCCTGGTGTATATTATACTCGTGAGTGGTCTTGTGTATTTTTTTATATGATTATGCCGAACGAGCGATAGCTGTTGCCTATATCATTGGCTCGTTTTTATCAATTCAGTGGCCATGACGTTCCGGTTGCAGTGACATCTCTCGCAGCCACATTATTCGGATCATCTGGTTTGATCAACACGATCCTGTATGCTTTTACTCGTCCAAAGTTGATGCCAGGTGGACTTTCGCACGGTCCATGGTCAGTGAGTGTTACAACTGCGCGGATGGCACACGATCGCTTTTCAAAAGGTTACATGGCAGAGGATAGCAGCTTTGTTACAGAGTGCCCAGTCCAGGTTCCATGACACACCAGATTTTCTACAATCTCCGAGGTCTTTACAAATATAGTCAATTGTCATATAAACGTTGTAATATTGGTAGGCAGATTGGTAGGTATTAGGATGTACATGAATAGACTATGTTAGTGGTTATATAAGGTAATAACGGGTTGGCAACTTTGAAAGTCACCTTCTGAAAGTTGCAATTGCATGCTTGACAGCACAGATCGAGTGACGCGGCGGTCTATTGCAAATGTATACGAATCCAACGAGGGAAATGAGCTGAAATGTACATGGACCGCAACGTGCGTACGCACTTTGACTTCCTACCATGTTTCGAGCCGGAGACTGACGTTCTAACCTCCCTTTACCACTTTTAAGGTTCTTGAAAAAATTGGGGACAAGGGTTGGTTGAACGTTCCCAAATGTTACATGTATATACTCACATGCGTTGCGTCCGTCCTTCCCCGACCCCCCCACGCTAGGGGGAGTGTACCCATGCAAGTTAACTGCAGTCGACTACCAGCTATTTAAATATCGTCTTTATTACGCACTTCTGTAGTACCAGCCTCCCCAACGTCTTCCTTTCCTTTGACTCGACCTGTCCCATGCTTAAAATTCTCTGTCTCATTCTTCTCGTTAGCCAGGGTCATGACATTGAACTTTTGAAGTCGATAGTAATCCTTCAAGATGCTTACACCACACACGCTCTTTTCGTGCAACAAAAAAAACAGTGTCAGACCATGGCCCAGCAAGCGGGAAACAAAACATGAACCTTGAAAACTTCCACGAGGACAAATACCTCTGGATTGTCGAGATCTACTGTATAACTCTCGGGGATACATTTTGCAACCTCTTGGATGACTTCCATGCGTGTTAGGGTGTTGTGATTGCAGATTCGCAACTCGGTTTTGTACTGCAGTGCACAGAATTGCGTATAAATGTTATTTTCATTGTCATATCACCGGCATCCTGAAACCAACCTTGTGAGTTTTGGGTGGGTCGTCGCCCCCATTTTCCGTGAAGAATGGGGCGAAGACGCGACAACACAGGGAATGGATTTCTGGAAGGTTTGCCACGCATGTCCCCGAAACAGGCGTTAAACGATGTGTATACCTTATTGCATGTGTGTCAGACGATGACTGTAACGGGAAAATGTTGGAGGGGAGGATCGTTCACTTCGTTTTCGTTACCCCGGTCCGTTGAACGTTCTGGACGTGTGTAGCGACGAGCTTCACCGGGTCCACCGGTGGTTTGCAAGAAATGAAAATCACTGCCAATGTGTTCAAAAAAAAAGTGGGTATGCGTTTCGCGCAGAACGTACCGCAAGGGGTATTCGTATGACAGCTTGCTGCCGAAAGAAGGATTGAAAAATCTAGAAGAGAGGAAAACAAAAAGTCGTAGACACTGACTGAATCTGCTTTCCGTCCGCGGGCGTTTGATCGCGGCGAGCTCTCTGGCAATCTGATCTTCGAGATTTCCTCCTTCGTCTTCATCTTCAGCTGGGTCCCGGTCACAATATCTCTCTGCGTGGTCCTCTATGTCTCCCTCGATCGGCCATAGCTGGCTGGCCAGCTGATCCAGATCCCGTTGGCTATGGGGGTATTCGAAAAGAGCACTTTATTTACCGATTCGAAGAGATCATATAATTCTCCAACAGTCTGCTTTTCCTTGCCCTTCACGCAGCTCGCCCAGATACCTGGTCCGTCGATCGCACGTTTGGCCCACGTCGGTGCCGGACCGTCCTATATTGTAATATCATCGATGCGTCAGTGAGATCGGTCCTTATGGGTTGAGCAGTATACTCGCTGAGCGGTATTTGCGTTTTCTAGATTGCTTTGACCCAGACATGGAGCTGGTGTCGATGCCGGGTAAAATCGCCGTCACAATACCTGTCTCGGGCCGCACGGGGCATGCCGATCGGTCAGGCTAACTCAAACCCATTCGAGTGAATAAGCGAATGTGAAAACCCAATTACACAACGCCTCGTGCCCATACAATACATTTAACTAGCTTTAAGTGAGATATAATGGAAGCCCAACTATGACATCGTCAGCCGGCAAGGATGGCCAATGCTCAGCTATCGCCACACAGTAGCATATCTGAGAAAAGGATGCTCTTCCTTTAGATACCTACGCAGGGATATGGATAAGCTCGCTCGACTGACTCGAGCTGCACAGCCTAATCCTCGTCCTCGTCATCATCATCATCCTCCCCCTCATTGGATTGCCCACCGGTCCATCTTCTCTCCCATAGAGGCGGAGGAGCGTCAGGATGACGTTGTAGCAAAGGATGGTTAGGAGGCAGGACGCTCCGAGCGACATGCAGACGTTGCAGCAGGCTCTCTTTCTCGGATAGCAATTCGTGGACATAGTCAATAGCTAAAAGATATATATGAGTCGACAATAGGCAATTGGAGGGACGAGCAACCCACTCTTTGACAAGACAACGTTCTCACTCTTCGGGCCTGCCCTGCCATCAATCCTTTCACCATCCTCCGTGCTCTTGTTTCGACGCCGACCTCTACTCTTTCCGTGTGCCATGACACGTTCTTCTTCTGCCCGACACGCTTCCCGAAGCGCGGGCACGATCTCGCAGAGGGCGTCATAGCCCCTACGTATATTCGCCCTCCGTTTTTGCTCCGATTGAATGTGGTTGGCTTTCTTTTGAGAAGGGGAAAGGAGGGCTGTTCTATTGTTCTGCGCTAGTTTTTCTTCGCCTAGCGAACCGTTGGACAAGCGATGGCGCTTAGTGCTCGAGGTCGCATCAAGGGGCGGAGACCTCTTTACAGATCCGTTGGAACCGCCAGGTGATTCGCATGCAGGAGGCGATGACCGCACGGCCGGTCCCGGAGAAGATGTGTACGACCGTGAGGACGAGGATGGGACGAGTTCATCGTTTGCATGAACCCTGCTATCGGACGAACGATGTGCACGAGCCAACAGGAGCGAGACAGAATTCTGTGGCTGGGGGTGCCGGTGAACGGAGGTAGCCGAGCTGCCACCCGGAGATGACTTCAAGGGATGCCTAAGTTTGCCTGCGTCTAGAGACATGAGATCTCTGGTTGCCCTTGTCAATGCATCCCTGCCCTGCACAGACGGCGTGTGTTCGTACGGCAGGTCGAGTTGCATGTTCCAGTCGGCGGCATACTCAGCGGCGTCAAGCGACGTTAGAAAGGATTGGAAGGCATGCGCTTCAGATGGTGTTAGCAGAGACATGACACCTTCTACCGTCGAGGGCGACAGGTCGCCCCCTTGTTGTTGCTGTTGCAATTTCTGCTGTGGTTGTACTATGGTGACCAAGGACAGCTCGTCGACCAAGGGATATCCCAGATGAGGCTGAGCCTGCGATAGGGCCGCCGAGGGCATAAGGTGGCTGTGCCTCTCCATGCGTGGCTGCCTGTTTTGGTTGTGTGAGCCGAACCAATTCAGACTGCTGGGCTGACCAAGCGCGAGCTCACTGCATGCCTGACTTGGGGAAGGACAGCGCAATCGTCTGGTTTTCTTCCAGGAGAGATGTGTCGTTGTATATATGTACTGTCGGGCGTGTGGGGTAGAGCAGTGTCGGGTGTCAAGTTTTTAGCCTGTCATCCTGGCGACTCTGGGGCTTTGACATGCAAAAACTCCGACCGTCGGGCAATTTCCATTCTGCTGGCAGCTGCATTTCCGTGGGTGTAGGAACTTTGTTCGCCCGTCCCAAGCGGCGCTACCGGAGACCCTCACTGTCTTCCGATTCACCATCGTCCTCTGGTCAATCGATTAGTACTTGTAGGAACACTGTCTATAATAATGTCTCTACGATCCTGCCCTTCATCCACACGTCCTCCGTTCATCTAACCTTGTCGCATTCGCGGAGTCGGACGTGCAAGGGTAAAATTTTCCAGGGCCTTTGACTCCATTCTCAGACGGATCACTGATTGAGGGTACCGCCTGGTACTGCCATCGACGGTGTCCAACGCGCGATTATCAGCACTTCTCGGACAGCAGGAACCCTTGAAGTCAGGCTTCCGTCAATCGTTTGCTCGACATAGAGGTTCACGCGGTGCCACCCACTCTGGAACTGGGATGCCCTTTGGTAATTCGACCATGAAGAGTGTGCAAGGTAGATGTGTTGGGTGTCCCGCGTCTATCGTTCCAACAATGCAGATAGGCTTATGATCAACCGCCCGTGTCGCTGTGTTATTAGTCCGAAGTCTTCGCATCTCGTCGAATTGACAGTCGGCCCGTATCTCCTGGCCCAGCGGATCTACGTCAGTGGCGGATGCCACTCGGAAAGGGACAATAATGTTCAGGGTCGCATTGTGGGGGAGAGACGATATACAAGGTAAGCAGATAGTCGTTGATCCATGCTGGCCGCAGCCTGACAGTTCAGTGTCTCAGTAGAGAAAACCAATTAGATAAAAGGCGTTGAGCAGTTCCTGTCCAACCGTATCACCGCCATCAGCATGAGGAAGCCAATAAGAAATGATGCCGACCTGCTTGCCGATAATGCGCCATTAAATTTGGCCATTAATGGTGAGTCACTAGTCAAGACTGAGTCAAAACTGCTGTGATACAAAGAAATACAGAATCAGTACGTGTCAAAATAACAGGAAAATACGCAGAGAACCAACCGTATCACAGAAAACCATTTAAGTCTGCACACAGAAGAGATTCAATACCTTTATGGAATGCAGCAGACTACGTCTAGATGTAGTAATCAAAACGGGGAACGATACCCACAAGCCTATGTCAGACGCAACGTGGCATACGGCGACGCCGTAATGCGAGAGAGGGGGAGTTATGTGATACATTGTGTATAGCAAGATATGTATATGCACGTAGGATTGCGGAATGGAGATCATGTGGGAGGCGAAACAATTGTGTGACAAAAGGTAAGTGGTATCGTCAAATGGGAAAAATTAACGTCATGAACCAACGGCGGCAGCGTTTTAAACGGACATCTAGTAATCATGGTGCATATGCCGCGATGTTGATGTTGTAGGGGCGCTCGGAAAAAATGTCCTAGCTGGCATTCATAAAAGTTGTGAGCGCGGCAGCAACAAATGATGTACACGCCACACAGGGCGCACTTGCAGGCCGCGTCATATGCGGCGACAAGACTACCGCCTTGGCGCTAGCGTCGACAAAGATAAACCTTGCGCAAGCTCAGGCTTCCACGCGATCCTTCGGTACGCTTCTGCGTAGTCGACCCACTCTCTTGTGCGTTCTTTGCCTTCTAACCATTCTTTATCTAGAGACGAGACTTCGAGCTCGTAGAAGTGATAGGTGGTTGACGGTGACTGGATTGTAGTCACATATCGCGTGATTCTACCACGAACGCCCGCTGGTTATTTGAAGGCGCGGCGAAAAATACGCAGAGAAGAGCAAGGGGACATTCATCAGGAGATGAGATGACGGGTAGAGGGACAAAGGGTGAGACCTTCTTCTAAGGCTTCCCGAGAGGCCGCGGCCTCTAAAACACCATCCGTCGACTCCCAACCACCTTTTGGCACTGGGGAAGAAAAAAAGATTATAGTCAGCTGCGGTTGACACTGGAAGGGAGTTAAGGGGATAGGAAAGGGACGCACAGACCCAGAGATCTTGACGTTTTCTACTTGTTATGACGAGGACCTTTCTGGCGGCACTTGTTATTGGAATGGCACAACAAACGACCCGCGGCACTTCGCGTCCTTTGGTACCCATTGAGAATGAGAGGATGTAATGTAGTAGGAAAGGGGATGTTGAAGTGTTTGAACTGGTTGTTGGTGAAATGTTTGGGGAGTGATCTGGTATTAAATAGGTGTCGGCAGGCGATTTAATGGCTGTCCACGGAGGTAATGGACACGAAGTGAATAGTAATAGGAACAGTTCCGAGATCAGGGTCGTGTCTAGGATTGAGTTTGACCGGACAAGCTGTGGATGAGAGTGTTCGGAGAGGCTGTCTGGCGTACTTTCTAGGCAAAGTGGGGTAATGGTGGAAGAAGAGCGAGGAGGGGCAGATACTATTATTTCCATATATATTTTTCTTCTTTTCTTTTTCTTTTTCCTTTGATAGTTTTTTTTTCATGTGGATGTGGTCTTGTGTCTGAAATTACGCAGTGATCATTAAGCTTGGAAATATGGGCGGAGCCAACAGTTAGACGCACGTTCGCCGGGCCGAGCACGAGCTACTGTCACCCCCCTGCCATAATTTCATTAGCGGAACTGTCTCTGCCAATAAGTTGAGCCACACACCACTGATCAACTTTGATTTCCCCTCAGCTTGGCTCCCACATCCCTCTCAAAAGATGGCTGGAGCTCCATTTCAAATACCTGTCCTACTAGATCTCCCTAAATAGCTGCAATCACTTCCAGAGCTGGGTGCCTTACGGCTTCGATGAAGTATGCGTGTGAAAATTGGGCCAGAAAAAATCACCAGTACGACTGCAAGTTCAGCCCACCTAGCAGGTGAAGGTGCTCCCGAGAGGTGATGTGTGACGGAACCTTTGGGATTGTCAGCGAACCTTCCAGGACGGTAAAGCAAGTGTCTTAAGTGGTACACGAGGACGCTTCGCACTAAGCCCAAGGAATGTGACCTCAAGCTTCGTGCTCATTCACGGCTATGTAGTACTTTTGGTGCAGTATCCAGCTTAGTGACCTCATATCTGAGTGCTGATCAGTCAGAGGCACGTCACAGGAAAAGACTGGACAACAACTCGATATATATGTTACGAACGAGATCAGAGGCATGGCTTTACAGCAGGTGTTAGTTCTGAACGCCAAGTTCGTGGCACTTCCATATAATTTTTATAATCTTTGCGCTGGTGTTGTTTTTTCTTCTTCTTTTTCCTGAGGAAGCTCCACTTACCGTACTCATGCAAGTGGTAAGGCGTAAGTACAAGCAAATACCCATCGAGGAAATGATTGCTTCTCGCGTGTTCCGACGTTACCCTCAGCACCCTCATTTTACTCGAAGGTGGCCAGCCCATCAGCTCACCCGCTTTCCCCCCGAAGGCAGGTTGGACAATTGGGGGGCTCCATTAGGACAACGATGCTGTAAAACAAAAAATCGTGCGGAGATATCTGCCGTATCTGCGTCCCAAGTTGAAATTCCAAAGCCAGTCCATTATGCAGTTGGCACGAACGTTCAACCGTCAATCACCCATAACACCTCACAGCAGCATTTCCTACGCACGTTCCGGTCTGTAAAATTAAATCCGCATATCGACATCTTTGCAACTTTGAAACTCCGTTTGGGCATATCGATGGACACGCAGTTTATTTTCTGATCTTGAAGTTCCCTCCCTCACGCATGGGGCCTGAGACATCGATCGGATGTGAACTTGCTTCATGAAACGGCCTCGGCTAATGGTCTTATTAACCTTCCTAACCACGAGGCATGCCACCTAACCTTGAACCGGTGGAAACAAAACAACGCCCTCATGGAATCCGGCGGATTGATTCCGAATACTCGCATACTAGCTTGGTGGAGATTAGTATAACGTCGAGTGGCGATTTGTCTGAGGGGGTAAACCATCCATCCGTGTATTGCGGTTATGGAGATCAGTGAAGAGCCGGACAGCGCAAATATGAACAATTCGAGCGATCGGGACCGGCATAAAAAGTACAGCCAATTGCCCATGTATGGGTGGTGGACATGCACTGCGTAGGAATTGACTGTCATTGGTGAGGCTGAACGGTGGCGTCCTTGAGGCTTCCCACCGCCACTCCTCAACGCCTTCTTGAAATCTACAGTCGTGATTCGATCAAGATTCGACCCAACTCAACCATGACTCTGCATGACCATCGGCAGGGATCACTGCGCAGCAGAGAGAGAAGGGGAGCTCCAAACGGCGAATCAGGAAGCAATGGTTGCTGTTGGCCATTAGTACCACGGTCATCTTGCTGTACCCTTTGATCATGCTGCAGGCATGAGTCAAGAACTGCTTGGACACTTCCATCTTCGTTACCACATGCTTCCTTGGCCGTTCCAGCTGAAATCACTTGTGTGTGGACCCCGAAGTATCGAGTGCCAGAGACAGCATCCGCCGCTATCGGAAAAGTCTACACTCTGTCGTGGAGATGGTTGCGACGTACTGCAGCTACTCTGCGAGAGAAAACCAGCGTTGCTTTCGAACAAGTCCTCCAGAAGCTGAATTGAGATGATAATAATCTTTGGGTGTTCAGAGCCTGGTAACCATCGTGCACTGTTTCCTCGTGGGCATGTCCGCAACCCCTAATTGCATTGTCTTCAAGCAGTACCATAAACACGTACCACTTGTCAAGTAAGCCTCCCAGACTTAGCACCTCACGACGGCGATTCCGCCGGTATACTCATGCACTGGTTCGTAGAATCGGTAATTGCAGGTCTGTTATTTGTAACTTGTTTCAGAATACCGTCTTCTACAAGGAGCGAAATACAAGTCTGACGTGTGCCCGCACACAAAGCGGCGTTGGGTGGAGCTCTCTAACAGAATTTTTGCACGCACGGATGTTTACTGCGAAGAAACCGAGCGAAAAAAGCCAGGTTTCCGTGACGTCGGAAAAGCACCGAATGCGTGATTAATCTGGGTATTCATAGTTTCGACACTTCTCATGCTGATACTGATGGAGTGGGGAGAATGCGTAGTAAATGCTTCCCGCGGTGGACAGAAGTGATGAAGACCTGTCTAAACGTAACGGCGTCTGCAGTCAAGGGGGACAAATCACGTACCTGGCGCGGGGTCTATACGGAACCCTCACAGCTACATCTCTTGCTTCTCGACTGATACCAAAGGGTTATTGGAGTCACCCACGTCATTGTCAATGGCTGGTTTTTGTCGGGGCAAGGCCGTAGCCTTCCACCCACTCCTGAGAGACGCCATAGCATTGACCAGCGCAAATATTGTTGGCCACAGCTGACAACCGAGGAGTGAATCAAACGTGCGTTCGCGCACGCCTACGTGGTACGTACTTCGTTCGAAAAAAATCCCTTTTCCAACGACCTAAACAAATCAGATTGACAAATTTGCCACTGATTTGTATTGATGTTCTTACCAATGAATAGCCAACGGCAAATTAGCTGTATTGGCGACCACCTCGTTCCAGAAGACATCCCATCTTTGGCTAAGGTCCTTCTTTTCTTCCATAGAAACGTCTTTACCTTTCTTGAGGTGCCGTTCCTTCATCAGCAGCAATTTTCTGTCTTCGATCAGGTGGGCAAATTGGAGGAGCACGTAAACTGTCCATGCTCGACATGACCACATTGCCAGTTTGCCAGCATTCAGGTTGAGTCGCCGAAAGCTGCCGCGCCCAGCAAGCGAGATGATAGAAGGAATAGCGGCCGGGATGAGGTCATGTGCGCGGAGATAGTAAAGGTGTTCAAGGGGATAGTAGAAGAGCATGGACCACCCCTGGAGGCGCTCTATGTTGAGAAGGGCTCGTGTTGGAGGGGGATTTCGTTCCATGGATATCATCCATTGAAGAACCGGGAAAAGGCCTATAGTTACAGTGCTGTGTAATGAGCGCTGAAAGCGGATATAACAAATACACTCACCGCAGAAACGGCCCAGCATCCTGAAGTCGCCTATAATATCAGCGAACCTTGCAAAAGAAGACGAAACGTTTCTGATAGGTTCCTTTCGAAGACCAATGCGATGCTGAAGTCTTGAACGTGCAATCAGGACTGGAGCCGCCAGCTTCAGTGTATATTGGATAAGCTGAAAGAATGGGCAGTCAGGCGCTGATAATGCTTAAAGCCTCTCCAAGTACCGTGAACAACTTGCTGTTCAGCGCGGTTTAGCAGGGGCACTTGTAGCCAAACAAAACGGCAGAGCACGTACTCGGTACCATTCCATGTACTCAGGTATCGCACTAGATGGTCTAGTGTTGCCGAAGGCGGAACGAACGCAAAAGCACCAAGCGTAGCATCACTCAAGTTCAACCGTGCAACAGCGTGAGCGCGGGACATGACAGATACACAGCGTCGCCCTTTGGACGCTCGTTTCCCAAGGACGCCGAGATATCGCGACAAGACCCGTCCTGGATTTCACATGCAAAGCATGACATAATACAAATACATATATACACAAGAGCAACAAAACAAAACAGGGGCTAATATTGATACAGTAGTTGCACGATTGCAATATTGAGAAAGACACAGGCTAAGTTTGCTTCTCACCATCGACCCAGACGTCGACTTTCTCGTCGTAGAAGGCGGCCATACCAGTGATTTGGATGCATTCCACAAGAGGTGCGCGGTAGTACCACACCACGTCTTTATAAACCTTCCCATTGGGGAGTACTACGTCATAGTAATTGGCCACTCCCTAGTGAAAACACGGGTGTAACTCTTCTCCTGGAACGAGTAAAGCAGCTAGTACGTACCTTGTAGGGACATGCAGTAGTCGTCTCAGAAGGCCTCAAAAGGTCGAGGCGAATATCCGTCAGGGGCATATACGTCCTCCTGCGCAGGCTAGTTTCGAAAAGGAACCGCGGCCTGTTTGTGTTCGCAACCTCTACCCCATCAACTTCCACACTGACGTGCCTGGAAGACTGAAGCACGTCGACGCGCTTCAGGGGAAAGGCGCCGTGTAAGCAGGCGATCAGTTCACTTCGAGCTATGAAGGCGAACCTTATAGGGGTCCTTGGGGTGCACGAAGATCCTCTCGTCTTCTTCAAACCATGCATCCGCAGCTGAAAAGGCGACCTTGAGCAATCCTCCAAGGTCGTTGCTGCCTGTGAATTCTGTTACTGCCCCCTTGACCACCCTGTCGCTGGATACCAGGTCGCAAACCTGAGCACCCTGGAGCTTTTCGGATTCTCGTAGCAGCGATGAATCCAGGTCTGACTTGGCGAAGTAATAGACAGGGTAGTACGGATTCTCCCATCTACCTAGCGATGAGGCCGGGGTGTTAGATTTCCAACTGACCATAACTTACACAAGCTTCGCCTTGTGGGTGTCAATGATAAACTTGCCATTGAAAAGAACCCTGACTCTCCTTCCTCGGTCTTCGATGTGCGGCTTAGTGAAGGGCGGCGTCATGGTCGACTTCAAAAGGACGTCAGCTTGACTTATTAATCAGGGTGTTCCGACTCATCACGCCCAAGAAACCCCTAAAGTGAAGCAAACACCTGGTTGAATACAGAACGACACATAGGGCATGCGAGTCAAATAATCAGCACAGGAAATAAACATGAAAGAGATATGTCAGAAAGAATCTCAGACGGACAGCGAACGGAAACATAAGAAATCGTAGAATGTCCATCACTCCTCATCAGATTCATCGTCTGCCTCCTCCAACCATTTCAGGAAGGGTTCACTCGCCTTCCTGACCTTCTTACTAGTCTCCTTGTCAACATACTTCTTGCTGACGTGAGTACCCCACTGCTTAACCACTTCTTCATCCAGCACGTCGTTTTGGTAGAGTGCCATGAGAATTTTAGGAATCGCAGGAATCAACTCGGTGTAGGTCAGCCCAGAGAGTCGCTCGATGCCTCCCAGTAGAGCCTTCTGGTGCTTCTCGCTAGTAATCATCTGGCAGAATGATTAGTGATGAAGACAACGGCGAAAACATACACACATACCTTAGCGAGCAGAGCGTTGTACGTGTTAATTTCCTTTACGATGTCTTCGGTGAACAATGCCTGGACAAGGACGAGGACAGCTTTGTGCTTCTTCTCTACGCCGAGTTCCTCGGCCTTCCTGTAAATCTGCACGGAGCCGATACCATCTTGGCTTCTGTGTTCCTCGACCCAACGTCCAAACTGCGAATAAGGGCTATCAGCGTCATCCTCACTCCCATCATCGTCACCTCCAGGGAGGGAAAGTCCGCCCATTTGACCCTCTAAGGTTTTGACACGGGCTTTGACAGCCTCGGTGGAGGTATCCACAGCCCAATCGTCGTTGCCGAGAACAGTGTCATTTGTAAGGTCGGCAGCCTCAGCCTTGATCTTTCTCGTCAGCTCGTCATCAGTGTCGCCGCCAGACCCATCCTCCTCCTGACCAGGGATAGTGGGGCCAGAGGCATGAACACCTCCACCGTTGCCGTTATTGGCCGCCTCCCCCTTACCCTTCTTTGACTTTTTAGGGTTCTTGGGAGGATTCTTGAGGATGAACGTGACGAGCTTGTGTCTCATGTCGATGTTAGTCCTTTCTCCGCAAGCCTTGCAGTCCCGGAAGATGTCTTCACGTCGACCATTTTTGACGACGTTGAGATCGGTCTCCGGATTCTTGCACGAGGCACACAGCACGAACTTGTCGATAAAGCCATCAAGGAGTTCACGGAGACGAATGGCATCGTGAGCACCATTAACGATGTAGCGATCGTTCTTTTCATCGAATGGGGTTTGTGCGCCCAGCTCACATCCGAAGAACTTGGTTATGTAAGACGGGGGGCGAGAAAGGGCACGAGCTACGTCGGACATGTTTGGAATGACAGTCTTGATCCCGTTACCTTTACCCTCTATCTTCGTAAGAAGAAGGGGCATGCGGTAGCGATAAAACTTGTCGTCGACATCACGACGAATGTTCACAATTCCTGCAGCAGGCATGCCGGGCAGATATGTGGCGTTTTAACGCTGAGTAGATCCATGGAGGTCAGGAATAATAAGAAGAAAATGAGGAAGACGTACGGTACTTATGGAGTCTAGTCGGGATATGGAGAGATACGACGAAATGCAGAGTGGAGGTCGAAGCATGAAATTGGGCCTTCTGTTTTCTCCTCTTCGGCGACAGAAGATGTTAAAGGCGACGTTTGAGGAAGGAATCGTGGGCTACAATGAAACCTTGAACAAAATACGAAAAGTGGGTGTTTCTGTGGGTTGTGGGTGTGGAACTGGCTGTGAGCACGGAGCACGCAGTTCTGGACTCGGTCAATTTATGGTCTCCGGCTGTATTTGCATCCGTTTATCGGAACTAACCGCGTTACATAATCTCCGAGGACGGCCCCTGTCCTGTCATCGAGCGAGTCAGTCCAGACTGGTGAAACAGGCAGGCCACGTATACAATTCCCAAAACACACTTCAAACTACCATAAACATCCCCACGAACACCAAAGATTATTAAGATAAACTAGTTGGCTCCAAATTGTCGGTTTTTGTGCTGCATTATAACGGAGAAACCGGCGTTGATAACTCTTTCCTCCTCCATCGAGTGTCCGTCCCACACCCGAAGCGAGTCTGCCTGGGAGCTACCACCCGGAGGTGTGTTCCCTCGCGGAACGGTGCGTATGGAGAGCGAGGAGCGGGGTCTGTTGCCGGGCACAGTTTCTAAGATCATAGACAAACCAGAACGGTGCGTAAGTCAATACATGTTCGTAGACGTGTAGCGAGGTGGTGGTAGATCCCTTACCTGCTTGCTCCCCCTCGTTTTGCCCTCCCCGACGGAAGAATGACCGCAACCTGTTCATGGCCGCTCGCAGTCTGAGAAACCTCCTATTCGCAGGGGCAGCCCCGACGTCTTCTCCCTCCCTCACTTGCTATTAAGATATGTAAGCCACCCGTCCAGCCTGGATACGGAGCAACGTCGGTACTCACAGCCTGTCCCGGAACCCTGCGCGAACTGGTTCTGGGTACGGGAACCGGTGTCGCACTAGTGTGGGGAACCGGAGCTGGCATCTGCGAAACTGGCTGAGAAGGCTGGGTCGCACTAGTACTAGGTGGAGGAGGCGGCTGCGCGACTTGCTGAGAAGACTGGCCCCCGCCGGTACCGGGGACAGGAGCCACCGTCTGCGAAACTTGTTGAGAAGGCTGGGCCCCATGTCCACCCGTCGTAGAGGGAGCTGGAGGGTCTGCCCCAGGATTACGATTAGCGGCAGATTTGCGCTTGAACGCCGCCTTGAGTTTGGCGAATGCCATCGTTGGACGTGCGGAGTAGTCGTGTCAATGAAAGGCAAGTAGACTGTATGATAGTACGTGAAGGATAGCGCGATACCTGGTCCAGAGGTGGAGGATAGCACGATACCTGTTCAAGCAGTAGTCGAACGCCTTATTTACCTTTGATCGACCTTGCCCGGCGGGTCAGCCTCCTTCGTCAACAAAAGTTACACACACACAAACATAAGCATTCGGGTACTGGCGTGTGAGCACAGTGCATACGCTGGCCCTGATGTAAACCGACGGCGAGTGTGTGGTGCAGTTACCATTGACCACGACTCCATGCAAGTGAACCCAATGCTAGATGACGAGTTATGCCCGACAGCTTGTAACGGTGACGGTTCAGTTGCGCGTCTTTCAACGTACCTTCATCGTGCATAGCATGAACGAAAAAATGTGGACTCCTGTCTTAATAGGGGCGTGCGTGAGCCTTCGAGCCTCGACCCTCACAGGGCTCGCACAATAAAATTGTTCAATAAGATAAAAATACAGAAGGTCAGTCGGCAAATGATTCCGCTATACTCAACATCAAGCGCTACATCGCAGCACTCACAACCTGGCCCCCGCAGATGGTGCGGCGACCGTTGGGAGTCAATCCGAAAGGAGTTTCTCCACATAGGGGCTAACGGCTTCTGGCGTTGTCGTTGAAGCCCATCGGTTCACGACATTCCCATTCTTGTCAACTAAAAACTTCTCGAAGTTCCACTGCGGGCATGGTTACCATACATTTCGAAAAAATAAAGATCATGAACCATCACACTACCTTGATACGTGTTAGTCCAAGAATACCAGCCTTCTCGTTCTTGAGCCACTTGTAGACGGGATTAGTATTGTTCCCGTTCACGTCTGATTTCTTCATGAGAGGGAAAGAGACGCCGTGATTTAGCTCGCAAGAAGATGCGATGGATGCATCATCTCCAGGTTCTTGGCCACCGAACTGGAGGGTAAACATGAACGACATGCTGACGGGAGGACATGGAATTCTCGACTGACCTGGTTGCAGGGGAATCCGAGGATGACGAATCCTCGATCCTTGTACTTGTCATAGAGGGCTTGCAGGCCTGCAGCTAACTCGGCGACTTCTACTGAACATAGATAATTTACACGCACCCTTATACTGCGGAGTGAATCCACTAGTGCAATCAAGATATCAGCCGAAGCGCAACAGCTCATGAAGATGCTCACCACTCGGAAGCAACGTTCACCACAAGAACCACTTTCCCCCTCAACTGCTCAAAGTCGTACACACTTCCACCTGGGAGCTCAGCTTTGAGGTCGTAGAAGGTCTGTGCGGTTGATTCGGAGGACATGGTACGGTTTGCGATGAACTTGTAGCTGGGCTGGGGAGTCTTTGTTGTCAAAGCGGTGGTGGGAACTGAGTGCAGTGTATGACGCTGTGACCTTGGATATATATTCTCCCGGGACAGCTTTGTTAAGGAGATGCGCCCAATGATGGGTCGGTGGATCACGGAGTGAACAATCATGTTAGTCGGGAATATCGGCACTACTATTACGTATCTGCAGCTAGATGACGTCGGCAAGTCCAACTCGTAGATAGTTATGGTACGTTTTGTGCATATCCGGCACTCCGGTTTCTGTCTCCCGGGTTCCATAGATTTATGCCACTATGCTACAGGACAGTCTTATAGTAAGTCCCCAATTTTGCTACCCAGCTTCCGAGCGGTCCCCAGTATTCCTGCCAGTGCAAGTAGAGATGCTGAACACTCAGGTGGTGCCCTTGCCCACTCAAAGACACGCGTCCTTAGACTTGCGTTCGGATTCCCGTAAGCTTTACAGCGTTATATAACTGACAAATGTTTCCGATAGTGACAGTGCTCGCGGATTAACGTCGTGTTTTACGCGCTGCCTTCAAATATCCAGGTTTTCCTCGGGACGACACGCTAGTTGAGAGGGTATCCCGGAAGGCCGTCAAGAACGACGGCGTTGTGTAAATAAACGCATCAGAGCTTCCGCAGGTGCTTTTCAGCCTGGGTGTCAGCAACGGGAGAATCTTGCTTTGCCGAAGACTGCGGATAGACCCCGTCACGCAAGCGAATGAAGGCGACCTTCGAATACCGGCGAACGGAAGCGCCATTGTTTTCTAGGTGAATTGTTGGTCATCTTTACTTTTGGACTCTGTTCTGTGTCACGACCGATGTATCGTACTTGAAATGGTTGGGATGGATTTGCGCCAATTGCGATCCTCGACAGACGGTTTCAAGTACGTGTCACCAATATTATAGACTTCCCGAGGTTGGATCTCTGGTTCATTTCACCTTGAACTTTAACACTGAAAGATTCGTAATAGACAAGGCGAAACTGTTCTGTGAAGGAGTTCGTTATAACGGGGTGAGATACGAGCCATATCTGGCGGCGCTGCACAACCAGGCTCATGTGTCGGTTTGGTGCCCAACCCGTCCCCCTATCACGGCATCGTGGAGGGTATTCAGGACATAGGCCTAGTTTGACGCGGACTAGTCAGGAGGAAGATGTTCAACGTCAGCATACAATATCGAGGTAATGTACGTACCAAAGACGCAGGTGCTACCTGCGCCGGAGGAACGCGGTTCAACTTGTATGCTCAACGTGTTACATGGAATAAGGTACGCACCGACCACGACCCGCATTCCACAACACATAGATCGTCAAGCCGTTCGTACGCGAATGAAATCTTCTCCCCTGGATGGCGTTCCGTAAAGTTTAATTGCAACTTTGATAGACCCGCCTCTGGCCGCCGCCTACGATAATGTGCGGTACTCAGCGCAGATATCCGTTGATAGTTAGGCTTTCAAGGTGTTGCCAGTGGCAAACCGTGATTGAGCCTTCTGCAGCGCGGAGGATTGCGACCGTGTCGACATTTGGGAGTACCAAATGATGCACATTAGGAATGCTAAACATACAGACTCCGATATGGTTCCATGTCTTTGCAACTTGCCATGCAGCTCAAGATGGTCAACGCTGTTGAACTTGCCGCTGGCTCCCGCGAAAGCGCCATGGAGCGATGGATTTAGGCCGTGCCAATGACCTTCAAAGTGTTTGAGTCAAGTACCACGATGGCATATATCAACGCAGCCGAGACCTCGACTCCGCACAGAAACTTTTCGGGCAGAGGGAGTTGAATGCTATTGGGAGGTAACTGTCCGAAGTCGGCGGAACCATCAAGATATAGAGAGGTTGATCTTTGACAGGTGATGGATTCAAGGAATAACGCAGAACGGATTTCACTGTGCGAGGAGAAGTCGAGTTTCAAGACCAGCGTCTTGGCGCTAGAAGGGTGTCCGACGGCCCACTAACATTACATTTTTCTCCCAGAAAAGGCGTTGGGGAACACTCTCAGGCCGAAGGAACGGGGGCTCCAACTGTCCCGGTCGACAGTGAGGGAAACCCACAATTAAAACGGATGTTAGCGAAGGAATGGACAAACGGCCAAACCTTTGCAAGACCTGGTATGTTGGTGGTGTGACAGCCGACCACACAGAGAGACTGCGCCAGCGTCTTGCGCAAGTAACAACGAGGTCAAGTTGTTGTATAAGCCATCTGCACTCATCCGCCCACCCAGACGGGCAAATTTCGATGTCTAGCAGTGATTCTGAGCTCCACGTAATACGAGCCTTGATGAGCGCTCTGCTCCATGACCAGGATACTCCGATGGTAGCCCAAAAATATGAGGACCACAAGATCACATTTCTTCATCGACGTGACACCGTTGCCAGCTTTCTTTCCCAATACACATGATGATCCTTGGACGGCTTGTGCGGAGATCGAAGGATCAGCTCGAAAATTTGCAAGAGCGTCTCATTGCGTAGACGATTGATAGGAGTAACAGGCAATTGTCTGATGAGTTCCTCGACTTTGTGCCTCTGTGTGTAGGCGGCAGCGCGGACATCATTGAGCTTTGCAATGAGCTCTTTCTCTCGCCTCTCTAGCGTGATACCGAACACGGACCTTGGCTGCTCTACCCTCTCGCACTGACGAGTGGCTTATAGAACACCGCTCGAACTTTCCAATGTGGACTTGGACATGGAGGTCGAGAACTCAAGCTCAAGGCTACTCTCGTTCCCGTCACCACGCGCCACGTTGCATTTGATTAAGTTCCCTCTCGACTTCGTCGACCAAAAATCGTTCACAAACGCATCAACGTCCACTGTACAATATTACGAATACTTCGGAGTTTCACGCTGTTGAGATGCCGTGGTCATGCACAGACAGTACTTCCTAGACCTTCTTAGGGTCTTGTAGCCACTGTTCCGCCAACCAGCAATCCGATTGCATCACTGAGTTCATGAATGTATGCAGTTGGTTGTTGAAAAATCCGTCGAAAGTTTTTTATATATAAATATGCGTGCAGAAAACGACTTCCCCGGTGAGATATAATAGCAGTACCGTGGTTGGAGCTGGCGTGATTTCCGAAATTCCGTATGCCATACATCACACGTAGGAGCCTCGTAGGACTTGGGTATACGATTATGGGCGCGCGGTACAGGAGCTGTTGTATCGTGTTTGGTTCTCAACAAGTGTTTGGATGAAGCTTCGAAAATTTTCGCCATCTTCCGTCCTGAAAGTAGTCGTCATGACTTCCCTTCACGCTAGTATCAGGCTTCATCGGGCCAAGATGTCTTCCCTTGCTTTATTTGGAGCCAGCTCGTTTCCCTAGGGTGAGTCTTTAGTACCTTCTTCCTTGGAAAAAAGGATGATTACTTCATGCTTCGTTGCGGATGCGATGAGCTATGCCGAGAACCAACACATTAAAACTAAGAACAGCCATCTGACTCCTTTTGTTACCTTTTTTTTTCCTGAGAGACATAACCTGGGCTGATCTGGGTGCTCTTTAGTTGGCCAGTAGTTTTGGGGGGAACCACCCCATGAAATTCTCAAGAAGTTACGCTAGATCTGTGTCTAGCGCAGATGATCTCTTGGAGAGATGTCGTTCCTGCGATATGGTGCCCATAGTACATCCATCTCCTATCACATATCCGTACCTCTGCACACGATTTCGCGCTCGAGTCGATAACATATATGTGTAGCAGATGTGGGCCTCAGAGCGGCGTAATAAGAGGAGTTCATGATTGCGCAACACCCCAAATTAACAACCCTGAGCACCACTGCCTTCCCACTTCACTACGTGCCACGAAGTGCCCGTCACGACATACTTTCGAAGAACACGGGCTGGAAACATGATGCCAGTGCCAAGCCGAAAAACAATTTACACATGAGATTATGATGGCTAGCATTCACGTTTCCATTTGCTCGGGCGCATCCTGTTACGACATAGGGTTAGTATTAAATAAACTGTCCCTTGTCGTTGAGCTAAGTTCACTCGACATGTCCTGGTCATACAACCCTCCAAGAACTCAGCCATAAATTTAACGTGAGCCAAGTTCTTTGCCTTGCCGTTGACGCGAGACGCCGTAGTCTCCGGGACTGGTTTGATGGAGTGGTACACGCGCATATTGCTTAGAAGTATCCGTCTGGGGGACAGCTGTGCCGCAGTAGTCCATCGGACGGCATAGTTGTAGGGTGCCGCAAAAATTAAATATGTAATTTGCGCGCAGCACGAGCTAGTCCAGATAGACAGCCGCGGCCCGGAGGATTAAGGGTACGGGAACCATGCATGAAGCTTGAAGGGTGGATGGCATGATGGCCTAAGACGAACGCGGATAACCTAGCCAGTGATGGGATACTGGTAGAGAATCACGCTGCGGATGATTTTAGTACACGTGTGGACAAACTTGCTTATGACGACGGGGCTTCAGGATCGACGACGCCCACTCAAGGCGATCAAGTAGCACCAGCTGATGTTGAGACGCTGAAGATTGATTGCAACAAACGCAAGAGCTCATCGGGTTTCACTTTCTTATCTGAAGGGATGCGGCCAGGAAACCTGGCATTCGCTTATCATAGTTACCCCCAAGTCCAAGGATAATGTCGACTCAGGAAAACCATCGCCTCGTAATGAGATGCAGCCTGCGGGGTATTTCGAATCGTATTGACCCGGAAACCAAAAGGAACGACGTGAGCATCTGCACAGGCGCTCTGGCGTAGTTACGGATTTCGAAAACTAGGATCTCCAAGGTGTGGGTGCAAATGTAAAGAGGAAAACTGAGGAGAATGCCAGATGACTTGGCCCCTCGGTGACTAACAATCGAACACCGTTCGGAACACGGTGGACAGATCCGAATGCCGCGTGCTTAATGGTACTCCGTGCGCAGCACTCGCGTTGCAAAGCGGCCCAACGCCATGCATCTTGTCGTGCTTGATAACGGACAGATACGCATGACCCACGACCTGGAATGGGGAAGGGCGCGCGTCAAACGCGAGGTCCTCATATCCGAGAGGCTGCTCTCCGTTGGTGTGTTTCTCCGCTTGTGTAATGTACATACCTGCTGACTGGACAGATGCTTCTCGAGCTGCCCTATATGTAGCATGCGAGCGTAGTATTGCACGCCTCCCCCCCCCTCCTTCCTCCTTGTTACGCGCGACCGATACTTGGGACTTACATTTCCCCTGTGTAGGGCCAAGCGTCCCCGATACTCCCAGCAGGAGCTGGATTCCTGCACCATTATTACTCTCATTTCTCGGCTTTCGCTCCCCTTCGTTAAGAATCTATCGTTCACTTTTATTTTAGGCTCTATCGCAACGGGGACATGTTAGATCCTACCGTCCTGCAAAATAACTCAGTCTCTGAGGGAACTGTGGACGTACTTGAACTGGTTCTCCATGTCGATATATTCATAACTGCAGTGGCCGCTGTGTTCGCCCTAGCCACGCTTCCTCGGGCGTTCGCACGTCTTTCTCGTGGTGCGGAATGGGGGTGTGGTCACATACTCCGTTCCGCCCGCCTCGATTATCGCCCTTCTCGGCGGCCACCGCTCCCTCAATCACCACCCACTCCAGCCGAGAAGCTAACTTCAATGTCTCCGGAGGAACCCCATGCCACGTCCTCTGCTGGCCACGATGGTGTCACTTCTGAAGAGTCGCATACGTGTGTCTCGCATACCAACCTTATCCGAAGACCTTCCACTGGAAAATCTGCCGCGAAGCTTCTCCCTCCACACGTGCGCGCTTGGTCGTCCGTTCTCCCACAAGTGGGGAATCTACTCAGATACAGATTAGATTCCGGGTTCTCAGTGGGACAGGCACTAGTTCTCGGACTTTACTCCGCCATACTCATATACCCAGTGTTCTTGAAATCAGACCCGTTTGCAGATCCTTTGCGGACTGGATTTGTGGCCATGTCACAAATACCGCTTGTGTACATGCTTGGAACGAAGAACAATCTTTTGGGGATGTTGCTTGCCATAGGTTACGAGAAGGCAAGGAACCTTGTGACTTGGTATCCTGTGACTTACCAGTAAGATAGCTCAATTACATCCATCGGCATGCGGGTATGATGCTGATATTGTTGTCCAATGTGCATGCTATCGGCTATAGTAAGTTGTCAGCCCGCTTCCATGGTTGTCAGTTATATGGACACATTATCAGTCTATGAGTGGGCTTTGCAGGGCACACTTTCAGTGAACTTGAAAATGCCTCAGAGAATGTGGGCTCTGGTAGCCCTTGCCGCGTTAGACATTCTTTATTTATTCTCAACTCCCTTCTGGAGGCGCAAGACGTACAATCTATTCTTCGGCAGTCATGTCATTTGTTTCATCATATTCCTTCCAACGGTATGTCATGTGGCTTTGTCATTCCCATGGTAAATACTGAGATCTTTCTGGGTAGGTGTATGCCCATCAACCTGGGGTACTGAACTATGTACTTGCCGCTGCAGCAGCGTACGGCCTAGACCATATCCTCCGGCTCCTCAAGACCCGCGTCTTTCACGGGAGAATACGCCCCATATCCGACCTCTCAATGACGCGAATCGAGATTCCGGAACTGAATGCAGGCTGGAGACCGGGACAACACGTCCGGATACGTGTTTTATCTAGTGCAATGGGTTGGATTGGCTGGGCCGAAGTACACCCATTTACGATTGCAAGCGTGGCGAAGACCCCTGAGGGACTCGTACTTATGTGTAAAAATGCCGGTGGATGGACGAGGAAGTTGTACGAGATGGCGAAAGTGGCCGGGTACGGGTGCGAGGATGGAGGAATGTCAAGGTCGGTGCTGATGATGGTAGAAGGGCCGTATGGTGAGTGTTATTTGTCATTGTGGAAGGAGATATGTAGGCTAATGGCTTTTGATATACAGGAGGACCCGGTCATTCGGTTTTCGCAAGCTACTCTACGGCAGTGTTTATTACTGGGGGTAGCGGCATTACTTTTGCTCTCTCTGCCCTTCAGGACCTCGTACGGGTATGTTGTGTGATGGTGTAAATCTGTACAGTGCTTGACCATGGTCACAGGTAGATCTAGAGGGCGCGAGCAGAGTGAAGATCATAGAACTCGTATGGTGTGTTCAAGACCCCTGTGCGTCCACCTCTATCCATTTTATCCCCTTTCTCCCTCAAACGAAATGTCCCAGCGTCTTTGACACCCCTCCTACTTCAATTCACTGGTCTCCTGCAACAGAGTATCTACACACCGGTGCATATTTCGGTGCACTACACTCGCGCAGCCGATACTTTGCCGTCGAAAGCGAGTCTCCCGCCAGGGATCACCTTGACAGCGGGCCGTCCTCGAATCGGCAAGGTGCTAGATGCGGTCATCCAGCGCACAATGTCGTACGGGTCTGGTGTTGAGGGAGCGAAGGACGTCACAGGGGTGATCGTGGGTGTATGTGGTCCCGTTGGGCTGGGCGACGAGGTTGCGCAGGTCGTTTCGTCTGTTGATGCCAGTCGACGATGGGCGGTCGGTGGGATTGAGATACATGAAGAGTGAGTTGGATTATTATTTGGGGCTGTGTTACTGACTGTTCCCCACTTACAGGTCATTTGGCTGGTGACTGAGGCGCACATTGAAGACATAAGGCTGGCTTTGTCGAGATTAAAACTAATTATTCTCGTCTCCCTGGAACACCGTGTGTTCCAGGAGGACCTGATTCACCCTTCATTTCCTGGAAGTCTCCAAAGCGGAACCTCTTCCGCAGTAATCATCGAAAGGATGTTATGACGGGCGCTTATATCTCGAAGTGAGGTGGGAAGGCAATGGTGCTCGAGGTTTGGTTTGTTGATTTGGGTATCGTGCAATCCTCTGTACCGCTCTGATGCCTACATCTACAACTCGTAGCTGTGTAAATATCACTTCACTCGATGATCGATTCTATGCATGGCGCTGGACGCCGTCGTCTCCGATGGGGGAGAACAACGTTTGCTGCCAGCGACGAGTCGTTAAGGGGGATCTCCAATCGCTCTGCTCCACCGGTACAGTACGCCCAAACTGTGTTAACCCGGCAGCGTCTAGCAGTGGCTCGGAGTGAACGTTGACGTTGAACATATGCCTACGGCGTTTGCGGGGTATGAATTTGTTTGATGCTTGCATTTCCCCGGGTGTGGAGCTTCAAAGGACCTCACCACGACGGCCAAAGATCTTGCCACCAAATCAGCTGCAACTGCCAGTTTCTTTGGATGGTGCTTAGAATCTGCAGCCTACATACCACCAAAAGAAACCTTCCCGAGCAAACATGTTAATTCGGACAATGCTGTATTTCAATCAGTTTTTCTCCATGTAAACCAAGGTGAATCATTGGCTGACTGTGGATAGACCAACGTGATACTTTCTGTGTTGAAGCCAGTCAAATGTCATTAGCTGTCGGTGTCTGCATTATTGTTGTTTCGTGCGGCCTCCGTCGCTTCTAGTTCGCACCACTTGATCAAAGCTGTCTGCAGAATTTCCGCCTTCGGTATGCTAATATCATCGCCCGCGAGGAGCTTGCAAGCTAATCCCCTTCTGGCATGGTATACCTTCCTGACCCATCGTGCTGCGGCAGCTAGCTGTGGATTGCCCTCTGCGATTTCCAATGCTTACCCTCTGCCCTCTGTTAACTGGTGTCCCAGCTGCGCAAGCATGTCCGGCGCACGTGGCGCCGTACTTCTCGATACTCTTGTCCATTGTATAATCAACAACAACACTCATTGTACTTTCGTGTCAGTCAACGCCAAGGGCACATGGAAACAGCCAGTGAACTGGTTCTCACGATTTGGGGCAGGGAAAGCCTTGCTTGGAAAGCAAGGTAATTAGGAAACCACGCCAGATCTGTGTCTGATGTTATCCATGACAGGATCGCAGACGATCTCTTTGGGAGATGTCGTTCCTGTGATCTAAATATCATGGCGCTCCAGAGCGGATGTTGTTACGCAGTCATCATCGTTGCTGCAATACATGTGAGACATCGGACAATTAAGCTGCTTTGTTGAACCCGGTAGCAAATGGCTACAAGGACGGTTCGTGTTTTTGCCCTATTCTTCAGGTGTCTTTCCATTCAGTTCCATGATTTTTGCCCTTCTTTCACGCTGACAATGCAAGATGTAAGAGATGGGCATTCGTTGAGGTTTCCAGTCCCTTACCTCGTCTGTTGCCTTGATAATGCGTAGCCTCTCGACCTCCCGCGCACACTCCGCCAAACGCTGTTCTACTTCCCCAATAATCTGTCTCTCAGATTCGACGCGCTCCTCCTGAGCCTTCACTTCTGCTTCCTTGCCCTCTAATTTCGCGCGCTCCTCCAACACGTGGGCTTCTGCCCTTGCGCGTGCCTCGGCGGCTTGCGCCCTAGCCTCATGGTATTTGCTTTCTGATTTTTGAACAGCAGCAAATGCCTTGGCGTGCGCGGCTTCGGCCTTGGCTTCTCGCTTGATGGCAGCTTTGTGTTGCTCTTGGAGTGAGGCAAGCGTACAAATAGCTGTATTGAGAGCGGTCCTTTCTGCCACCGCTTCCAGCTTCAGGAGCCTGGACAGCCGTTTGGATTCCCTCTCTACTCAGAGGCGAGAAGGTCAGACGGTCCTCAAGCTAAATATCGCCAAGACAACCTACTCTCTTCTTTATAAATTTTTTCCTTTTCCTTCTTGCTTAAGATTCTTTCAGCGCTAGCGCCACGCTGATAGATGTTCTCATCGACACCAGGTTCGGCGTTTGGTCCGGCGAGAGCGGAACCATTTATAAATGCAGTAGTGGTCGTTGCGGTCGTGCGTGCAGTGCGAACGGAGGCTTTTCTCCCTATACCATCACCGCTATGTCCACTACTCTTGGATTTAGCCAGCGGCTTGTCGTCCCTGTCCTTGTCGCCTGTAAACTCTGGGAGGGGGTGGAAGGAAGAGGTACGTCTGACCTGTTCAGGACGTACAGGATTATTGGTCTCAGTAGCGGTTCCGCCCACACGGTCGTTGCCCCTTCCGTTGGCACTACCAGGACTATTTGGTTGGGGAGGGCCATATGTTCGAGATGGCTTTTTGTTGCGACTCTTCGAGTTTCGTCGCTCACTTTTACCATTCGCTTCAATTTGGTTGCCCGATCCCTTATCAGTATCTCCCGCTAAGTGACGCCCCTGTTGATAGACAGACGTGCTTGGTCTCTGGGTGTTAGTGTCGTGTTTGCCGCTATCATCACTAGAGTGTGAGTGATACATTGGAGCGTCGAAGTAGATGCTCCGTTCGCTGCCGCTAGACATTAAACGCGGGGTATGAAACCTTGGTTTTGGGCAGGACCACACCATTAAATACAAAAACCAGACGTCATCAAATCTCCGCTGGTGACGTCAGTCAACAGAAAGAAGTAGGCTAATGTAGATGGATTAGAAAAGCTCGTTTTCCGCAAGGTCTCGGGTAGCGTGGGCTAACAGTTCGTCGTCCTGGTCAGCATAAAGTGCCTTCACCACCTCCTGTTCTCTCCATCCACCGCCATCTACAGGCTCCAGTGTGTATTCAACTGATAGTGCAGACAGTACTCCTCCGTACGCATGGGATATACCTCCGGCCGTTTTAGTCTTACCTCCCTTCGTAACAGAAAAGAAAAGAACGACTCACCGGTGTCAATGATCAGTACTTTTCCTCCGCACTTTGCAACGATGCTATGCAAGTTGGGAGTATGACCCATTACCATCCGACGTGTACCAGTTTTCTGCAGCACCTGGTCTGCTTGTGCACACAGCCTCGCTTCGTCTCCTTCTTCTGCCCATCCTCGGTACCACAGCGGTCCGTCACTCCCATATAGACGTGCCTCTTCACGCGTCGTGCCAACGGGAAGCCCCGGGTATGCGTGTGGTGGGTGCGGCGGTGGTTGTGGATCCCTTGACCGCAACCTGTGAAAGAGCGAGGCGGATATGTTGTTGATCGCGCTTGGGAACGGCTGCAAGTTAGGGTATGACGGTGCTAGCCCTCCATGCACAAACGAAAACGCCGCATGTGAAAGGGGCCCTGCGTTCGCACGCTGGTACTGGCTATCCTCAGGGGGCGGATAATCGGTATTAGGTGGACCTAGCAGTGCATGCAGGGGCAGTCTGGCTGCTGTAGTATAGTTAGAAGCCCAGATATTAGCCAACCACCCTGTCGTTACTGCCCTTTGGCGCTTGCTGATCGACCCGAATGTTTCGACTTCGGATGGAAACACGTATCTATGAACGTGTTCGAAATTCGAATCGAAATGCCAATTACAATACATACCTCCAGTCACCTATGTAGAAACAGTCAGCACCATCGATTATACGATGAGAATGACTCTGCAGGTTTACCTATTGCATTCATCCATTCATGGTTTCCTAGTAGTGAAATCATGATACCACCCATCCCATGCGCCTGCTCCCTCAGTTCTTCCAGCCATTCATAGAGCGCAATCGTATCATCTCCTCTAATCCCCATAGGATATTTCAAAGTCCACACCCCAGCATGTACTGCGCGGGTTTACATACCTGTCGATAATGTCACCTGTCTGTACAAATACATCCACCTCCCCAGTCCATAGCCCATCTTCGTCAACCACACGCGCCATTTGGAGAACTCTGTGTGCATTGAGCAGGTCGCCGTGAATATCCCCTACGGCGACAATCCGCCTCTTGAATTTGGGACGGGGGTCCACATCGGCAGCGGCGTCCACCGCAACCCCGGAAAGAGCTTCTAATGTTGAATCCACAGGAACTCCGGTATCTTTTATTTGGGAATGAGGCTGAGCCAACGGTGCTTGGGCTTCGGAACCTAGCTGCGTTTTCGACAACGCATGAAGCGGGGACATGACGAAGGCCTGCGCATGCCCCACCAGACTCGAGAATGTGATACCGTACCACCTGAGTCCAAACCCTAGATGAGGAGCTGGTCCCAGTGGGGAAATGTAGCTCTGCGCGAGGTATGCAACTGAGAGGACTAGAAGAGGTAAGACTGATAAAGTCCAAGTCGAAAGGCGAGGCATTTCTTTCTTCCCCTGCCTCAGAAGGTAAGAAAGTGGCACTTGACGCGGACTGAGATAGCGTTGATGACAGGGTGGACGACACGGGCCAGTGTAAGGGTTGGATGCTGTCGTGTGGTTAACCTGTTGAAGGCTACTGGGTTCGACTTCCTCGCTGGAAAGAACGAGGAAACTGAAAAGCCAGGAAACTCGTGTCTTGCTTGCTATTTGAACTGGCAGCCAACCATCCCAGGGGCCTCGAGGCAGTCCGCAACGCTAGTACTTAATGAAACGCAGCAGCCCAAGACAACGTGGGTAGCAGGCGGTGCACACTGCAGAACTCTGTGCCCACTACCTCCGCTTGCAGCTTTACCGCAGCGGCGACATTCGCAAACTCTACTGGCATTGACACGAAGGCATTATCGATACAACCACTATTATATCTGCCTCACAAGCTACTACTGGTTCGTTTCCTGAGCAACATACTATGGTTCGCCGTCCCATTAGACTGCAAATTCATGTCACTGGTTGGACTCGTTGAGCGTCGAACACTGAGAACGGAATATCAGAGGTCGACAGCATTCCATCAGAATAGAACGATCCAATTCTGGTTCCCTTCGACCGGCTGTCCACGTTCTGGCCCAAGAAGCATATAGTACAGGTCAAGAAGCCAGAAGTTCAATGAAGAGGCTCAAGAGCTACAGCCCCAACGCCGCCAAAACTTCGGCACTCTCCTTGACGAGCTTCCGAAATCTCCCCTGTATTCCCCTATTTCTCTGTAACGAGAGTTCGGACTTTAGATGCTGGAGCAGCGAGCAAGCCCCGTATCTCTGCGATCTTTTTGAAAATACTGCGTAAAAAGCGCGTGTGCCGAGCCTGTCGAAGCAAGGCGGATGCAATGAGCATAAGCTATTCACATATGCCCCGTACCCAAGCTGGGGACCGAAAGGCTGGGTCCAGGCTGCGGACGTACCAATTGACGAGCACCCTCTGCACGTTGCATCTGGCTCCGTTGGCTTTCGCAACCTCATTACGGGATTTACGCAGGATACTTGCGTGCGAATATCGGATGACTTGACGGATGGTATCTTGGAGTGGGTTTAGTACATGTGAGTGGCTACGGGACATTGAAAGCGTACTGTTAATGAAAGCCGCATTTTTTGCAACGTCAATGCCCCAGCTCTCGATATAGTAGTCCATCTTGGCAGCTGTGATCAGAAGGTTCTGATAAATGTTCCGGTACACGGTGTGGGTATCATTGAGAACTGCATCGGTGAAGATTATGTGGCTCCTTGACTTAGCCAACCTAAGCCAGGCTATTAATCGCCTCCCAGAACCAAGGTGCAGAGAGAGACAGGAGGGGTACTCACTGTAACATCTTGTGAACGAAGGCTGCGCCTTGTCGGCGACCCTTCTCTACAGTCAAGGAATGCCTCAGATCTGTACCCACTAGTTAGGAAATACACACAGGCCACCCAGTCGCGAGAAAACCTCACCAGTGCCACTATATCTCCCATAATCTGCCATCACTGAAAGATCCGTCATGTTGATCAGCAACCCACACCATGCAAAATCTAAGGTTTCAACATCAAGCACGCCGACCACGTCGCGGGAATGAGGCAATCATGTACGCACGTGTCTGAGCGGCTGAAGTGATGTTCATAATTTCCGCGCCATAGTCAAAATTGGTTACCGTCTTCTCCTTCGAGATCATGCAACCATATTCTGGATGACCTGCGGCTGTGTGTCACGACGGGCCCAGGTAACGGAGAAAGCTCTCCACCTTTTACCATCACATCTAGGAAGGACTTGGCTTTTTGCAATGTAGTAGTGACGAAAAAATAGTCATCGATGAGCCTCAGCAGGATCTATTGATGTCCACTAAGTTGAATGAAGGATGGTAAGGATGGGACCTACGCTTTCGGGATCGTTCGAGCTGAAGTTGCTGAGTTTCCCCCTCTCGAGATCCCCATAGAAATAGCAACAGAGAATAGCGGAAAGTACAGACCCCTGCGGGATACCAACAACTTGACGATAGTACCGTTGACCAATCTAGTGAATATGAGCAACAAGCCAAATACCATTTCCTGACACTCGCCTTAACTATGTTTTCATTAACGTGTTCTTCGAGCAGCTGCATGGCGTTGCGTCTACTCTCAAAGCTATAATTAACCTGGAAAGAATTTAGCAAAAAAAAAGGTGTCCGGAATGCTAACAACTTCACCTGATCTACGAATATACTTTGTCGCAAAGTACTGGCAAGGTCACGAGCATAAGCTACGAAATCCGGGTGTTCATCTACTCGGGAGTCAGTCCAGAACCTAGGGGAGACGCCGTCACTCCTCTCACCATCTGGATAGGCCTTTTTTGTGTACACCCGTCTGATCTTCCCAGCGACAGGAGCAATCTGGCCGTATTTCTGAATGATGTAGTTGTCCTGTACGCGAGCATGTTACTCATCTTCAGCAGGAAGAATGGTATGCAATCACCTCAGACATCAAATCTTTGAGAATATTGAGCAGCGTCGATTGCTCTATCGTGTCGAAGCAAGCCTGGACGTCAACTTTGACGAAGTACAGCTTTGGGCTGGTCCGCTCAGATTTCTTAGCGCGTCTCGGAGCACATTCCGATACTCACAATTGGCCAGAAGGGTATCGATCCAGTAACCTCGTCTTGAAAGCCTTGAGACGAGCATAGATCTCATTCGGTCCAAACACCGAGGCTCCTAGTAAGTCGGGCTGGCGTCGCTGCAAACTGTGTCCCAAAGCATGTCCTATATATAAAAAATCGGACTACCCACTCTTTCATACGTCAAGATTTGGAATGTAGCCTGCAGTACTTGATTGATTGACTGCTCCGGCCCAGAATATATGGCACCCTAGCAGAGTGTGAGAGCTCAATCACATAAAAAAGAGATTCCACACTTTTGGTCTACTTCTTCGTCTAAGATTGACGATTGGGCGGACACCCGTCTCCTTCGGTAGCAAGCGAACAAACGAGAAGCCTAGCCGTCGTTGTCGAAGAATTTCCTCTGCTTCACGCTGCACCGATCAGGCTACAAGGCGGTTTGTTGATATGCATGAGCCATACCCGTTCGATTTGCTGGAACGTCTTCTCGCTCAGCTGATCAATAAGCGGCGCACAAAGTACCTCCCAATCGTCTTGACGGAAATATAGGACTTGATTTCTGAATGCTGACGAATCCGTAACATAGAACGTGGTCTACGGGATAGCTGGGTTAATCTTCAACACGCTGACGAAGAAGAACAAACGTACTTTCACTAGTGGTATGACAAAGGAATCGAAGTACCAAAACATGAATTCCTCAAGCAGCTCACGGCGTTTTAGTGCATCTGTGACAGACACCCTCACTTGCTTGGTCATGCCTGTACCGGGTGGCATGACCCAATCGCAATCAGCGGTACTGAATCCTCGGAGAATATAATGCAACGTGAACGTCTCGTGACGCCTGAGACAAATGAATTCCTTGAGGTCTGAGATGTAGATGAATACCAATGAACCCGATGAGTGTGTCGATTTACACGAAAGAAAACTCACAGCGTTGCACAATGTTAAAGTTCCTCTTACTTCCCCAGAATTGCTTCGGAATGACAATCTTCGTGATCAGCAACACATAGCGGAATACCTATATAAATGCCGTATATCCGGTGTTTCGAGAAGAAAGCTGAGATCACACCTACTTCTATGTCACTACAAGCAAATTCGACAAATCGCGGCTTTCCTTGGGCATGATTCTGGGCTTGGGCGAGTCCTTGCGGTAAAATAGAATTTCCTTCAGAATCTAAAGAGATATTGTGCTGTGACATCTGCGAGTGCGGCTTGATATAGATCGAATTCTCCGAAACCATCTCCTGCCCAGATGGTCAATGAAAACCGGGGGGAAATACTTTGAAACTAACCAAAATCACACTGCTTTCGATATCCTTGTTATCGGTGCCTTTGATCTATATTTATGGTTAGCAGAGCAGCCAGTCGAACAACACGATTCACACCTTCGAAGGGCAAACTTTGTCTCTTAAAGGCTTGTACGCACACTTCCCGTGCCTCCATATCATCTTGTCTAACAACAGAAGTACATCTTTGAGGCGCTTAGGAGTTTTGCATCTCCCGAGGAGCTAGGCAACCAATGGTCAGAGGAAATAGCTAAGGCAAATCGCAACCTACCCTGATGTCATATTCCCTGTCAGCAAAAAGAGGCTGACGGTAGGTTTCACTCCTGTTGGCAACGTGACCGAAAACATTTGGGAGCCCGTATTGCAAAGGGAAAACATATTTGCTGAGATGGCGCACATTCCTTGCCTGCTCCTCGGGGTCAGGATCTTTGTAAGTAGCAGGGTCGCGGGGGCTTCTTTTAAAGTACGCCGGATTAATTCGGTTCAGAATATCTACAACCTAATGAAGGGGATTGTCGCCTCGCGATAAAGAGAGTATACGCACGATCGTAAGGTAGCCCGACGACTATTCGATATGCGTCTGGATCTCTTGACGGCCTCGCATAAAATATGCGAGTGCGAACGAACGATATATCAGCCGGAGTGCGTCTATTCCTCATTCAGAGCCTGGCGCAATTTCAAATATGCGAGACCGTTACCTTTCAATTGGCTGATTTACGTTTTGTCGAGCTGAAGCTTTCACGGACTTCGTGGCTCCATTTGAAGAGACCAAAATCAGTTTCTGCCGCTTACGGGGCAACGTCACACTAGACTCCAACTTCCGTTTTGCATGAGGCCGAGTCGTTTGTTTTGCCATGAGATTGGTCCCATTTGCCAGCGGAATGTAGATGAGAGGCTCTCCAGTTAATTGACAAAGACATTCGTTGGGCAAGGAAACAAAGATCGAGGTTTTCAGAAGTAAGTGAAGCATTGCGTCCGCTCCAATTCTGATCCTTTACGTTAAGAAACCACTTCTGCGGTTCTCTAAAGCATTTACCTTTGCAAAAGAGTTTCCCATTCAGGTGCTTGCAGGGCCGTTATTATAGTGTTAACGAAACGGTTGGTAACCCCAGAGGTGGTCGAGTTGGCTGTTGCGTTATCGCTTGCCTAGGTAGGAGTCTAGCATTCGTACATAATCCACGCTGGACACACTCACCCTTTGATAGCCCGAAGCGATAATGTTGTTCGGTCTAGCTCTAGAATGGAGGAAGAGCCGCTCGTGCGCTTTCTGTATAATCTGAAAGAGTAAGGTTTTGAGCAAGCCACACGGATACATGAGACGGAAACTTACATCTCTCATGTACATTAGCGGCGGTATTTGCATGAAACGCGGGTGGGATTCTGTGCCGGTGGATCGCAAACCAACGACGGAAGTCGTCAGGAGTTCACTGTACTCTTGCGAGTCCCCTTCTCGAAGCAGACTGTTGTCTGTACCCTCTCCAGCAGACGCGTCTGGAGGTTGTGTGACAAGAATCTGAATGAGATAGTCTCTGAGAGGGAACACGTCATCAAAGTATACGTCAAGGACTGCAAGGGTGAGTGATCGACTGGCAGCTTCGACTTGAGACATGGGGGAGGTGCCCGACTGGGGCTGCTACTAACTACTGTAGCATCAAGCTAGTTGGTAGTAGCCCCGAGCGTTATTGTCACAAGCGCGTCCGGGGTCACGTGGTACAATGAACGGTTGTGCCATTATCAAAGGAAAAATGGTTGTGGATCATAAACAGGTGGAATGGTGCTACAATAAGTACTACAGGTACAATCCCTCCGGAGTACCCTCGTTCTTCCTGTATAGCACCTACAAGAAAATACAAGTCAGCGACAATCCAGCAGCAGTGTGTCAAGCGCATCTCGCTCACCTTTTCTCTAGCTGCCGTGAAGTCGACCTTCGTTACCCGCATACGTCGTTCTCTTAGTGCAAGCAACCCAGCCTCGGTACAAACTGCTTTGATATCAGCACCGGACAAATCGTCTTTGGCCATGACGAATTCCTCCAGATCAACGTCCTCGGCCAAGCTCATGCGTGATGTATGTAACCTAATAATGAAAGGTGAGAAGTGCGAGAAATACGTACTGATGTTGGAGATACGTACCGGAAGATATGTCGTTTTGTCTTCACATCAGGTAGAGGGAATTCAATCTTTCGGTCGATGCGACCGGGTCGGATGAGAGCAGGGTCCAACGACTCGATCTTGTTCGTAGCCATGATGACCTTAACATCGCCGCGTGTGTCAAAGCCGTCAAGCTGGTTCAAAAGCTCCAACATCGTTCGTTGAATTTCACGCTCGCCTCCTGACGTCGAGTCGTACCTGAAGCAGGCAATCAGCCCCTACTACATCAATGTCCTAAGTGGAATGCCTGCCGTTTAGTGCCGATGGCATCAATTTCATCGATGAAAACAATACTGGGTGCATGTTCTTCTGCAACCCGGAAGAGCTCTCGAACGAGTTTTGGACCATCTCCAAGATATTTCTGAATAAGCTCAGATCCCACGACACGCAAGAAGGTTGCAGACGTCTGGTTTGCAACCGCCTTGGCAAGAAGCGTCTTTCCGGTACCCGGAACGCCATAGAGAATGACACCTTTTGGCGGTTTGATACCCATTTCTTCGTAAAGCTCTGGATGCGTGAGTGGAAGTTCAACAGATTCCTGCGGCAACACATCAACCCGTGTGTAATTCACGAACGACATAGACATACTTTAATTTCTTGTATTTGCTGTTCCAGACCACCGATGTCTGCATAGCTCTCCGTCGGAGCTTTGTCCAGCTTCATAACGCTGACAAGGGGATCGGCATCGTCCTGCAAAACACCAACCACAGCCTGGTTCTTGTGATGCAGTAATACGGAGCAACCAGGCTCTATGCGGTCCTTGTCTACGAAACTCAAGATCGCGACATATGATTCCGGCCCCGACGCAGTACTAATGATTGCATGGTCGTCGTCGATGATCTCCTCTAGCGTGCCCACCGCCATCGGTGTTCCACGCAAGTCGTCCACCTTGGATCTTTCATCCTGGTTCTTCTCCTCCCTCGATGATTCCGGCTTCAGTCGCTCCTGGTTCTGGATGAATTCTTCCTCCAGAAGCAAATAATCCTTGATGCGTTCCATCTTCAACAGACGAAGGCGACATCTCGTGCTTGGGTAGATAGGTGGCAACTTTGAAGCGGCTGACGGCCCCCGCTTCTTCTTCTTCCCTACGTGGGTTGGCAGTGGGGGTTCCCATTTCTTCTTCTGTGGCTGGTCTTTCTTATCCTTGTCCTTGTCCTTGTTCTGGTCTTGACCGAAGCCAGGAGGCAACCCAGATGGTGTATTACCCTAAACATCCCGTCAGCCAGTGTTCAATTCCACCGAAAGTTAATGCGCACCATGTTGTGTGATTCAAGTCGTCGTCACCGTAATAGAGAGCGGGACGCGTCAGTTAATCCGAAACGGGACAGGAGACCACGTGACTTCCGCTGACCCTTGGCCCGCACGCAGCCAACGCCGTCCTCGACGACTGCAACATGAGTCACGCGTCTTCGACCATGGCATTCTCATCCTCGTCAAGGTTCATTGAAGCTGGAAAGTTGTCCATTTTCGCTAAAACAACGTTCCAGGCTGACATGTCCAATTTGTGAACAGACGAGGATGATGATTTGGACGAACAGGACATCCCTTCCTTTGCACCCGAAGGGGTTGTTCCCGGGCCCGTCGACAAAGGAAAGGGTCGTGCATCTGAGCAGATTCCCGCACCCACCAGAAAAATATCCCCCGCTCCTGCGGTTTCTGGCAACATCGGAAGTTCCAATGGTAGGAGCCAACCCAATCGGCAGACAGTCGGGGGCATTCGCGTCGAGACTCGGTATGTATGCTTGTGGTTATACATCCCGCGGACAAGCTGACGTTCTGATTGTAGATACACTGGAGTCGATACACTCGACGAGCCAATAACCGCGACTATAGTCCGTCCACTTCCCTGGGCTTGCTACCGTGTGCTGACGCGTACGCATAGATGCGCGACCTCTTATCCATCTACACGAAGCTGGCGCAAGTGCTCTACCCACGTCGCCCCAACAGTCGGGAGGTCCTGAGGTTGGTGACAATTCAGTTTGTGATCACTGCGGTCCGAATAGATACATAGGGACTGGGACTTATGGGGTCCCCTGTTGCTTTGCCTGGCTCTCGGTATCATGCTAAGCGTCAACGTGAGTGTTCCCGTGTCTAGATTAGTGTTTCTCTACATTGTCTGGCGGTCCCACTAGGCACCCGGGAGCCAGTCTCTGGCTCTATTCACCAGCATAGTCGCAATCGTATCTATAGGCTCTTTAGTCGTAACTGTGCAGGCCAAGGTACGTCAAGCAGCTTCCGAACGTTCAATTCTGATCGTGTTTCCCCTAGCTACTGGGCGGCAGAGTGTAAGTTATAGCATATCCGTGACTTCGGTAAAAGGTTGATCTCGGCTGCGCAGGTCGTTCTTCCAAGGCCTATGCGTCTTGGGTTACTGTGTGGCTCCATTGGACGTGGCTGCCCTCATAGCGTGCTTTGTCCGAACCATTTGGATTCGTGCACCGATCGCGATTGCTGCGTGGGCGTGGTGTATTTGGGGTGCGTACATGCCCCACAAACACGCGCAACTTGTACATTTCTGATCTCAAAATGATACAGCTTCAGTGAGTTTCCTGGATGGCGCGAAAATTGAGCAGCAGCGTGTCCTTTTGGCAGTATACCCACTCTTGTAAGTCCTCTCCAGCTGGCTCGATGCCCTAGTTGGTGACTGTGCTACCGAAGGCTCTTTTACTTCGTGCTAGCGTGGATGATTTTGATACAATGAGTACACTTCTCTCTAGTTGTCTTGCTCTGTGTAGATTGGTCCTGTACTACTGTGGTCCTAACTATGTTCGATATTCCATGATGTCAAGTGTTACAGGACAAGTGATTTGGTACTCATAAACTGACTTTTTTGGACGTTCTGCTTTGTAAGAGGAATATTAGTGGGAGTTGTGCTACTATCAGCTCGATAACGATAACACAGATCGCACATATCCACAATAAGTTGTCCATCTTCTACTCTCTAAGTGGAGCTGCAGATGCCATTGCGAGTCGGATACGGTGAACTCGAAAGATCGGAGCCGTACCAGCCCCTCCACTTACCTGCCAGTTCGTAGTTCGAGAACACTTCTGCTCCCCTTTGCTTCAGTACGAAGCCGATGACAAAGGCAAGACATTCACTCTTGTTGAGTGCCCGAGTACGTACATATCGCGCTTCCGCAGCTTATTGGGTTCTCGCTCATGACTACCCTCATTTCGCAAGGCGGAACAGGGCAGCTCATATCCCGTCTGACCAACGATGAGATCGACGTTGCGATGTAGGTGCTCCTCGAGTACGGTACTTGCGCTGTGTCGATTAAGGTTTCCCCCAGCGCCCTCACCGATGCTCTGATAGCCGGGATAGCGAAAGGTTCGCAAGCTTATAAGCTCGTCGGAAGCTACGTGACCTCCCCATTAAAATGGCAAGTCCTCCATATCAACACCCCCCTGAGCCGCAAAGGAATTACTAAAGACTCTACGTTCACAGGGCAGTCATCACTGGCTTCGATTCACCTTACAAGCAGATCTCTGATCTCCGGGGTACTACACTCGGCGTATCGAGGTACGGCAGCGGGAGTCATACGATGGCATACGTGATGGCTCTGCAACAAGGATGGGCGACTGACCAGCTCAAATTCGGAGGTATGTACGCTTTTCGCCGAGCCCCTGTTTTGCGAGTGACATAAGGGACGGCCCCTTCTTGCAGTGAATATTGACATCCGTGGTCTGCTCGATTCGGTAAATGATGGATCCACAAGTGCCTTCATGTGGGAGTGGTTCACTACAAAACCGTTCGCGGATGCCAAGGAATGCCAATTTGTAAGTCCCCCCTTTCTATCCAGGACGAAGTAAATACCCGCTGATGAGCATCAATATGTTGCTTGATTGGACCTGGGACCTGGTCGTTTGAATCGCCATACGTACACAGATCGGTGCCGTCCCTACCCCATGGCCGTCTTGGCTTATCGCAGCTCACCCTGAGCGAGCCTCGCCAGCAGAACTTACAACATTCCTGTCTAGCCTCACGTTGTACGTTCGCGAATTCCAGAAGCCGGAGTCTCGTGCCGGACCTAGCGTCGAGTTTATTAAGAAGACGTTTGGATACCCGGAGGAGGACGTAAAGGTAGGCATGCATGGATAATTTTCTTTTGGCCGACCTGAATCAATGAGGCTTGACCCTTTCTGTATGATCCGAGCAGGCGTGGCTGCAAACTGTGGAGTACACATCCGATTGTACGCAGATTCATTCCGAGGTGTTAAAGCGGACCCTATCGTGAGCCGTATCCGCACCACTTCTTCGCGCTCGCGTATTAACACCAGCCAGGGTCCTTGAGCAGGCAGGGGCAGTCACGTTGCAAGAGGGTGAGAAAATCAGCCCATCCCAATTCGTCAACAAGGAGGTTGCGACTTTGATTACCCCTGAAGATGAGAAATGTCAATAACGTCATAATCCACGTCAGTCTCATGATCAGTCTGCCACTCCACCACCATGTCGTTATCTCTGCAGTTGTCATCAAGTAGCCTATCAGGAGAACCAGAAATTAGAGATCCCATTTTATTCATACACTCTGTAGGTTTAGATAGTTTAAGATGGAAGTCCTGCGAAGCATCTTGCTACATACATGCTAAATACCAATATGCAATGTTCCGCAAGAATGTCCAGTAATGATAATAACAGAATTGAGGGTGGAAATGAACATAACAAGTCAACGGTGGGTGCTACACTAACGTGAAATGTATCTACGTAACCTTGAAACGTACGGGAGGAGTATTCATGGGCAAAGGAAAGTAAATAAGCAAAAAGAAGGGAGGCGTAGCTACCTCAGAATATGTACTTTGCTCGGTAAAGTATGAAAGGTCTGATGAAGGTGTCCTGTCATACCTATGATAAGTGCGATCGAATCATTTGGACGTCTCTCGACTGATCCGGAGAGGGTGTCAGTGGTTCGATAAACCTAGAAAGGGCTTAAATCGACGATCACCAACACGATTTGCACGTAGAAGCACGTACCGGAGCCATATGCGTCCTCCACCACTCTTCTCGCGAATCATCTCCCACACGAAGACGTCACCTGACACCCCCGAAAGGCAGTCAATCAGGGTTTGCCTTCCTTCGGTCGACCCTTCCGCCTCTAGTACCCATTCCCCTCGCCAGCCCTCACCAAGACCATCATCCACATCTACAAATCCCATGCCTACCCGTGCACGTGCTACCCACATGAATTTCCTCGCCATCGCCCAACCTCCTGGGGATGCAGGACTCCGAACACGACACGCAGTCTCCACCAGCGTAAGTTCGGGAACTCCTTTTCCTCCGGGAGGTGCGAATGCAAACCGAGGGCACACCTGGCTAGGCATCAGGTGGGTGTAATAGAACGGCGTGGGCAAAGCCAGGGGGTCCGACAGTGGTGGCGACGCAGGAGGACTAAATGGCAGAAGTGCTCTACCGTCATATAACAGCCATGTGTTGCGAGGGTCTGTTTTATCACCGTCTTTACTTTCGTCTGCAGGGCTGTGTTCGGACGGAGAGGGCACATAGCCCAGATTGCACACGATATCGCCGGTGGAAAGGTATTGCCAAAGTTCCGCTGCGAGAAGCTGTTCCTCGCATGCCGCTATTGCTTGGGGGGACAGGGTGGTACAGGGTACGAACACGCGCAACACGGGCGCCCGTATCCGAGACGTCGCGGCGTAGAGATCGTGCGGAGAGTCCGGCACTCGAGTATCGCCGTTCGTTGGACGCAAAGACGACGGAGATGATGAACTACTTATTGATGACGTAGAACTAGCAACGTCTGTGGATGCTCTCCGATGATGTGAACCCGTGAACCGTCTGGAAACATCCTCATCCGAAATGATACCCCTAGTGGAAGGTGATGGGGGCGCTGTCTTAGCTGATCGGGATGCTCTCCTCCATCCGGCTTCGTAATATTTCAGAGCCCGAGGTTCTGTGGGAGGGGGAGGTGGGGGATTCTTTCCTCCGAAAATGGAAAGTTTCCTGGATCTGTGTGGTCTGTTAGGATCGACGAGGGTGGAGGTTGAGAACGAAGGTGCGCTCCCGCCAAACTTGGAGGTGGCTTCGCGTGACAAAGGGCTAGGATTACTCATTCGGAAACGAGGGGTGTCCAGGGATTTTCGGCGTGTGTCGTTGGTTGGCGGTACGCTTTGAATTTCAGAAAGGAATGCGAGGGGAGCGGGAAATGATAATTCACGGTTTCCATGACGTGAGATAGATGAAGTGATGGGCGGAGGTGATCGGGACTGGGGATCAATCGGGAGGGGTAACGGTGAACTGTGTACGACGGACTGGAGCAAGAGTACGAAGCGGGAATGAGCAAGGGCAAAGGCGACTAGTCTGTCTGACAACTCGGATGAGGCAAGCTGTTCCGCAGGATCGTGAGAGGAGAGCACGCCAAGAGCATGCATAGGATATTGGTGGAGCGGAACTCGTTGGGAAAGCACTGAAAATGAATTTGTGCGCAGCAGCTCTGCCGTCAGAGCAATTGCCTGGGAATAACAACGGGAAACCAGACGAACTTAGTAGATTGAGGTCTTGGATTGTGACGTCTACGTCTTGAAAGAGTGCGATGTCTCTGTAGCGGAGTGCTTGGCGGTAGCTGTCGACATAATGGGACAGGATGATATCTCTGAGTTCGCGGTCGTCCCAGACACGCCGGACCTGAGAGCAGGTAGCGAGAAAGGAGTTGAAGTCGGACCAGGGGGTGAAGGAGAGGATGCGTGCAAGGATGCGAGGGTTTCGCAGCGCAGATGTACACCTACGCTGCATGTGGTGCCACGCGCGGGCTTTAGTTCGGGATGATGCAAGCTTGGGCGGTGGTAGTTTTTGACGCAGTGGAGCAGCGGGCTCAATGAGCGTGGTGTCAGGGGGGAACCTCCTTCTGTCACTCACGATATTGGACAAGTCGACGTCGACATGACGGACTGAGTGCCTGGGAATGTCCTTAGGGAGAGGAGGGAGGGGCCGTTCGTCCGTCGCGGGACCGGGTGGGACGGCGGGATCCACAGGGAGAGGGTCAGAATTGGACGAGGATGCATCTGAGTTTGTGAGGGACGGAGTCCTGTCTGGATACAAATCCATCACCAGCGGGAAGGGACGCATGGCCTGGGTTGGGCTGTTTAATACCTGGGCTGGGTTGGAGTAGGACTAGTGTCGGGCCAGCCCATAACGACAACAGTGCCTATAATATAATTATAATATTGTAATAATAATAATACACTGCATCACTGTGTTCTAAATCAGGAGCACCACGGGTAGCTGTGTTTGGCCCTGCTTGGACCCATCCAATAAGCACGTGCATCACGGGCGCATCTACTGGCACTAGCCTGTGTGGTGTTGCAAATTACTCCACTCCGCCATGGCACCAGTAAGTCTGCATCCATCGTTCGCTGCAGAATTTGTCGTTCACCAGTCCACTCCAGTCCCATGACCTCGAGCGCGACATTTTTGGTGATGGCTCTGAGCTGTCTTCAGAAGAAGATGGCATGTTCCTCTTCTCGCTTATGTACCCTAAACTGAACCCTTCTCTCCAGACACCCCCCAAAATCGCCAACGCCAGAGCCAGGGGCGTCTTCCCGCTGTAGAAGAGGACGCCTTTGGCTCCTCGGGCGAGTCTAGCGAGGATTATGTCCAAGAGAAACCCAAGAAGCAGAAACGCAGGCTCAAGTCGCGTGGCGCTGCCGATGTCGATGATGGCCAGCCAGCTCGAAGGAAGCGTAAGCGTAAGCAGCAGCTCACAGAAGAAGACCTCAATGAGCTACCGCCAGAAAAAGGTCAGCGCAATTACAGCTTTTGCCCAATCCGACGTCGCTTACGCAGTATGATATTTAGCAAACAAGCTGCGCCTTGATATGCAATTTGATGCGATCCTGAAATCCAAGAAATCCAGGCCAAAGAAACGTAAGAACGACGAGGACGTTTTGGATCCCTACGCCGACGAAGAAGTCTCACGGCTGCGGGAGGCGATGCTGAACGCAGCTGCGGACGACGAACAGGCTAACCGCGACAAGCTTCCGGCTACCAACAAACTAAAACTATTACCTCAGGTCATGGAGGTCTTACGAAAGTACGCCCAGCTTGCCATTAGTTCTATCGCAGGATCCCGCGGACTAATTTATCTCAGGCAATCTCTCTCACAGTCTATAATGGACAACAACCTTTTGGAAGGCGTACGCAGGTGGCTCGAGCCGCTGCCAGACCGATCTTTGCCCGCGCTAAATATACAACGGGACTTCTTCCCTATCTTGCGGAAGATGGAGTTCATCGACAGCGATGTGCTCAGAGGATCTGGCTTAGGGCGCATCGTTCTCTTCTATACGAAATGCAAACGTGTCCATCCTGACATACAACGCATCGCCAACGATCTCGTCTCTACGTGGTCCCGTCCCATCATAAAACGTAGCGCATCCTTCCGTGACAGAGTTATTCCCGTTGCACAGGACGACACTATCGAACGCAGCAATGAGCGTTTGAATGCCATCCTCGCCCGCGCCAAAGAACAAGAGAAGAACCGTATCAGGAAGAACGCCGTCATGATTCCTCAGCGAGACTATACTAATTACACTGTCGCCCCCAAAGCTACAGCTGGTTTGAGGAAAAACGATGCTGTCGATCACGACGTCTCTCGCAGGAGGGCCAACAATGAACGGCTGAGAACGCTGTCCAGGAAAATGTCCACGCGGCCATGATGCTGCCAAGCAATTTAGGAGTTTCAGTGCTCATATAGGAGTATTTGTACCTTGTTTCCGGGTAGTGGTTTCCATATTTTTCTAGTAGCTTGATATAGGGTAGCACATTTCCTTTGTTATTCCACCGCTTTTCGGCATTCGGTTGATGCCGATGTACTTGGCGACGTGATGTCGACTCAGGGGTTGACGTCGGGTCGGATGCAGTGTGCCAACGCTACCGCCTGCGCCGCCATCCTTGGTCAGCGTGCCCTTCAGATGCCCCTGCGCCGAATTGCAGGAGGAAAGCTCCTGACGTATCGCAAGATATATATATATCATTCCAGCGAAAGAAGCGGACAATTGATGGATGGATGATACGGAACACTTGAAGCAGGCATGCCGCACAAAGCATACGAGACCCAATGGGTTCCCGACATGCTTCACCTCGCACAATTGCTCCAGAAATAAAATCGAGCCGGAGGGTGACGAGTTAACTGGCCCCGATAAGCCCCGTGGTATTCAAGTCCTGGGGCGAGAACATGTCCGGATAACGCGTATGCCGACGGACTCCAGCTGATCCTGGAGAGATGCCAGCGCACACGCAAGTCGTAGCTGGATGGTTAGTCAGGGAAGCCGAGGCTGAGTGTCGATCTGTAGGATTGCATAAATAACTGTCTCCAGTCATAGATGGCGAAAAAAAAAAACCTAGGTCACTTCAAGAATAGAGCAGTGGAAGCTTCGATTCGAACTTGACAATGATGAGCACGATCCTCGGAGAGGAGTTCAGAAATAAAACAGAATGTATATTTGGGTTGCACATGAAGTGTTACAAAAATGATTCCAGGTAACAAGCGCACCAAGTTCCGGCCCAACGGGACAACAAGCATTTGTATGTCCAGGTACTTGCCTGGATGCCAGTCACCACGACGAATACAAGAATCCTGCACATCGCGAAAACGTGAAGAAGAATCCCCTGACAAAACCCATGCAAGATAATAATCCGAATAAAACCAGAATGAAGTCCTTGGTTATAAGCAAGTTAGAGAAATAACTGCGTCGGACTGGTCCAGAGGCTCTTTCATAATATCAAATAAATAATCTAATAGCACAATAAACCCCTTCCAGCAGTGGAAGAGGTTGAAGCCCTGCTTCGAATGGGAGGAAGGGAAAAGCACAGCAGAATATAGAGGTATCACCAGGATGCCAAGGATGAGTATAAATCAGGCCAGCGGGGTATAACCCAACATTTACTGAGGGTAAAGATGTGTGCCTTAAAGGGCAAAGGCAAAAGCGCCAGCGACTGCAGCGCCGACGATGGTGAGAGGGCTCAACGGACGGATAGCGAGAGCACCGGATGAAGAGCCAATACCAGCGTTTGCAGCACCAGCTGGAGAGTAGGTAGCTGTAGATCTACGAAAGCGTTTCGTCAAAAACGATGCCAACTCTGATAGACGAAGACATACGTAGCGCTGGGAGAGGTCGGGGTAGCTTGACCCCCATTAGCAGTAGGGGACCCGGAACTGCTTTGTAGGCAGGAGGTATCGTTGCTGGTACCAACAGTAATCTGAGATATACCCACATAAATAACGCGAACGAATAGAATAAAAGTTGAGAGTAAACTCACAGCTCCGCTCCAAGCCTCATTTCCAGAGGCATCCTCGAGGAAGAGTACGACCTGAGTACCAGAAGCGAGGTTTACCATCCACGTTGTTTCGAGGGTTGTGAAGTCTCCAAGATTCTCCCTGAAACAGAAAACGCGTTCAAAACACACACGCCTTCACCAACCCGACATCGGAACTCACAAAGCATCACCACAGACGTCATCAGCAGAGACGATGAGGAGATTGTATGGAGGGTTGGATTGAGTCCACGTAATTTGAGCATCTTGGCACTGTATATGGAAGACGTGATTGAGAAAGCAAGATCCACGCATGACGTAGTATTAGAAATAGGAAAAGAAACCACCCACCTGGACAAATTGTGGAGTATCAATCGTGAAGTCGGCGAGAACGCTGCGGACGAGAGCAAGAAAGAATGTGAACGAAAAGAGTGCGGCGAACATGTTTAAGTCGCTGTGTAAGTTGATTTAGTACAGGAGGGGGGTGAATGAGGGACGGAGGGGGTATAAACACAATATAGGATGGCGGAGGAGGGACACGGAGAAATTGATGAAGGCTATAATAGGTTACCTTAGAAAAGAAAATATACACACCTCTTATTCAAACCCCGCCTTTTTTGACACGCTTGTCATTGTCGTCTTCATCATTGTCTATGACGATGCAGACGTCGTGCAGGTGTGCATGTACTCACAATAGCTTCCTCATCCATAGTCTGTACGGCGACACAAGGCAGACGACATGATGCGTTATTTTATACTCTGATTTCCGCTCGAATAGAATTGACATGCTTGCAGTGCGCTGCAAACGAAGTCCACGTCCCGTCCACTTCTTATCGTAGTCACCGCTGTTCCCGATGTCATCACAGGCAAGGTAAGTGATACCGTGATCATTGGGAAAGGGGGAAAGGAGCAAGGCCGGCGTCGGCGGTACGCAGCTACCCTCTGACCTGGTGACGTCGTAGTATTAGAGAGAATGTGTGGGTTTCTCAGCTGTTTGTTGTATGCACACTGCCGCACGATGCATTTACGTGGGACACGTGGATGTCAGGTTTGAACTTCTCAAAGCCTGACGTCACCGAACGTGCAGTATTATCCTTGGGCATTCCTTGTGGGCACTTCATTTCCTGTTTCCCTGGTATTACAATTGTCTGCAGCATTGAATATCCACCTCGAAGCCCTGCGGCTCTCTTCGGAGTCAATTCAATCTTCTGCACTTCGGTGTGATTGTACTGGATTCATTTCGATGGATGGAAGCACGTCTGTCACATCCACGCCCACAACGCATGAATTTCATTTCCTCCAACTCGAGCCTACGTACTGTATCAGGTCACATACATAGATCGCAGTCATTCCTGGGCCACACAATGGGCAGGACTTTAAACCCCAGCCCGATAGGTATGCGTACATCAGTATCGGTATATAACTCTCCATATTCTCCTGCGCCCGCAACACGACAGTTTCACAACTTGCTCTTCACTCCTGTGGCCAAACTTCCAATCTCGGCTAACCTCCTTCTCTTCGCCATCCTGCAACATCAACCGCACTGTTAGCCAGACCCAGGGCATAGGGGGAAGGGAAAACTAGATGCACACTCACCCAGAGTGAACTACGGCGCTAGGTTCCTTGCCTGGCCCTTGCACGGCCTCACGTTCGTCGAAAGATACATAAGAACGTTCAGAGGGACCAACGTAAATCTGCCGGGGTCGCCATATCTTGACACCCTCAGGGGATAGCATCATCTGTCGCAGACACGACACTCAGCGGTATGTTCTGGTATATAACTACAATACACACCTGTCGCCAGTGTGCAACCCATCCAACAACCCGTGGAACCACAAACAGAACTGGGAAGAAATCCATGGGGAATCCTGCGAAAATATCGTGCTCAGAAGGTAGTGCCGCACACGCAAATAATATCCAAATATTACCCATTGCACGATAAATCAGCCCACTAAAGTCAGCCCGTCAGGTAAGTGTATTGGGGAACATTGCAGGGTACGTGCCTCCAGAAGTCCACGTTAGGGGCCAGCTTCCGTGAGACAAAATAGTCATCCTTCAGGGCTGCACCATGGAGGGCCATCGCCGTGTCGAGAAGGGGGTCGGGACCCGTACTTCGGGATTGGTCAAGACCATGCAGCAAGGTAAGTGCGCATACAGATATCACTCACACTGCAAACACATCATTGGCAATTTTGCGAATAATGAACGATCTTGGATCTGACTGGTTACGAATATTGGTCAGCTGCCCACTGAGCCCAAGAACTCATCTCACTGTCTTGTATACCCGATGACCGAACCCACTCAAGACCTTTCTCGCGGCGCTTGACAGCTGCAAGAAATGCGGGGACATTATCCGGACTATCCAATGCACAAGCCAACGTTAAGTTCGCCAATGAGAAGGGACGGAGAATGTTTTACCTTCCAATCGCAACCAACATTCGAATGACAGCTTCATTAGCACCCCCATGCAGAGGTCCACTGTCCAGCCGTGTGTGATTAGTTCACGACAACACTGATACAGAAAAGGGCCACACATACTACAAGGAAGCACATCCGGCTGCAACGGCGCTGTACGGGTCCGGAAGGGACGAACCGGTCTGCAGCACGGTTGTACTCGATGCATTCATCTCGTGGTCAGCGTGCAGGATAAAAAGTACGTCTAGTGCGTGTGCTAGGACTGGATGCGGCTTATACGGTGATGGAGAGGACGATGCAGACACTGAAGCAGAGAACGAGTCAGTGGGCGACAAGTGATCTAGTTGGTAGAGGAAGCTATATATCGTGAGCTTTGTTGTGTGGGGATAATACAGATACATCAACCTACGATTCTGTATAGCTCATCCCCGTCGGGGGAACGACAAACTCCCTGCCTTGTCTTACACGGTATGCCATTCTAGAACGCACAAGTTAAATCGTGCGCCGAAGGGAATTGAGAGTCCAAGTGAGCTTACGCTGCTAGAGTGGTCGCTTTGCCAATAAGCCTGTATATTTGCTTGTCCATGTTCTGGAGCGCCTCCGGGTCTCCTTTCGCACACTTCGTAAAAAGAGTCTGACCTGCAAATGACGCGTGCTTCAGACTCCTCCGGAATCCCTCTCTCCACCCGTCCCCAGTATACCATGAATGCAGACACATACCTTGCAGCGATGGATTCGCTTCCTCATAGTAGCTTCCCAAGTACCCAAATGCACTGGTCAACATGGCCATTGGATGCGCGTCATACCTGAAGGAGCCGAAGAACTTGGTCGCGTCAGCGTGCATGATTCCGTGCAGGAGCACCTCGCGTTCAAAGTGGGAAAGCTGACTGCGGGTAGGGAGGGCGCCATAGATGAGCAAGTAAGCGCACTCTAGGAAAGTCGAGTTTTCAGCCAGCCTGCTCGATCGGGTAGCCTCTTTTGTGTGCGAGCGAGCGACGGAGGGCAACGGTGAACACTGGAATGCGACTGACCGATACGCTAGCTGGCAGACGTACCTGTACCGCAAAATGCCTCTCTCGCCATCGATGTATGTTATGGCACTTTCAATAACGGCCGTATTCAAGAACCCGCGATCGGCTACGCGCAACCCGCGTTCTGTCTCATCCTCAGGACGGCCGTCTGATCCTGCGGGCGCACGTATGGATTTAAAGAATGTGGCTGGGATAGAATTATGGGTGATCCTGTACACAGAAATGAGCGTACGGAAGGGCCAGGAGAACTATTGAGATTCTTACGGAACAGCTGTACTGTTTTCCTGTCCTATTGTCAATGACGGCCAAGGAGTTGTTGCGGGTTTGCTTAACCTTCGGAGTTTCCTGACCCATCCCGTTTACAGGTTGGCAGGTTGCCAGCTGGAGCTCCAACCACACTCCTTTATATCCAGGCGAGGTGCGGTGCGAGTGGCGCAAGTCCTGATACCCGGAAGGCCCAACATATGGGTCCACGATATCACGTGCAAACACCACTCCAAATACCATCTTCACCAAGGATTCCCTACATGTACATTACAACTCGAGAGGGCCCTGCCATTACAATGACTGTGATGTATGAGTGCTTAATTCTATCCACGCCGCTTTGACCAGCCTAAGCCTTCTTGTCTCGTGACAGCCAGCCTGCGGGGAACGGTCAATGGGGGATGCCGCACCACGAGCGACAAGCAAGTTACCTCGCATCTTCTTATCAGCGACCTTCTGCCTTTCATTATCAATAGCGCGCAGCCGTGTCAGCTCAGCGTCCACTATTGTTTCCTCTGATCGCGACGTACGACAAGTCAGAGGAACGCAGCCTTGTGATGACAAGCGTCCTTACCTGCGGGAGATATTTTCTTTACCTCCGTCAGAGCGGTTTCTGCCTTTTCAAAGTAACCACTTTCACCCAGAGCTTTGCCTTTGCGGAACAATGCCTTGGTGTTCTTCGGATTCTTGGCGAGTGCCTGTCACGGGAGAGTGATTTTCAAGTGACAAATGCCTCCACTAAGGCGGAATACCTTGTCCGCCGTCTCTATTGCGCGCTTCCAGTTTTCTTGCTTGATGTGACAGGCAGACATGTTGGCATATATCTTCTCGAGCATGACGTCGACCTAGGACGAGGTTTCACGCTAGCCACGCCACAAAGTGAACAGCGGGGTACCTCGGTCTTCTCTTCTTGTTTGGATTCGTCGGGTGTTGCGGCTGGTGAACCCATACCAAGCGCATTCATTGCATTTCTGTGGTGTATACGTTGGATAGGAGTGGAAAGCTCTACGCGATGACTTACCTGTCTACTCCAACAAGGTACATGATTGCCTGACCGGCATCAGTTGCCCGTGTCAGTAGGCAGAGCAGCCAGCAAGGCATTGAATAAGGCACACCTCGTGATAGGAGCGGAGTGCTGTGCCCACCGTGACCAAGGATCAGTGTACCCACTTAAGATGCCACTGGACGAAGAGAGGATACTCACCACTCTTGACATCACCGCTCTTGAATGCAGCGTCGCCTGCGTCCTTCTTTGAGCGGCCAGTATTGATCTTGGATTCGACAGACGAGATATTCAAAGTACCAAGCTGTTGCGACATTCCATCTATTAATGCAGTTCCAGTTTGTGCCACAGTGGATATGAACGAATTAGCATCGGCTGGATCAGTTGTTGAGATAGCCTCTGACATTGTTTGTGCAGTCACCTACAGAAATCTCAGAATATATCGAGTTGAGGTGTAAGGGGTCTATTTGTACATGTTGTCCTCTCTTTCCTCTTTGGTCACAAACCACCACCGATACCGTCCACACAGTGAAAAGGAAGAAAACGAGCAACACAGGATGGCACTCCTCACTACGATTGCTGGATTTTCTTTCTTTGGGCTCGCCTCGAGGTTTGGGCAGCTTGCCATACAGAAACGCAACCTAATGGACAGTACGTCCTTTTCCACTTGCTCCACCTCCTTCCGACCGCACGTTCCCTATGCCCATAACCCTTGTCATTTGTATTCGTCTGGTGACCATCGTGCCCTAATGATACCGCGTCAACCCATTTAGACCTCGGCGGACATTTCGTCGCAATGGCCGCATTCGGTTATGCGGGCTACTGGGCCCATGTGTTCGAAACGCGTAGCGGAGAGTATCTCGCCATGAAACGTGCAGAAATTGCAGAGCGGAGAGAACGCAGGCTTGAAGCACGGGAAGAGGCAGTTGCAACAGGGGTTCTTCCGGCATAACGGAGCCAATAATCGAGACATCTGCATCATTCTCGAGAATGTCATTAGTTAGGTGTGTAAGATGCTTCCATTGAACGCTGTTAACATTGATAGGGCGTTGTCAGATATACCCTATGTATTTGGGTAGTGGTTTGCCAACACGATCGGCTCCATTCTTTTGGGAACTCATCGAACATTGTGTGATATGAGCTTGGAGGTTTGTTGTTGGACCAGGTGTGGGTTAGATCCTCTCCGCTGCCGCGCATCAAAGTGGAAGAATGTGAGATGGAATTTTTGAAAGGAGTTCGTGTTCCCGGCGTGTTTCTCGACTACGCGCTTTTCGTGCAGGAGATGCCGGTCACGATAACACCATCGGCACTCCACATTGCACGCAAGCCATCTCACCAGACGCAACGTATGCGTCAAGGACCATGCGATCGAGTGTATCTTCCAAAGCACCTTTGCACAGAAGATTCACCGGGCCGTTCATGCTATCAGCAATCCAGTCCCACCTAGCCCCTTCTTGACCTGGCCATAACCGAAAGAGGACCATCAGCGCATCACGTTTTGGGGTGGAGATATGTACTTATGAACACGTGGGACAGCCACAGAAACACCGCAAGGGATCTTTGGCAGGGCGTATAAAACCTGGGCTCCCAAGGCGTTTTTCAGGCGGCCCAAGAATAGAATCTACAGCGAACTAATGCCTTCCTATGCCATTCTCATCATGCCTTATGCTTTATGATCGCCCAAGTCATCTTTCGTAAACTGCGGGGTACGTTTCTGTCGCTCTTCATCGTCGCAACGAGTAATGACACCGCTGTTGGATGGCGTTTAAAGGGAGAGTATCTGCCCCGTCCAAAGACAAGACATAGCTCAACATAGAGGGGACTTCGTTCCCGGCACTGTATTATCATACGACATCCTTGTAACATGGACCCAAGTTGGTGGAACCGTCTATAGCTATCTAGGTTTGTCAAATTAATCTTCTGGATGCCTTGGAGATGAGTTTCTCATCTCAGCTTGGCAGCTAGACCCCTATACATATCGCGATTACGTCGCGCAATCCTTGTATTTCTAGATCGCTGGTGCTAATCACTGCTCGGTGAATCATGGAGCCATGTACGATTAGGATTGACGCCTGTCCGACTTGTCCCTCGCCCGTTTTTTCACTGTCTTCGTTAATGTCTATCGTACCGACGTACCGTTTGTTACCACGACTTATTTCAAATATTGATCACACAACCTCGTGTTTGGGACGATATTAACCAGCTGGGAAAGATTTGCTACAAATAAATACGCAAGTGCAGCCAACAAGTGGCTCCTTCCTGACACGACGGCCATGCACCCCGCCAAAGAAATTCCACAGGAACATGAGAGCGTGTGATTTCAACGAAGATGTGATTGACACGAGGCAGACCACGTGTATGATGGCATTACGTGTTTGCGGCGGTGAAATGAGCACTTTGTGCCCGCGGAGCTTGAAAATTCAGGCATGGGAGTGCGTCGGCGCAGGTCGGAGTTTGGAAGTATCATATTACCTAAGCACCACGGAGCGCCATTGTTCCTTTGGCGCGAAACGCGAGCTGTCCGCACTTTTCTCCCTGTCGAGTTACTTACCAGCTTCACGCGGTCATCATCGTCTGTGACGACGACGACGACGACGACAGCCTTCAGCTCGCTGACTTTTCGATAAACACAGGACATTTTCACTTCTTGGGTTCGTATTCTGCAGCAGTCCGCTCGTTCACACTCTCGTACCGTACCGTATCGTATTGGCTCTCATGCCTGCCTCAATCTCGCCGCTCGCTCTCCTTGTTCCCCGCCCTCAGATCCCGGCGAACCACGCCTCTCCTTCGACTCCTACTGGGCACCGTGTTTCAGGCCTGTCTTCCCTGCCGCACACGCCTCAGCGCAGCCCCGTCGCTTCTCACATATTCATCTCGCCCCCCTCCGCGCACAGAAACAGCACCGATTCATGGAACAGTTCTAACTATGACCTAGAGGATCCCGCTGCAGTATGGAAGGACGAGGAGGTCCGTTTACTCTCCAGGGTACGCGTTTCCGTGCTTTTATGTGAATATATGCTGTATTGTCGCTGTAGACCCTCGATGCACTTCCTGCACATCTCATCACGCCCTTCAACGGTCCAGTCCCGCCTTCTAACCTCCTTGACAAGATCGCACGTGGTATCTCCGCAGCCAAAGGTCCCAATGACTGGCCGCATACTGTTCGTGCAACCCGCATCAAACTCCTCGAGTTGGCGCGCGTCAAGGCGCGGGAAGAACGTTATGCCAATCTACATGAACAGGTCGACAATACAACCCGTAGTTCTAGTGCCAGCAAGAGCGAGAAACGCTCGCGCACTCCGGATCCCTCAGAAGTGCTTCAACAGCGAACGAATACGCCTCTAGGAGTTCGCCGACCACTTTACAGACAGTCCAGTATGGACTTCATGAGTCCGCTTGGTTTGGACAAGCACGAAAGCATTACACGGTATCGTATTTGTTCCGTGATCTTACGAACACCACTTATCAACGTCGCATATAGCCTCTCAAGCCGCTTCCAATGGCATGACCGGACATTACACCATCCGTATCATCGACCCGCCCATCTTCGCCACCGGTCCGAGCATGCTAACGCTCGCAGTTTTTCACCATCCACCCCTAGCTCCTCGACCCTCAATTCAAATAATATATTTTGCCTTCGCAAGTCCACTGCTTCTGCGACGTCAGCTTCTACTTCGTCGTTCGGGTCCCCCATGTCACACTGCGCGCCTCTTCGTCCTTCGTCGCTTAGACGTGCGTCGACTGCTACGCTTGCAAGTATTAGCGACGCGCACGAGGACTCTGCAAAAGGTGTAGTAATGGACCCGGCTTTCAATCTCAATGGAAAAGCCGCAGCAGGTACCAAAGGTTCTCCTAAGTTCGAATGCGCAACGGCGTACGGCGGGGGTAAGGACCAATCACCCGCTCCCGTTGTCCTCGCGACTCCATCCAAACCCAAGATGTCAACAAAGATGAGCAGCACCAAGAAGCTAAGAGTCAGTGATGTTACCAAGGAAGTGCATCTGACCCGCCCCACCGTCGATGGCCCCACGACCCCGCGGACTCCACTCCCTGAGTCGCGAGTTGTGACCGAACAGAAGTCGACCCCCAGTGGTACGATCTCTCCCGCCAACGTGAGGAAGGCCCGCAAGGGGCACAAGCCCCAGCTTTCGCTGTCTTCCGATGAAGAATATCAGGAACGCCTGAAGACCGCAAAAAAGCCGCGGACACGTGAGCCTTCATGGACTGCTTTACTTGCTTCTCCACTTCCTACGCAGCCGCTTTTCGTCTCCCCTTACTATGCGACGCGCCGTCCTAAACCCCTATCTACGGCCGGAAATGAGCTTAGCCGCAATTCTGAGACTTGGACTTCCGATTCGTCTCGTATGTCCACAGACAATGATTTGTCCACTGGGAGCACGGATACGGCACCTACATCTGTCTCTTCTGCGTCGCAAGGAAAGCACAAGACCCCCAAAGTTGACGCGCACACTCACATCCAATCGCCCAGCCAGAAGAAACCTGCACGCAGAAACCTTGCCCGTAACCCGTCGATGTTTGGTCCTGAACTTCCTCACCCTCAGAAAACGCCTGAGTCTCCTGCACGCATTCCACTATCTTCACCCAGAGCTATTTCCCCGCCCACGTCTCCTTCCACCGCTCCTCCTGTGACACCGGCACTCACGTCTACACCCTCACTGTCCCCCGCGTGCTCACGTCCCCGCACACTCAAACGTGCTGCTCGTAGGATTGAGTTTGGCAATATCCAGCCCAGTCCTAGGGAGGACATGCGGAAGGAAACCAGTGGAAATATGATGCTTGGTAGTGCTTTCCAGCTTGGGTGAGCGTTATCTGCGAGCGTGCACCAGGAAGAGCAGGCTCTCTTATCCATCTTGCAAAATTTAAACCTTGTTTGCTTCTTTGATCTCCTAAATTTTTATTGCGCTCTCTCTTCTCTGAGCATATTGTATGGTCGGTTTTTCTTCGTTTCACGTCTTCACTCCGACGTTCTTGTTTTCGTTTCGAAAAATTTGTTCTTCATTCTATGCTCCTATTCGTGATCACCTTTTTTGGGGTATGTTCTTTCCTTCGCTCTTCTTTTCTTCTTTCTTTTGTCCGCTTCTTGACTGCTCCTTTCGTTGAAAGCAACATTATTCAGACTTGCCCGGAAATTTCGTATGCAATTTTTCTCGATTTGCTACTGTTTTCTGCCTCACCAGTCATCATGATTGCTGCCATTGAACCCCTCCTCCTAACGACAGGTAAGTAGTTTACTTTGGTCCGTTATTCCCCTGCTGACCTTGTGTTCTGTAGAACGGTTTTTCTGTCATGCTATACTCTTTGCTTGACTTATTTTGCGCGTACCACGCACGCACTCATATTGCCTGGCTTTCGAAAACCATTCCACATCACTACAGCACGCAACTCTCCTTATCGCACCATTCGCACACTCATTCTTCCGGCATCGGATTTTCCTGACACTGTCAAACCATCACACTCCTTTTTTTCGTTTGATATATGCCGCTTTCTCGCATTGACTCGCTGCAGACTTCAATCATATGCAGCAATAGTCCATTCATTGTTCCGTACTCGAATCCCGAAGTCACATTACACTCATTTGATTTGTTCGCAATAACCGAAAATTGTAACTTCCTTGCCGTGCACTCACTGGCTGTACTCACTCCTTTATACACCGCTTGTGCCATCACCTTCGTTCGCATTTCCTACCTACCGGCATCCGTCTCATTCCCTTCTTCATGCACAACCCCCTCGTATCCCAATACCTACCCTTCTCATGTGCGCGTTGACCGTTGAAAAGGGAAGGGTACCTTCATCTTACCTCCACTCATAGCTCTTAGTTGTAACCCTGGTAGTATTTGTACATCAGCCTTGTACATGAAGAGAATGCTGGTTGTGGACACCATCTCGAGCCCTTGTCAACTAAGCACCACTCACCTGATACTGGCCCTGGACGGATATTCAATGGCAATATTTACTTACCCTGTGTCTTCTCTTTAAGCCAATGTCTGTCTTCAAAGACAACTACGACAGGCGGCATCACCACAGATCACCACCTGTGACTGATGAGTCGAATGCATGTCAGAGTTAAGTGCTCACCTGACCTGCCGGTAACGAGGTACTGTGTACGTTGCAACCCATCACCCTTGAAGCTTGACGACCGATGATCCTTATCAATCACCTATGCTTTTAGGTGACAGCGCCTTCATGATATGTTTCCCCACTGTCAACCTTACCGACGTCGTAAATCGTGATTGGAACAGCTACACGAGTGTTATGGAAAGATCCGTTTGACCTCCAGATCCGCCGCAGAGTGATAGTTAATCTTCAATAATGTTCCACGGCCCGCTCGGCTGAGGTGAGAATATTGTAGGTAAGAAGCAGAAGGAGGTTGACCAAGACGATTTGTGACGCCGGTCAGCAGTAGCCATCATCTAGGAACGCATGATTGCAGGTGGAGTGACCTACAAGCCCACTGCACCATTTCGTTCGTTTGGCTGGTACCTAACAGTGACATTAGTCAAAGCTATTATCGGTCCCGAGGTATAGGAGAAGGTACATACAAACGTTCTCGGGAAGACTCTAAATGAAAGGGAAATGGCCAAGGTCCCGGGTACAGATCGCGGTGAATCTTAGTACCCTGACCAAACCGTCTTCTCATTACTGGGTCAACAGTTCGCCCGGACCCTTGTCATGTCACCACGGAAGCTTCTCCCTGGTAACAAGGAGTCTGCATGTGGACACCTACGCGGGAACAGCAGTCCCAGTAAATCCATATTTGTGGTTTCTATGGATATAGCTCCTTTCGCAAAGAAGTTAGAACGGTCATAAAGTTTCGAGTGGTGGGAGAATTCAGGGTTTGTTGACCAGTGTGCGATTGCTACAACGCGGAATGCCGAGGATGGCGAGAAAATAGGGGTATTCCAGCTTCGCACACTGGGGGACGCACTGTGGGGAGATGGTAGTGTAAGATCGGACCATCATCGATATGATCATCGTCTTGAATGGAGGAAGCATCTTCCACGACAGTTTTTCTTGACCGCTACCCACTTGATAATGGACTGATATGGCCAATGGAAGCGTTGACGGATATCGAAAACACCTCATGATTGTGATTGCAGGCTGCTTTGTGACCATCATGTCCGAGATCCTTTGGCACAGTGTGTAAGTTCTTTGCAACAGCTTCTGTTAGCTCCTTGTCCGTTTCTGAAAGTCAGAAACCAGGTCCGTTCGTATCCCGTTTGCAAACAACGAGCACGCGACGATTGCAAAGCAGGTCATCGAAGTGGATGCTGAGCTGCAAAAGAGCGCCGTCAAGCGAACACTAACAGTGGAAGATAATCAGCTGGTCGCGTATGTAACTGGGCCCCCCACGAAACGCTGTTCGGCTGGTCTGATCTGCAAATAGTAACTTCGATACGCTGACAGTGCGACTAGCACGTCTGGTAGTGAACGGTTTTCTGGAGAATGTTGATTTAGTCGCGCAGGACAATTGGCGAGTTTGGGGAAGAGGCTGCTAGTACTACTAAGCCCCCTCAAACATCGTAAAATAGAGCTACAAGGTAAGGATTTGTCTTGCTTATTGTGCTATGCTTGTTAACCCGTAAAACAACATGGAAGTCCAGTCCCCCCTACTTGGCTTCATCTGCACCCTCCGCTTCCTTTGACTTCTTTTTCTTCTTCGTCTCCCTTAGTGGTTTCGTGAGGAGGGCCTTCAATTCCTCATCTTCTAGCACCTTATCTGTCTTCACCAACTCCGGTTTGTACCACACTGGCGGATGTGTGATCAAAAGAGGGCCAGCGGGAGGTAGAGCAATTGTGAAATGGAATGCAGCGACGAATGTATTAGAGGGGGTGTAACTATGGATAGAGCCGTCAGACATCATATTAAGATTTTGTTGATTGTGTGATTTGAAGAGACTTACACGACCTCGTATGGCTTTACCAATCCATGGGTAACGGCTTCTTGAAGACCAAGGCGCGCTCGTTTTTCATCTTCCATGCCGCGAATATTGATGGGGAAAGGCACCAGCCTTCTTCTGCATTTCGGAGAATACCATACGGGAGTTTTTCATCTTCAATTGATATGTGACAGAACCCTCCTTCTGGTAAATGCTGGTTTTGGAATCCTCAACGCGGGCCTAGTGCATCTGCCGTCAGGATGGAAAGTCTCATTCCATAACTGTACCAACCTTTCCATCTTCTCCTGATGATACAAGGATATCTATTCCATATACTTCATCTTCACTGAAAGTTGTTGTTTCCATGTCTCGTCTTTGGGCTTCCGAAGGGTTCAGTATGATGCGCTTTTTTCCGTCTATGACATTTTGAGTCTGTTGACACGACAGCATCCCTGTCGAGGCCGGTGTTAGCTGCTAGCAAAATTTCCTCAACGCTAGCCAAAGCTCACCCTCAACAGGTTTGCAGTTGAACGCGGAGGCTGCCTTCGAGACCGCGTCAGTAACAGCCCAGTTCTTATTCCCTGCTTTAACAAGCCTCATAGCCAACTCTGCTGCCGTACCACGCAGCTTGTAGTACATCTGCACGCCTCCCGGTAACAGGATCTTGTTCGGTCGCGCCTACGACGATCGTTTCCGCACTTATGGCCGCGAAGCCGTCGATGTGCGCCCCAAGATGTAGTTTTACAACGTCACCCTTTACCAAGGCTTGCGAAGCAAGGGGATCTGAACTGTACCACGAATAGGTGAGAAGGATCAAAGGAACTAAGTCAAGGCTCCCGACGTACACAAGGGGGGAAAAGTGGGCGACAGTGTTGTTGATAGAAACACTCGTCGGGAATGCGATTCCTTGGACATTTACCGCCGTGAACGGACGATCGACGATAGATTAAAGAAGAGTACCTTTGCTGACTTTGGCACCCTTAACGATTTTATTGTACACACCGCCAGTGCCTTCTTCGATGAGCCTGTCTCCCTCAATACAAAGATCGATTATCTTGGCACCCTCAACAGTGATGGAAACAAGCTTCCTCATAACATCGTTGACGATGTCTCCGGCCGTCTAACAATACGAGATGCGATATCAGTCCTTATGAGTTTGGTCTGATTGGCGATACCAAGGAATGATCATACTTTGTATTTCGTTATATCGGCCTCTGAGATCAGCCGTGGCTTTTCCGCTGGTTTTTGAGCTTCATCCATGGCTTCGGTAGCAAGGAGCGCGAGTGAAAAGATAAACGGGTGGAAGGGTAGCTCTGCGTTGAGGGCTACTAATACCACCAGTCGACCAGTGATCAGTGCACCGTATTTAGTAATTCATGTGCGCTGCTCATCACACGATCATAAATGTAGTTGCAAGACTAATACTGTACAAATTGCAGCTTGAATATGCCGGTCGTATCATGTCCAAGATTTAGATGCCACATCTAAACGTCCCGTAGCAGCGTACACAAATCCATGCAGAGAGGCCTCTTATTGTGGCCCAAGGTATCAAGTTTCCAATCATTTTGCGTTGGCGATCTCGGGTATATTGAAACAAACAAAACCACGCAGGTTCCTGCATAGCTCTAGTTTTTCTTCTGGTTTTGTCTCCACGTCTTGTGAAGATAAGGAGTTGCGCCAGATACGCCACTCGGGTAACCCTCCACGGGGTTCGCTCCAAGACAATTCAGCTCGTATACTATCTCGCAGGCGAGCGCGGTCTGTCATGTCACTGCACGCATACTTGTCAGCGACAACCAACAGGCAGCGCAAAAACCGCTTACTTTTGCCAATTAATCCAGTCACTCTCAAAGTAATCTCGGAGAGGACTTGCCGGTGATTGCGCTTCATTAAAGTTTCTTTTGAGATACTTCTCCTGCGCCGACCTTACCGTGTAGGGTAGTGAAGGATCTTGTCCGTACAATTTTTCGTACGCCTCCCAAATAGACTCTTTGCAGCCAGCAATCGTGCGTACAGTACGGGCCAGATGCATTGACGCCCATGATGAGACTCCCCGCTGAGAAGATTTCTTGGTGGTTACGGAATTGCAGTCATCGTCCAAATCTGTCAAACTAGACTTGCCCTCGATTGGACTGAGCTCGAAAACAGCATCAGGATCAATGAGGGACGGTAACCCGCAGGTGATTGGAGTCGACCCTCTTCTCTGGGTAGAACTAGGGGGAAGGGCTATCTGGAGAGGAGGGTGTGATCGTATATCCCCAAACCACACCTTGAGCTTAGATGGCAGTATAGAGGTTAGATTTGGCGCAAGATGGCGATCGTCCAACAGTTCTTCCCAAGCTCGCTTCAGTCTCGGATGATTACGCGGATTAGGTCTTGACTGCGTCATTTCCGTCTCAAATGCCGAGAGTGGTGATCCTATCGTTGAAAATGCGTCCGCGCTGCTGCTTCTCGGGCCGATTGCGCCGGGCGAAGGGTCCGACTTCAGATACATGCTGGATCCCATACTGGCGACTGCGGTATTCGAGCTTCGCGGAGAGCTGTTACTGGACGATCGGACGTTGGTGGGGTAACCGTCGAGCCCTTGAAATGTCTGACATGGGAAGATAGGGTCCTCTTCAATAATCTAGATGCACACAAGATCAGACTAAATCGATACAGATGGGGATGTATTCTGCACCTCGAAGACACCATGGACTTTGAGAACTCGTGATATCTCCTGCCAGCCACCAAGAAAATGATTACGACATCATCAAGCGATGGCAGCTACTTACTTGTAAAACGTGCGCCCACTGTCGATCACGACGTTTGCTTCTCAGTGACTACGTGAATAGACGGTGATGTCGAAAGCTTACCTCATACACAGGAATGTGGAGACCCACGCGGACCATCCTTACGAAGTCAAATTGGCAGTCGTCAAAAGGCAATTCGTCGAGACTACGTGCGGGTCAGTAATGTCGATATCTGCGAAGAATACTTGGAAAGAGGTACATATTGCCATGGACCCATTTAAGTCTCCTGGACGTCTTCTCTTCCAGCACGCTCAACGGAGGTTGCACGTCAGCGATGTCGAAGCCCACCACGGTACTTCCCTGTATGAACATGACAGTATTAGAGGGAATTAAATGATTACGGGCCCGAGGGTGAGCCATACGCCATACCTGCCATTGCCTGGCGGCTGCGATGGCCCAGAGGCCGCGACCACAACCAAGGTCAAGGACTCTGGAAGGAGGTTCATCAAAGTCGTGCAAAGTCAAACTCTTGCAACAGTTCGTCATGAACATGTGATCCCAATGATCGCTATGATGGGTGAGCTGATAAGTTGACGGAGGCAAGCTTATCGAGGAACGCACAAGTCGAACAGATCATTCGTGTACTTGAGTGGCGCGATAACTGGGCCGGGGGAACGTTTATAGACACTGTTGGTAGAGACATCGGTGCCAGAGGAGCTGGTGGTCATGAAGGTTGGGCTAATAGGCGAAGGGGGATGAAACTAACGTCAAAATTTTATAGCAAAAATTGCATTTGCCGCATCTTCGACCCAGAAGCCCGCATGGCTTTCACGTCAGGGCTTGGTCAGGGCCGCTAGAGATCGAAAATTTAGCACACGTCTCCGTCCCACGTCACCTCAATTTTAGTGAATTGCTCTGCCCTTGGGGTCCTCACAGTTCACCGTATCAACCCAACCCTGTTCCTGGGGTCCCACTTTTCCAAGACGCAACACACGACGACGATGACCCCCGCTGTAGCGCTGCGTCTTTCCAGGGGCGCACTCAAGGCAACAGCGTCTCTGCGTTGCTCAAGGACCGCCTCCACCGTCGCCTCAAAACCACACGAGAGTGATCCACAGCTCGCAGGCTACCCCGAGCTCCCATGGGTATCCAACCAGAGTCTCCCAGCACGAGGATGGTGGGACCAACAGCAGAGACGGAATTTTGGTGACTTGGTGAATCGCATACTGCTGCTTAACCGTTCACACCCATTGGGTCTGACCGTTCGGTTATCCAGGTCCATGAATACGAAGAGGTTCTTTCAATGTGGGGACCTGACATTCCACATGTGCCTCCCCGGAAAGCTCTCTTCCAGTTCTCTGTGGCCGCCTCGGGATTCATAGCTTTTGGACTCCTGTGCAAGTATGCACTTGCACCGGGGAGACCTACAGTACCCCGGGAATACCCGTATTCAGGTCTTATACGTGAACTCGGGGGCCTGGAAGAGAACAAGGTATGTCTCAAACCATATCTACGGCCCTGCTTAGGCATTGATGTGATTAAGGCAAAGGAAATTGCTGCCGACGGCGATGAATAATTCGGGTTCTTCCTTGATGCCGTTTGTGGTCCGTGTAACTCGTTTCCCACCTGCGAGAACGGAATTCACTTGGAGATTGGTCCGTTCGGGTTCATATCAGTGGAGCAGCGTGACCACCCTAGACATTCGCAGACAAATCTTATCAGCACATGGACCATGTCTCATCTAGTATTTGTCTGATTATGCCCAAATTGATTTATAGAACCATTACCCTATATCATTGTAAGTACCAGAAGTTGGGTGGTAATAACTTGCAGCTAGATGAAAAACGTTAGACTGCTTTGTTGTGCTCCGTTCGACTAAGGGAGCTGTTCTGGAGCCTTAGCCTTCCGAACTCTTGGTTTCACTCGCGGACGGAGCTGCACCGATAGAGGTGCGGATGGGGCTAAGTCAAGGCGCACCTCCTGTGACTCTGCAGACTCTTTTTCACTGTCAGGTCGATCATCTGAATGATCGTCACCACTTGAATGCCGGCGTTTCCTTGATTTTACAGCACCGGCAGTACGGGTCCCGCGATTTTTCTTACCCTTGGCCTCCGTTTGCCTGATTTCCTTATCCTTTCCTTTGCGGGACACAGCAGTCTTTCGCTTTTTGTTCAGTGGCGGGTCCTCGATTGCAAGTCCTGCACCGCACTCTCCATCATCGTGTTCTGGGCTCGGTGTCGACGCACTCCGGTCCCGGTTTTTCACCTGCTCCCTGCGGAACTCGGTCACGACTTGTTGGAGACGCTTGCTACTGTATGCCTGCCGCTTCCGCGGTGCGACCGTGCCGGCTCCGGATGGGACGCTAAAAAATTCACTCAGATCGCCCTGTTTGTTTAGTGACGTAACCTGCAGAATGGAGACGATTGGGGTACAGCACAAGGCCAACAGCACCAGAACATACCTGGTTACGGCGACTCATCCTTTGGATTATCGGCATTAATAAATCATCGACTTTCGACTGGTTCCAGCCAAGTTCTTTGTTTATGAAACTGTGACAAATGGGTGAGCAGGCTTTGTCCAATATGATTGCATATAACCTACTGTCGCAGGGCGTCAAGGTCAGGTATCCCCCACTTAAATGGTTCTTCAGAGGAATCGACCGTAGGGTGATAGTATGCGTCTCTCTAGGTGATATTGTAAGCATCAATCCATGCAAGAGTAAGCTGCTGCACGTAATCATATGCTTACCACGAGGGGATTGGGCCAGTCTTGTTGCAAATACAAATCCTTAAATTTTTTCTTCTATAGCAGAAGGCTATTAGCGCAGCATTCTCGCATGGAAAACCAGAGACACACGAATCGTTTTCTGAACTTGGTCTTGTTGTCCTCTGCCCGGTCTCGTCCACTTTGAACCTTGGACCACCAGTCCTTGAACTTGTGCAAACCATCCTCGCCGGGAAACTCCTGCATAAGTTCCATGGCCACAACAGGTCCAACACCTGGCAGTCCTTCAACGTAGTCACTGCCGAGTAGATATGCTAGGCGAACAAGGGCATCGCGCGCAAGTCCAAGCTCCCGGGATAAGTCAGATAAAAGGAAGCACTCGACGGTCTTGGACTGGTTGAACATGTTCTTGTAAACGCGCAGCCCGCCGAACAAGAACACGTCGGAATCGTCTGTAATGATCCCTTCCACGAGACCTAGTCGCACGAGTTCCGCACACTGCGCCTCGGCTTCCATAGGCGCAGTGATGTATGGTATACCGAAGAGACGCAACATAAGCTATAGGTGGATCAACTTCGGATCAGCACGTCGACGTGTGAAATCTGACAAAGACCTACTTACCATGATTTGCGAAATCATCTGTTGCGTAATGTCTTCGGAATCACGTAGGGCTGCTTTCCTTTGCTGATTAAGAACTCTGATTTCCTCGTCGATCTCGTGTCTCACAACTTCGAGGTCCTTTCCCTTGACCTGGGATACAAATCGAGCAAACTCTCCCTCCTCCGCTTGTGGGTCCATCTCTTGTGCAGCATCCCAATCTTCATCCATCTTCGCTTCGGAATGGAGAGTGGGCAGTACGTCAGCGCCCGCTGGTGACGGGGATCGTGACCACTCGATGGTCGACCCATTATCGCTTCCATCTACTGCCGTTACCTCATCATTGGGTGAGTGTCCGGATGAAAATTTAGACCGAGTCGACACGTGAGCCTCGAACTCTCGTGCATCTTTGTTAATTAACACATCCATGGGTAGGACGTTGTTAATGACAGGTGTGGTCGAGGCTTTGGCAAAGACGATCTCATGCATGTCACCGTCACTTACAGGAGATTCGATGTCCGCGGCAACCTCGGCTGCTTTTGCATTTGCCGTAGACACAGTGTGTGACGATTTTTCAATTGAAGGTGGGGTTAAGGTGCTGATCTGTTCCGGGGTACCGATTGACTGTTCCTCTTGTATGCTAGTGGCAGATCCAGTGCGAACAGAAGGCTCTATATCAAGATAACGGTGGGAAGCTGTGGGGGAGACGAGGAGTGATGGCTTTCCAAACATGTGTCCTGATTGAGTACGCTCCAAAAAGCTGCCCGAAGGATGTCGTAACGGACCCGCACCCGCAATAGCTAATGTCGTCTCTAGACGAGAAGGCGACTCGTACAGGTCTTCGATATCGTCATGCAAAGCTGCCCCGGTAGTAGATAACGTTGTCCCCGGACTTCGGGGTCCAACTTTTGAAAGAGGTGCCGCCTTGGGAAGAGGGATCTGCGGGGCTATGCCTTCGGAGACGTGTGATTGACTTTGTAGAAGTGGAGATCGACGAGTATCCAGAGACGCCTGTATTGCCATTGCAAGCTCTGGATCTTCGTCACTTAATTGATCTAGGGACACATCCTCGCCTTCGTCAAGATCAAACAGTCGCCTTGCTGTGCCCTGTTCCACAGACCGTGCAAGCCGAGCAGTCTGAGAGCTCCAATTGTTAGGTTGTTGATCATTCGACACGGGTCGCGGTCTAGATACCTTCGTCAGCATGATTGGTAACGTGCAAATAGAACGTGCGACATGCATTGCGACTTCCTCCATGTCCATATCATTGTCACTCTCCTCGCTAGCAAATCCCCTTTCGTCTGCATCAATTTCGATGGGTTTCGACTGAGTACCTTCGTCGCGGAGGCCCAAAATCCAACCCCCCTCCGCACTTTCGTTTTTGACTAAGAGATACTCCTTGTCGCGCTCGCTAGCTATACGGACGGGAATGCTGATATGTGCCTTTCCAATGCTGTCCGTCGTAATCAGAAGTTGTTGAGTAAGAGCGTTACGTTGCTGAAGACCCTTGATCTGCTCTTTCGAGAAATCAAGAGGAGTTTCTGCTTTTCTTAGCATGTTCTGAAGGCGCTTGTATGACGTCTGCCGCGACTTGAGGCGCAGGTCGCCGACAATTTCGTACTGGATCTCCGTCGGCAGCTCACGAAAGGCGGGTGAAGTGACGTCAAAGTCCTCCGGTCGCATCTCCTCTACGAACGCCCTCAATTCTTCCTCGGTCGCGAGGCGGAAGTCTGGCGCATGTCCACGTGTAGCCTTGGCTATCTGCTCCTCTAAGTTAATCTCTGGTAACTTGTAGGGATCGTAGTCATGGAAACGGCTCGTCTTCTTGGCGGAAGAAGCTAGTGAACGTTTCTGCGCCTTCTTGGCATTCGTCGGTGTTTTCGTCATCATCGAGTTGTCGATATCCTCAAGATAGACGACCCCCTCGCCAAGGACGACGGGACCCGGGGGCGCCTTTTGTTTGCCTTTAGAAGTAGGTGGGCTGGCGGGATGGATAAGTAACTGTGCTGGTCGGATACACAGATTTACATACTGAGATGCCGAAGCATGGACAACGGCCTCGCGCCTCATCTGCGCAGCCAATAGCCTTTCAGCAATCTGTGCATGGCTAGCCGCAGCGCCGCTCTTTTTCTTCTTACGTTCTGTCTGAAATGAAAGAGTTCCGGTGAGCGCACAGCATGGTGAAATGCAGGGGGGAATAGAACTCACGATGGTGTTCCTCTTCAACGCCGGTGCACCACCGTCGAAGACAAAAACAGGCCGAATGCCATGGAACAGTATCTTACAAATACGACGAAGAAAACCGAGGACATGTGCGTTGACCAGTGCCCGTCCGTCCGTATCGCGCATGGTGGCTTGGAACTGGTATATCCATATGCTCGAGTCAATAGCCAGGGCTTTCCCCTCCAGATTTTCCAAGCTTTAGGACGGTGTAAGTGCCATAGGGTTTCTCCGAGAGACAATCCACCACATACGGAATGGGACGTCCGACTGGCTCCAAAAGATTCCATAGTGACTTGACACCCATCGGGTCAGGAGACTAAAGCGGATCGCGCGTGTTCCGCAGTTCCGGTCGGCAATCGGAATCACATTAGAGCACGTGAAACTATGTAAGTACGGCTGGTCGAACGAGCATACGTATGTTATCTCGGTGCTGTGTAGTAGTAAAGGATCTGGGTTGTAAGAACAGATTCTGAAAAGCCACCGTACGTGCATAGCCATGAGGTCACGAGAAAGGGTCATAATCATGCAACGAACAGATATAGGGGAAGCAAGGCTGATCAATCCAAAGAGCACAAAAAACACAAACACCAAACAAGAAAGAAAGTTGAGCCATCATCATGAAGCACTAGCATAGCCTAGTTGTCCATGTGTTGTGTTGCAAGAAGTAGAGGTAGTACGACATTGGCAGGTTCAAAATTTTCAACTTTTGGGACTGTCGCGAACGCGATCTGCGGCGTCAATGGGTCGGGAACCAGCAGGAGATCCCTGCCCAGTTGAACTGTTTCTGGAGGAATTTTGACCAGGACCTTGCTGTCCACCAGGTGGACCAGGCGGACGTAGAATTTCATCCAAACCCGCAGTAGAAAAGCGAGGGTCGAAGGCAGAACCACCCGTCATTTGCATTCCCAGGGGTCCCATACCACCCATAGGTATTCCCATACCGCCCATCCCCATCGATGGGTTCATCATGGGCATTCCCATCATCGACATACGAGGATCAAAGCCCATCCCTCCTCCTGCCACCATCGGAGTCATGGGCGAAGCTCCACCATGCATTCCATCAGGAGTATGGGACCCGGCAGCTGAGAATGCCATCATCGCTTGTTGGTATGCGGCTTGAGCAGCTTGCTGTGCATACATGTAATGTTGAGCACCGTATCCCGGCATCATGTTCGGGTAGCCCATGAATCCACCCGTCATCATCGGGTTCGGAGCAGGCATCATCGGATTTCCAGTCATCATCGGGTTCATGCCCATCATCATGGGGTTCGCCACCATGGGGTTGAAGCCCCCGAAAGGCTGACCGCCAAACACACCAGATTGCGCCATCTCCAGTTGCTGACGTTGGTAGTCATCCAGCTTGCGCTGCCTATCCTCTGCAAGCCTCTTTTCGCGTTCCCGTTCAGTCAGTGCTGCCCCGACACCACCTTCACGCTTGCGTTCGCGCTCGTGCGCAGTGATAGCACCAAGTAGACCTGTCTGAGGAGGAGGCGGCTTGTTAGGGACGTTGATAAGGGATGCCCCAGTCTCACGGGCAAGCTCCTCTTGACGTTTCGCAGACCGGTCTTGCTTGTCCTGCATACCCGCAGAAAGTAGCCCGTGGGGCGTGAACGCCTTCGTCATGCTCACCGAAGCAGGCTCGAGCTGCACAAAAGTATCTCTTTGGGGCGGTGGAGGGGGTTCCGGCAATGGATTTGCGCCCGGCTGCCGACCTGGCTCCAGAACTTGTGTCCAAATACTCTGGCGTTGCGCGGGCAATTGGGGGTAGTCAGATTGCGAACGAATAAGGATAGGTTCGTCGGGTGTGCGCACGCGCTGCTCGCTGACAATACGCCTCGGAGGACCACTCAAGTTTTCGTCCGCCATCCCGGAAGGCCCTATGTCCACGCTCTAATTGAGCCAGAATCACAAAAAGTGAAGCTTCATACCTACCTTGCGTTTGAGGTCGGGGTACTGGTGGAAGATTGCGAGGGTGCCGTAACTGAACATATAGATTGGCATCGGTCGCAGTTTCTGCGGGTGACGTGTCGCGACTGCGAGGACGAAGCGGGCGAACAGGTGTCGTCGGTATGGGAGCGGAAACCGGAGCAGGCACATGTGCCTGGGAAGACCGCTTGTTATCCGCCGTTGATGGTTCTTCGTCGGAATCCGCGTCGGAATCGTCCTCTTCATCGTCCTCCTCTTCCTCATCACTGCTTTCATTCCACCCTGATGACCTTGGACCAGAAACAGAACGTTTCCCATTGGCCCTCCCAGGCCTGTTCACAGCAGCCTGGTGTGCAGCTTGCTGTGCTTGCAACCGTGCCTTGCGCTCTGCAGCTTGCTTCGAAAGTGCAAACGATGATCTGTACTGTGAAACATTTTCTGAGCTTACTGGAGGCGTGTTACTATCTGAACGCTGTGGCGATTCGAGCCGACGGGGTGGAGGCGACGGCACGGGTTTTGCTGTTGCCACGGCCGTCTGCGACGGCGGTGCAGTGGATGGAATACTGTCAAGGAATGAAAGCGCAGCAAGTGCATCGGCATTCACGTCGTCAGCGTGACTCGCAGCGGCCTTGGAGTTGTCGGGCATCGCGTCGAGGTCGCTCCTGTGAACGTGCTGCGACTGTGGTGAAGGTGTGGACTGAGAGGATGCGTCCGGATTTGGCGGTCGGCTGCTCGTCGGCGGCTGAGCACGTGCGCCGGACGGCTTACGTCCTAATGGAGGCCGTACGCCGGCTATGGAGCCGTCACCTGTCGGACCGCGCCGCGTAGCCGGGAAAAGACTGGTCATGGAGTGTTGTTGCGAACTTGGCTGCACACCCTCCTCCTCTGACGGGGACGTTTCGGAATTCTCGGAGATCGTTGTGGGGACACGACGCGGCGGAGCCTTTTTTTCCTCAAATTGCTGCATATAGAAGAGAGCGGCTGAGAAATCGGTTTCGTTTTGTGCTTCCTGGACAGGGGCCGGTTTAGCAGGAGGCACAGGAACTTGCTGTTGGGGCATGGGGGAGGGTGATACTGGTTTATCGGGTACTGGTGGGACTCCAACAGGTACGCTGCGCCCCAGCGATCTCGGCGACGGCGACGACACTCGCTGGGGCGTCTCCTGAGCCTGGGCCTGGACAGCCTGTATGGAGGGCAAGTCCTTTTCCAGGGTGGAATGCGGTGACGTCAGTAATGAGAATGTAGACGGGACAGGAGATTTCGCTCGGCCAGAAACAATAGGAGATGCTCCTGATCCTGGACCTGCCACCCCGGAGGCGCTGTATGGCGAACCTTGTCTACCGACCGCCGAGCCATGCGTCGTCGGCGTAGTCGAGAATGACGGAACCTCGGGTGAGGTTGGTGGGGAGAAGGGGAGCTTGATACCCATGGTTTCTACTCCACCACTTGACATCGTAGTTTCCGACTTCGTTCGCGTGATCTCTCCGGTGGGCGAGAGCTTCGAATCAGGTCGTGAGTTTGATATTTTCTTCAGCGAGTCGGTGCTGACTTTGCGAGCTCCCATACTCGTAGGGGGACTCGTAGAGGGAGGTAACCCAAACTCTCTTTCTCCACCCTCTGGCACCACAGCCAGTGAGGTACCCAGGGATGACAGGGGTTGGTTCTCATCAGAAGCTGAGTAGCTGTGGGTGAGTGTTCTCGTTTCACCAGACAACGATGGAGTGTGTGGCCCCTCCGCGATCGGAGATAACACACGCGTCGTGGCAAGTTCTTGTACCGGAGAACGGTTTGCAGGTGGAGCCGGAGCCTGCGATGAGGCGGAGTCGAAGCTGAGGGCCGGTAGCTGAGGTAGTCGAAATGCCTCTCCATGAGCCTGACCTGGTGGTTGCTGCGGCGATAGCGGGCCGGCGGACGGAGTAATAGAAGGTAAGGCAGGTGGTCTGTCTTGCCTAGCCAACGGCGCAATGCTGCCCGCACGCTCGGCTAGAATGCCTAGAAGTCGGGATCGGATAGCAGATGTACGGTCCTCCCTTGGATTCATCGTTTCCACAAGTTCACGTTCCAAGAAAAGCAGCTAAAAATGGACATGTTGAAGGGATGTTCGCCCGCAACTTAGCATATGAACACGTACATCTCTTCCAGGACCAACTGGATAAGCAAACAACATTGAAACGGGGTCCCGAGGATCCCACGTGTATGCCTTGGGTCGACCATAAAGTGCGAACGCGTCGTGTATCGCTACATTGTACATTTTCATGAGTAAGCGAGTACAGACAACGCCAGGTAAACGCGGCCTTACCAACAAGCCACTTAAGCATTTCCGATGGTTGAGTGTTTCCAAACTCCAGTTCCGGCATGACCAGCAACCAGCCTTGCCTATTTCGCATACTCCCCGCCGTCTCCTCTTCGCCAAGATAACCTTCCAACTTCATCAACGTGCTTCGGCTGATCAACTCTGGGCGCTCGGGATATACTGCGAACGCCTGACTCATTTCCTTCAGAGTGAGAAGTGGCTGTTTCTTGTCCTTGGACTTGGGTGACGCGAAGAGAGACAGCAGAGGTCGAGGAGGCAAGGGTTCGTCCTGATGATCTCGAGAGAAGAGATTTGACATACGCTTTTTGCGTGGTGCTTCCACAGGACCTGGACGACCACTACCATCGTTGGTGGACGAGCGAGCAAGGTCTGAAAACGATTCTGAACCAGCAGAGACTACCATCCACATGCGCTTCCAGTCCGTCTGCCCAGCAACGCGAATTCGGACCCATCCTTCCATGCGACCACGAACCAAGGTGGATGGTGTATCTTTGCCTAAACAACATGTCAGTTAACGGACAAAAGGAAAGGACGCCGGGGGACATACCATGTGGTAAAGTGATTCGAATCAAGTGAGCAGAGTATATTTCTTCGAGACGCGATTTTTCCCAAGCAGCTAGCCTGAACGCGCTCGCCCAGGATATCAAAGCGTCACTGTCGGGACAACTGAATAGAACGAGGTTTGATCCCGCAGTGTTAAGCGTAAGCACGTTCATATATTTTTTCGCAGGTTGGTCACCAGCGGCGGGACCTATCACTGCGCCAAGTACTTGTACGAACTGTTATTGCGATATATGAGAGATTGTCGTATCATTCAAGAGATATACTGACTGCGTCTGTTACGTTGAAGTAAGTGGGAGGGACCTCCTTGCCTTGCCTATTAGCCTCTTGCACCTCTCGCATGTCCCATATACTTAGGGTAGTGCCACCCAATTGAGCCCAGACGTCGACCCAGCCGTCGTCCTTGATTGGTCTCTGTCCGTCTGGCAATCTCTCTACCCGCTTGGTGAGGGGGCCAGAGAAGTAGATCTTGCGTGCATGGGCGACAGTGAGTTGAACGACGGAGCGTATTTCGGAATGTAACTGGGAAGAAGAGGGTTGACCGACGGAGGACCTGCGCAAAGAGTTCTGCTGTTGTGGTTGGTCTAAGTGTTGATCCAACGAAGGTCGGCCGGGACCCACAGACTTTGACTGGCCCATTTGAGGGGGTGGTGGTGGACCAAAGTCTGTCGGTGTTGCGCCGTTTGCGGTGATGGGACGCTGGTTGTTGGGTGGAACGGGGGGAGGTTGTTGGGACGAGGATGCTGACGCCGGGTCGTGGTGTTGGTGACCCTGAGAGGAGGGCCTGTTTCGAAATGAAAAGAAGGAAGAAGTTCTAGCATGGGACTGGGAGGATGGAGGCATGGCTGGTCGTGGTCGTGGTTGCGGTTGTGGTTGTGGTTGTGGGTCTGCTGTAGTACTGCTGTTAGTCTGCAGAGGCGGAGGCTGTGGATGTGGGTATGACTGCGTGTTGTCGGTGGGTGGAGAGGCTGAGGCTGAGGCTGGCTGAGGGTGTCGTGCAGGCAGGTCGTGGAAGTGATCTGGTCTTCCTGGGCTCTCCCGTCTGAGCTGCTGCAGTTCAGACGGTGAAATGAAGCCTCTGTGTCGGTTGTCCCACTGCGGACTCGTCGACGTCGAGAACGAAGTCATCCTCAGCCCCTCAGACTCCCTCTAGAATCTCGACCGGGCAAAGTGGTTTCACTCGCAAATAACTGTCTGACAGTAGTAGTAAATACCAGTCAGACGCTCCACAGCCCCTCTCGATCTTTTTTTCCCCCTCTTCCCGCAGGTCTCACGCTGGCCTTAATTCGCACAGCCCAGACGCCCAACGGACCACCCTGCCCGCGACGGGTGTTGTCTTTTCGATGGGCCGAAGATAGACAGACATGTTTCACAGCTATGATAACCCTTGGAATAAATAAATACATTGCCTTGCGAAGTCCTCTCGTTCGATCATCAGGAGAGCTTCATGCTACAGTATTTGCAAAGGTGCCTATCATCTAAAACATCCCAGGTGAGTTGCATTACCTCCTCGATTACATGTCCATCACAACTTCCATCTCATCCCAAAATTGCAACCTTCTGCTTCTTCTTCTTCTTCGTATTATTAGTGAACGAACGCCAACTGTCCACCCGCTGTTCTCGGGTTTCTGGCGTCATCGGCATTCGATAAGCAAGACTCTCCGTAAGTCCCACACCGACGGGCTTACCTTCCCATACTTTGTCTTCTTCTGCCTTTCTCTTTCGTGACGCCACCTCTTCCTCCTTCTTGCGCGCCTCAAGACCCTCATTGGCAAGGTTCAATTTGATCGCCCTGTCGGAAGGAAAACCAATGAGTGGGTACGCCAACGCGAAAATCCCGGCGGCGGCTCACTTCCTTCTTCTAACCTCCTCTTCTATTAATACCTCCTTTATCTTCTCTTTCAACATGATCTTCCAAGGCGTCGTCAACCCCTGCTCCTTGAGCTTCGGGTCGTCACCAAGATTCCGCAGACGAGGATCGTCATCCGCAAGGTTTGTTGGGAGAGAAAGCGAACGGAGAAGCGTAGTCCGTGCAGAAGCAATCGCGGCATCTAACTCTTCGCGCTTAGCTGCATCAGAAAGTTCCGCCTCGGCCTGAAATGAGGTTGTGATGCGTAAGAGAGCATTGTCCCTTGCGAAACGGACGTATACGACGCTCACCTTCTTGAGAATATCGAATGCATCTGGAGCACGAGGGTGGGCGGTCTTGTCAGGATGGATGACTGTACATTAAACAACGTACAAGTTTAGCACCCGTTCGATTGACGCGGTAGAAGACGGTAGTATGGGGTCATTTGTGGATGTTGGTCGCGGTAAGCATAAATGCGTTAGTATTGCAGTGTAAATGCAGCAGAAATCAGGGAAATCAGGGTGGGGCTTACACAGTGAGAGTTGTCGATATTTCCGTTTGATGTCTTCCGGCTTTGCAGTGAAATCGAGATTGAGAATATCATACGGACTGGCACCCCCCCAAGCAAACACAATCCATGAGATATAACGTCCCATATGGTCGATTCAAATGAAGACATACTTGAGCTTGAACGACTTCAATATCCTCTCAACCTCCATCTCGCGTTGGAAAGCCGATGCCTCGCGCGACAACAACTGCTCAAGGTCAGCGTCTACTGGCGTCGACGAGGACGCCGCAGATGTCGAGCCTCTGGATTGTGACGGCGGGGATGCTGGCTTTGAACTCGACTGCGACGTCGACATCGTGAAATGAATGGCAAGGGCAGCAATAATCCGGGTTAATGCTTGGCAGTTGGTTGGCAACTATGAAGTAGGGTTGTCAATTTCATTCCACTGTCAGTCCACTCGCGGGTTGTCACGTGATCACTCTCGGGCTCCCCGGCACTGAGCGCGTCCAGCGTGTCGTCGACATTGTCCGGGATGTCACCCAGCATCGTAGGGTCATTGACCCGGGGGTGTATGGCACCGTCTGCAAGTATTCATCTCGGTTGGCAGGAGTGTATCTCACATTTCGCGTTGTCCAGATCAATATTAGCCCCCATCCGCTTTTTCGTTGTCGTACTTCGCTGTGCCACGGAATCGGGAAGCCTCCATCATGGCTTCACTCACGGACACACTTATGGCGGACACTTGGGACATCCTCTTCGAAGCACTCGCTCCCGCCTTCGCCTTCGGCACGTCGTCCCACCGCCATCCCAAGTTATAACGCATCACGCGAACAAATGTACAAAACTCGTAACCGCAACCTCCTCATGTATACCTCTGCAGTGGTGATCCTTGGAGTTGGCATAACATATGCAGCTGTCCCTCTTTACCGCATGTTCTGCTCAGCAACCGGGTTCGCTGGCACCCCATCCGTCGTATCCACCTCCTCCGGTCGCTTCGATCCATCTCGATTGACGCCGGATACAGATGCGCGCCGTATTCGCGTCCACTTCAACGCAGACCGTGCGGAAGCGTTACCTTGGAAGTTCTTCCCACAGCAAAAGTACGTCGAGGTACTCCCCGGAGAATCCAGCCTTGCATTTTACAAGGCGAGGAATGAGAGCGAGAAGGATATCATTGGCATTGCAACGTATAACGTAACTCCTGATCGCGTGAGTAGACGACAACTTGCTCCCCAAGAGCCAAGGGTTCAATCCATTTCCGATAGGTCGCGCCATATTTTTCAAAAGTCGAATGCTTTTGTTTTGAAGAGCAGAAACTCCTCGCTGGAGAGGAGGTAGATATGCCTCTGCTTTTCTTCATAGATAAAGACATCCTCGACGATCCCTCGTGCAGAGGCGTTAACGATGTCGTATTGAGCTACACGTTCTTCAAGTGAGTGCCTAGTATTTTTGTTGTATTACTTCTCTCCGATTTTCCCTTAACCCCTCCGCAGAGCGCGGCGTAATGCACAGGGTCATCTTGAACCGGATGCAGAGGAAGACGTTGTTCAAAGATCACTCGGGTTCGAGGGATACGAGCACAGTCCACGGGCTGAAACGAAGAAGGTTGAAGGAAGCAAAGCCAACAGTTGATTCAGGCTATGGAATAACTCGCCCACTGAAGTGTCAGAACCACCCTCGTATTGAGTTTTGGTGGAATTGCTTTCATACTCGGTGGGCATAGATGTCCCCCCTACGGGTCCCTTTGCGCACTTCTTGTTGCACCGAGATTTCCACTGACATGAAAAATACATCCCGACCGAGTCAAGGCACCTTGTCCACCTCCAGTCCCACATAAATACGGTGATTCTGCGGAGCCAAAACTAAATTCAATTTGTCAAGAATTTAATCCAATTCCATGCAAAGCCAAGGTAGATACGATGTCCATCGGATGAATACAGTAAATATCAAACCCACCAGGGACCATCTTCTGTATGGTGTGTAGAAACGAAGGGGAAATCCGCATTTACCCCGGGCGTGAAAAAGTGCGTAGGCATATATGTACATGTCTCAGATTCAGGCACTCGACGTCATTTATGGCGGATGGACGTGTTGGTTAGAACCCTGACTGACGATGTCTAGGTCGCCATCGACAGCAGTTAGCTTCTGTAGTCTTAGCGAGTTCAGGGCGTCAGCGACCTCTCCAATTTCCGGTCGCTGAGTTGCGTCTAGCGTCCAACACCACTGAATGATGTCCCACTGTTCGTCGTCGATCCTTGGTTTCCGAGGGCGCTCTGGCCGGATCCCTCTGACCACCATTCCGACCACCTGCGTATCAGAGTTTAAATAGAAGTACGGAACTTTGCCCGATAACACCTAAGTCGATAAATTTCAGTGGGCTTGGGAATTAAACAGACGAGGCAACGACGAACCTGGAGAATGATGCTGCCAAAGGAGTATACGTCACATGGCGGTTCCGCAAATCCCGACACCCCACTTTCTTCGTCACATTGGAAAAGTTCAGGGGCAGCCCACCGGAGAGTCCCTCGGGCAGACTCGGTGAAATAATCGGATCCCCACAATTCCTTCAGAGCTGTGGACATGCCGAAATCAGTAAGAAGGGCTCTGCCATCACCAAACATCAGAATATTGTTCTGCGGAGAGGAATATTCAGCTTCGTGGCAACAGTGAAGACAGAAACATTACCCCAGTCAGATCACCGTGGGTAACATGGTTGTTGTGTACTGCCAGAGTAATGAATGATCGCTCTAGTATCTTGAATGAAGGTACATACAATACTGTAATCCGCTCGCCACGTCGTCAAGCTTATTCGATGACAGGTCAGCTGTATGTAACAGGACAGAGAGCTTAACCCACGATCTGGAACATTTCAGCTAAAGAAAGTGTTGGGTGGTGTAGTTGCAAGTATTGACTAAGTGCGCCATTGGGTGCCCATGGGCATACCATTGCTGGGTAAAACCCGAAGCCAAAGGCTATTCCATACAGTGGCGTGATGTTTTTGTGATCCAACCGCTTCCACACCCCTAGTTCCCGATGAAAGCGCTGTATGGATGAGCGTGAGGACCTAGGAAAGAATCTGGACCAGATATACTCGTACTTTTTTCTCCTTCCCCTTATCACTCATGATATTGGTTCTCATCGCCTTAACAGCAACCTTGACGGTGTTGGATGGTGCATCGATCAACTAGTGGAGTACACTTACCACCTCTGGGCCATCATCTTCGGGGTCCCTGAACCAGTAACACTTCCATATGTCGCCGAACGCACCACCGGTGTATGGGTATGCAGATGTCTTTTTAATTGTCCGGGTCAGGTCAACAACACTTTGTGACGGTTTCCCTTGCCCGCCTTGTACATCAAGGAGTGCAGTGAACTGGGCCACCGAGGAAGCGTGCCTCGAAAGTGGGGGCCGTTGGATTGGCACGCCGGTTTCCTCAAAGCTGCTTTTCACTGTTTGACCAAAATCATCCCCTATGTCACGCATCCCCAGCTGGAGGGTGGGAGGCTTCGATCTGTCCAGCGACGAATCTCGGGTTGCAGGAACGCGTTTTGGACCGGCGCCGACGGCCGACGGCCACCATCGAAATCCGTTGCGAGGGGTGCGGTGTTCGTAATTGCTGGGTCCTCCACCCAGCTTCCTCTTGAAATGTGACCAAAAAGGAAGTTTACCATTCCTCTCCTAACAGTTTACTTAGCGAGAATATAAAAATCCATATCTTCCACCTGCCTTCTCCGAAGTTTCCGCCTCGGCCCGCGAGGGTGGTGTTGGTGAGCGGTGTCCTACAGAACGCTACAAGTGCAAAAGCCAATCGTAAAATGTTATGAAAGCAATCGCAACGCGTGCGTACTATCGCAGCTGGTACAACTGATGGCGAGCAGGCAGTGTGCGTACCGCTTCCCACATCTTTCAGTGGCGGAATAGGCGAAGGTGGTATCGAAGGCTGTCATTATTGGATCCAATTAGGATTTTGAATCTTATCAACCAACAACTGACGCACGCGTGCCGCAACACCTGTTCCAAAGTCTAGTTCCGGCAGTAAAACTTCCATTGTATCGTCGTGCTGCAAGGCATAGAAAGAACGTAGTTCTTTGATGAGTTGTACCTTTGCTTGAGATATGTTCAATACGTCTTCGTCGAGGTTTCCCTTGTACTAAGCGCAAACTAAAGTCAACCTTTGCCCTTTGCCCAACAAGGTCGCCCCACAAAACGCACTGGGAAACAAATAAATCCATCTGCATCACATCGAACGTCGTCCAAATACTTGTGCGATAGGGCACCTTTGCAAGTGATTCTCGAATCGACATCGAGGGAAAACACTTCGGAAAGGAGATCGAGCAATCGAGGGTCGACATTCCGGACACGCTCCGCCAGTGGGATGCGAGTAACTGACCCGAGTGAGAGGACATGGTTGCGGAGCTACACGTGAACTCAGCATGTTGACCCATGAGGGCACGTAAGAGCGTCTCACCTCAGCATCAGGAATAGCAGATAATGTGGGTTCTGAAAGTAATCCCGTGAGTTCAATGATCCTGCGTACATGGCTTCGGAGGCTGCGGGATAGCATGTCAAGGAGTTCCCGAGGCACGAGCACAAATGACTGACGTAGTAGCACTGAAGATCGGTCGGCCCGTCGCTAGTTCCGCAATGATGCATCCCACCGACCAGACATTGGCAGCCGCAGACTGCCCAGAAGTCAGTAGGGCTAAGTTAGCACGCCAACTCAATATAACACCTTACCAAACGACCGTAGCGTAGAGTCAATTCTGGTGCTTGGTATAGGTTCAAAGGCTGACCGGTATCTCCGTCGGAGGCAATGGACAGGTGAGGGTTCCCACATCCTGCAATCTTGACTGCGCCAGCCTCACTGATAAGAATGTTATCCGGTGAGAGGTCTTGGAGCACAACACCAGCAGAATGGATATAATTAACCCCGCGCAAAATCTGGTGTGCGAATGCTAGAAGTTCCATGCCCGAAAGTGGGCATTCCAAACGGATCTACTGACGTTCCATCAACAATAAGCACGGGATAGATAGCAGATAAACCCAGCAATTTTTCGGAGATCCGTCTCACAATATTCCTCCTGAGTACCATCCATGGAACGATTAGATACGGGAATCATCGAAAAGTACTGACCCACTATGAGATAGATTTCGTCAAAATCGCCGTTTGAGTGAAAGTTTATATCGAAGTCACAAAGCCGGACGATCTGAAAGCCTCAATGAGCGACCTGTAACAGGAGAGCGCAAGCTACTTGCTCACGTTGTCATGGCCCTTGAAGTGACGCAGAAACCTGAATATTGCCATACCGGTATTTGCGTGCTAGATTCTGTGAGAGATCGTCATGCCTTACCTAATTTCGCGCAAGCATCGTTTGGCTTCTGCAAACTGACCAGACAAGAGTTGACCCAAAGCATGAATAACATACTGAAAGAATTTACCTGCCGGCCGACATTGCTGAGCTTCCTGATCACACGGTTCTCGCCGGTGTTTTTGTCCCAGACAGCAACCGTCAGCTCAGAACCCAGGTGATGCCGACCGTAGCCTGAGAGGGCTTGGTATCTGGCATCGACAGCGAAAGTCGTACCAGCGGCGTTGAAGGTGTGTCGCATTGTGGAAGCAGTCTATTAGTGTAACGAGGAACCCGTGGAGCCGTGTGCAGGGTGAAGGCACGCACAACGTTGAATGTCGTGCACGTGGGTGGTCGCCAGCGAAGAGCAAAGCCTGCGGCCACATATGCCGCATCAGTATGTGTATACCACCAGGCGCCCAGCACCATTTAACTGCATTTGGCTTGATGTCGACGGACTACAAAGCGCATTTTGCCGTGACATCATAGTATCAGATGGAAAACCGGGATATTCCTGAGTAGTGGCCAAAGTTTGTGACAAAGGAGACCGCGTCGATAATTAACGACCTGAATCGCTCGCACTTTTCATGCTATTCTCGGACTGGCCGCGTTGTGACTTGTGCCGTTGGATGAACCAGGCTAAGTTCAACAGTTGATGAGGCTTTCGAGTCTCGAAAGCCCCATTAACTTAGTCTGGTTCATCTAACCGAGTCCCCTTGGCTTGGCCAATTGTATCGTACGTCAGATGTGAAAAATATCGAAAAAAAACTATCCTCGAACATCCACGTCGTCCTTATTGGCGCCCTGCACAGGGCAGAATAATAATATCTGACGGTCCTGGAAGCTGGGTACTTGTGCGGATGTAACTTCAAACAACGCAGATACATACATCAAATTCAGGATTCAAATATACAGGAAGGTTAGCATGTGGCCACGTATTCCGTTCCGCCATCTTCTGCGTGACCGTCTACATATCGGCGGAAGCAACTATTTCATTCCTCGTCAATGTCAGCCTCAGGGAGTGACGCAGAGCTGAATTTATTCCCCAACAAACTGAGTTCCTCCTCCACTTGCGTAATATTGACGGGTCCTAGCTCTACCTTTCCAGAGCCAGAAGTCTGGTTCGCGGGCACAACCGACGCAGGGTATGCGAGGACAATAGTCCCGGGCTGGAGAACCTGGTTGACTGCAGTGATCCTCCGTGGGTCGGGGTAACGAAGGCGGGTAGCCGGGTAAGGCACCGTCGACTTCACGCTGTAATAACGATCAGAATCTTCAAGTAACACTGAACACAGGTCACGTTGGGACGTACGTCAGGTTAATACTAGAGACGACCTTGCGAGTCACAGGTGCGCCGTGCACAAAGAAACGTTTGGAGGTGCTCGTAAGTGTGTAGAAAATGCCGACGAAGCCTCCCTATGGTATACGTTGTTTAGTTGCGGTACGAAGAGATCCCAGGGTCCGACCTACCACCAGTCGATCTTCAGAAGTGACTGGGTTGACTACTGTCTCTCCTTCAATATGCACGTCTGTGATTGCCGAGGGTCCCGCCTCACTCTCCCCGAGTAGCACCTTCTTGTACTCGTCGCGAGGGAAAATTCTCCCATTGAGGACGACCTCGAGGTCTTGGGCGAAAGTAGCGTCAAAAATCCTGTTGAACCTGTCCATCGTCTTGCTTCGCAGGAGAGAATTAAAGCGTGACGATGCCCAGTCAGAAAGAGGGGCGACTCGGGGGAGGACGCGTTCTGATGTCATAGCTGTTCAAGTTCGGTGATCTGTGTTTGTAGGTTATGAGTTTGAGTGTCATGTCATTCGAGCTTTATATCCTGGACGAGACTGCCATTTCAAGGCTCTCGACTTCGAGGACAACCGGTGGGTACCAATGGCATGTATGGCCGTGACACCGTTTTTCACCGACTTCCATGAATCCTGTCCATCATGCCCTGACCAGCGACTCAGATAGGAGTCTCAGAAACTAAAAACTGCACCGGTGCCCACGTTTCCCGATGCCGGTTTATAGAACTGGGGGAGGTTAGGAGCTCGATATGGCACGAACGAGTAGATGACCTCAGCTCGATGATCGCCGCCCATGTGAGATCAGAAAGCGCATACTTCCATAACTCCATCAACGTCAAACACAAGACAACTATGGGCGATGCAGAAGCCTAATGGTGGACATAGTGGGCTGCACTCACCAGATCCAATGGTCACGGCTCACGGTATCAAATCACATACACGTACAGATGATCATTTTAGAACAATTGTCGTTCCGCTGGGCTATGCATCTCCCAGTGCCTGTGGAGTCATAACGTGGTGAGCGTGCATTAATCCTGTCAAAGCCTCGATGTCGATAGCGCTGTGGCCAAACCTAGAAGGACCCGCATGCATACGGCAGCCCGGTACTGTCAGTTACCGTCCCGGCATCCTCACTTCAAACTTACGGACAATCCATTTTTCCCAACACGTCTGCAGCAGCACGGCAAGGGCCACAAAAGTAGCAAGAAAGAGATTAGATCATGGCTCAGGAACTCATGCGAAGACATGAATCAGATATAGTCTTATGGAGGGCTTCTGGTTCTCTCATCTGGTTGTTTACAGCTCCAAAAATCGACTTGAGTTCCGCCGAACACACACAGGCTGTTTCCTAAACTGACAACAACACAGTAGGGCAGTCTCAAGACGTATCTGGAGTCGGAAGCACTCGTTGGGCGCGATAGAACTGCAGGGCCCGGCTTCATCGTGAAATCCGGATTGCCCTGAACTCACCTCTCTCTTCCACACAATCTCATCTAATCATCCCAAATATGCGAGGATTCGTATGATACAGGTCTCCTTCGATCAGCCCGCTGATCGCACGTCACGATGGATTGCTACGTTAAGGGTGAGTTCGTCGGTCGTGCGTGCTATAGAATGTTCTAGTCGTCTGGCCATGCGGTTATCATCTGGCCTATCCCACAGTCTGACAGTCTTGTATGCATCTCGCGGCTTCCCTTCCTCTCGAATGAGCAATTTCATACCTAGGAAATGTATCAGCCGTGTCAAGTGCTGCGATTAGGTGCAGCGGGCCCCTGTTGCGGGAATTGAAGTAAACATTGATGGTGGACGGCGTGATGACCCCCCTGGATCCGACGTGCATGATGGTGGAGTGTCACATTGGCAGATATTTCGCACGCGTGGACGGTAGATTCTGCGGTTGCTTCTTCTCTGATGACTTTCAACTACCCACTCGTATTGCATGACTGAAGGTGTTAGTCGTTGATTTCCCGCTTCTCTTAGATGGCAACCGTGAACTCAAAAGCTAGGTGATATCGAAGCTTGGTGCCTGTCACCGCAGCGAAAGTCCTGCGGTGAAGGGGTACAAGCGCATCGTCAAGTGGCGTGTGCATGAGTAATTGCGAGTGAGGATGAAGGCTTTTCCATATACTGCGTGTGAGTGCACCGCGGCACTTTGTAGGGAAACGTGATGTTTTCCGCCATCGCTCTCACTTACGGGTTCCGCCGGATGGCACTCCAGGGAGAAAAAGGTACTGTTACTTGCACTAGGTTCGGGGCAAGCTTTGGAACAGACGCCATCTATCTAACTCTGCTGAGCAGTCTGCCATTTTGCCTTCGACAACGCGAAGCGGTTCCGCGGAACGGAATATGCTGTAATTGCTGCTGCGCAAATGAAACCCTCCTCTGGACCACAAGGTGAAAGTGTAAACTACAATGTGGTCGATAGCATAGGGATTTCATTACAGAAATTGTTTTAACCATGAGGGTTCGCCGTCTGCCGTGCGCATCGACTTTGACCGACGACAGGTCGCAACACACTTGGATATTCTATCGACATCGTGCAGAGCATCTCGAAGGTCAGTGGATAACAGGCTTCAAATAACGAGACCCCATTGAGAACGAGCTCAAATGAGCCAACCTTACTACTCGACATGCCTACTGAAGTCCAGGAGTAGCGACATTTTCCTTTTATTACAATGTTGAACCATGCTGTTGTGGTACTTAGCTAGCTAACGTAGGGACCACGATAGTCCCCTATTCCCGCCGCACGCCTTTAATACGTGATTTTTTTTTGGCGTAGAATGGGCTCCAGAAGCGTTTCGTTGCCGCAATCAACATGGTGAGTAGTGATTGTGAAGGTGATGTCGAAGAACCAGCGGGTATGTGACCGCCTTGTGTTGGTTTATCTACAACGGCTGTGAACGGGGGAAGGCGGTGTGCAGTTAAGCGAGTGTTGCAGCGATGTAGTGCTATCTCCTGGCCCGGTGGTGTAGTGAGTTGAGCATCCCTATATACACACGCTTCTGATCGACTGTGAGGTGATGTCGGAGAACTAGCGGGTGTATGACCGCCTTGGGATCGTTTATCTGCAACGTTGGTAAACGTGGGGAGGTGTTGTGCGGTTGAGTAAGTGTTGGGGTCTTGGGGAGGCTGAGCGAGTTGAGCGTCTCCATATACACACGCTTGTGGTCGATTGTGAGGTGATGTCGGAGAACTAGCGGGTGTATGACCGCCTTGGGATCGTTTATCTGCAACGTTTGTGAACGTGGGGAGGTGGTGTGCAGTTGAGTAAGTGTTGGGGTCCCGGGGCGGCTCAATGAGTTGAGCATCCCCACATTCCCGCGCGTGTGGTCGATGGTAAGGTGATGATGGAGAGCTAGCGGGTGGGTGACCGCCTTGAGTTTGCGTATCTGCAACATTTGCAGTGCTTGTGAATGCGGGGAGGCGGTGCGCAGTTAAGTGAGTGCTGGGGTGATGCAGCACTACCTGGGGCGGTATGATGAGTTGAAGGTCTCCATGTACCCACGCTTGTGGTCCAAGAGCGGTTGCAAGTTCTCCAATGAGAGTAGAGGCTGCCGGACCCAAAATGAATGCTTGGCTTGTGCATATAGCCATGGTCTTTTTACAACGGGTAAGCATGACATTGGTTCGTCGCTGGTTAGCCAGGAAGCCAAGTTTGTCCGATCTAACCACAGAAATAATGATGTGATCTGCTTCGTTGCCTGGAACAAGGGTGAGTTTGGAAGGCAGAACCGGGATGGGGGAGCAAACCTTGAAATGAGTCTACGTTGAACACTTTGTCTTCGTAGCGTAACTTTGCATCTTCCAGCTCATGTTCAATGAGGGCGCGTTGAGCGTCGTATGGTGTGATGATACGAAAGTCAAGTCCATTAGCCTGGTATTCGCGGGCAATCTGCACTACGACTCGTGCTTCTGAAGGATTCTACCTCGATATCAACAAACAGTCACTGCAATCAAGAAAGTAACGCACTGTCCAACTCTTTCCTGATCTTCTTTCCTGTCCTCTTTCAACATTGACGAAGCGGCATGGTAGACTAACCGAGTTCTCGTGGCAGGTCTTCAGCTTCCCATCGTAAACTTTTCGTGATATGAAGTCACCGATGGCGCTCGGCATGCGGTCTGCAGAGGTTGGTCGACATATGTGAGCCGGAACGAGTTGACTCACATTGTGTGTCCAAGAACAGTTTTTCTTTGGCAAGGTGGTCGACTTCGAAGATGCTCTGTAGTGTCGAGATGTCCTCTTGACCATAAGGTGGCACTGCAACGCAATCAAAAAACGAACAGAGGCATGATCATGACTGACACTGCTTATCGTCTCCAATAAAGACGATCTTCTCCAGGGTGTACCTAAAACGGTCGAAAACCGAAAGATAATTCCCGACCTCTATCTGACTCCCTTCGTCAAATATTAGAATATCCACTGGATTGACTTCGACGAAGGGTGCAATATGGTCGTTGGATAACATGCCCACGGTGCACAGGATGACCCTGGCGCCACAGAGTTGCCTGGACGCGCCAGCGGCATTGTGACTGAACGTTTCAGAGCGAATGAGGCGTGGTTCAAGCCTCTCGTAAAGGTGCTCATGCCTATGACATTTGCTGAGCAGAAAAATTTCCAGGCATGTGGGCACCCACCAATCAAAGTGGAACTTCTTCGACACCAGCAATACAAAGTCATAGAAACCTATTTTGTCGAACTTCTCAGCAATGTTCTTCACAGCGACATTCGACTGTGCGGCTATCCAGACAGTCCGACTACTAGCATCTGAGAACGAAATAATGCTAGTAACTGCAGCAGTGATGACTGTCGTCTTGCCAGTGCCTGGGGGTCCCTGAATCAAAACCACTCGATCTGTACCTGAAATAGACAAGATTTTCTCGATGGCTCTTTCCTGAGAGGGATTGACTTGAAGATTTACACAAGAAATCGGTATCTTGGGCTTGAGGTGGCCCGATGGCATCCACCAGATTGGATGTTTGGGAAGCCATATGGCCTTAACAAATGGATGTGACAATAGGGTCGACTCCCCCTTCAAGATAGCGAGGATAACCCTCTCGCGACAAGCCTCTGCAGACGTGGGGTCTGCCTTGCCAATTGTCGTCACGGACTTTATTTCGTCGCCATCAAAGGAACCCAGAATTTTGATCTGGGCTTCCCGTCCTTCGGCGCGGACAGCACGACCCGGAACTTGAACACCATCTCGTGTTTCTATCTGCAAGAACTATACAAAGAAAACATTCATGTACATCCGACTCAGATCCATTTCTATTAACATACCTGCTCAGTCGAGCTTCTGATACGAGTCGAATAGCGACTACAGGTCAACGTGAGTTCATCCATATTCATTGTGATGCCTGGCATAACATCGTTCTTCACAGAGGTTGGCTTCAAGGAATCCAAAAGCTCCCCATCACGGGCAATCTTGGCAAGCACTGCCATATACTGTATCAGAAGGACAATGCGAGGTAATGTGAGTGAACAGATTAATTTTGGCCACCGGCACATACCTCATCCGGTATCATATTTGTTCTGATTCTTCGTAATGCCTCGAAGCGCGCGGCCATGTGAGGGAGGATGGCCGCGTGACAAGTTGCCCAGGCTTGCTGAGCAAGGCCTGAATCTGATACAGAACGCGACTCTTCATTGAAAAATAACGCTTTCACGTTTGGATTTTGTAAAGTCAACTGGCCACCCATGGCGTTCATAAGCGCCTGCAGGGATCGCCTGCCACTCAATGACACCGAGAGCATGTCTACTGCACCATCAATGCAGAGTGCCATGTCCAAGTACAATGCGATCGCAATACGATCCATTCTGAAAGCGTACTTCTGGTAGTTTGCATTACAGAGAATTTGTTGCTGGAGGAGGTTCCTTCCTTGGATAATTCTATTTCGCTTTCTATCGTTCCTGCCTAGAGAAAGATCACTGCTAGTGAGGTGCACCACCAGAGCTCTAGACGGTGAGGAAAATGCAATGGCACTAATTTGGCAATTGTCTCGATACGAAGCAGAGATACCAATGGCACCTTCGGACATCACTGTACTCAGCAATGAGCGAAGGTGCCTTGCATCTAAGGAATCTTCTGATGAAGTCTCGAAGACGATTTGAGAAGAGTAGTTCCGGAACAATCTGGGCGTAACAGTCGATAATGCAAGAGACATCAAGAACCAGTTGAAGGGGGGATTGACGAAGGCAAGGAACAGTGACCCTGAAACGCGGAGAACATGCCTTTATATCTGATGGCCATAATGAAAGTGGGCGCTGGGCGATCCACAGCACCAGGTAGCCTGCAGGTAAGGAAGCATCCTGTGCAACACGAGTTAGTCACGTCTGGGCACCCGAAGGATATTAGACACGCACCTGAATGCCCCACCGAAATAGTCACTCTTGCAAAGGTCAGAAATCCGTGTAAGTTCGGGGAATGTTGGCACTTTCCACGATGCGGGTATGCAGATGGAGGTGCACTTGGGTACAATGGTCCAAGGGCATCGGTACGCATGACCTCCATGCAGCCCATCAGTGGGAGAAGACGGTTCAGTGAGCTCCATTGTATGGGAGTCATATGTCACCTCTCCGATGCTAGTCTTTATACTTACTGCTTACTCCTCGCACATCTGGCACTCCCAGAGTAGTCGTCAAGTGAACTTCCGCGACTTCCCCGCTCAATCACGCTGACATCGCTCATCGTCGCCTTCGCTCCGCGATCTCGTGTCGGACGTTTCCATGCTACTTCTTCATGGCCTTGTACACGTCCGACACCATGCCTAGATTTAGGCGGCTGATCACATCCCAGCGAACTCTGCGTGACTTGTATTCGCCTGTTTCGCTCTTTTTTCCGGTGTTATCTTCTCGTACGTGTTGCATCCGTCCTTCTATTTACATAACTGGCCGTTTGTCGCCCCTCCTAAGTCCGATGTTCGAGGTGGATACACCCGAGCTGCTTTGAGGCTGAGAGTATTGCATTATAGAAGACAAATCAGATCGTGGGTCAGTGGAGGTTTGATCACGTCAAGATCAGATTCAATTGTGCGCAGTAGGGGGTCGGCATCTCTACGTGGGTGCTTTCGTTACTATTCCAGCAAATTTCAGCATTCCTTCGGCCCTAGATCCCACCGTCACGCCTTCACCATGATCAGCTAAGAGGCTCTTTTTTTTTGTCTTCAGCATTTGTTCGGTGTTGGTTGGGTGACGTACTTTATAGGTGGACGTGATGTTTCCCTCAACGGCAGTTCCTCTTACTCACTTTGGGCAAACCTTTGGACAGGCAAAATCAGTCTAACTAGTAACGAAATACGATTCATAGGAGCGGAGTCTGTCGGATACAACAATTGCATCCTCATCCCCGTTGATTCCAGTCAAACCTGCCCGTTCACATTCATATTGGTCTTCGGCACATGCACCGCCAACCTCCGAATCTGATTCAGAAACGACGATGACAGGTGAGTCACACGTCAAGTGGGGTTTCGTTGGTTTGGGCTGGGTCGACGGCGGCGGCTGAGGTGAAGCACCGATGCGCTTTGGCAGCTGCGTCGACGTTGGCGGATAAGGTGCCACTTCCTTACGGGAGGAAGAATCTCGAGTGTCGCTAGCACCGCGTGTTTGTACGCTGTTTCAGACGAGCCACGTCGCACTGTTGGATGAGCCGGGGTGAATTGATGATGCTTTCGCCTTTCCTTTCCTATTTGTGTCGTGCTTCGGATGTGAAGGATGTCTCAGTGGGTGTCAAAGCTTGCCTCTCAGCCTCCTCCACTTGTGCCAGAAAATCGTCGTCAAAATCCAACCTTCCAGAGTTCAGGCTCTTCCTTGGTTTCTACCCATTGACCGCTGTCATAAGTCCAGTGATGTGTTCCCCCGATGGCCATACCGCTGTACCTCTGGCCCTTGAAAAACTTGTGCTCGTTAAATCGGGTGTAACTAGTTTGAGAGAATGAGCCTTGTGATTCCAGAGACGATCTGATACTTGTAACCGAACGAACGTTCGGTCCGACATCCCGCAGATGATCAAGATGTACATTTTCCCTGTTCGAGGAAGACATTGAGGTATGAGATCCAGCGTTTGCCTTAGCTGCCATGCCTGCTTTTCTGCTGTGACCGTCATCAAAGGTCCTCAAGGCGTCGAATCATCGCTTTGCCACGTGAAACTAAATTCATCGTGTTGCTGGACACGGACCGGAGAAAGACCAATATCTGGGACCAGCGTGGATATTACTTTGCCCTTTGCCGATGGTGAGAAGTGAAGCGAAGTTTGTTGCTGCGTGAAGCTAGATGTTGCCCGCTTTGTGGCAAGGTTAGACTCCAGATTGGCTGACCGTGCATCGGTACTTGAACTGGATGTTATGTGCCTTGGCACATCTTCAACCGAGTCCACATTACATGGTCTGGCTGAGCCGGCCACCTGGGTTTCGATCTAGTTCAATGCATCTAACACGTCTGGGTCGATCTCGTCGTCCTCGTACATGTCATCAAGGTCTCCAGGCACTGTAGGAGGACGAGACGGCTCAACCGGGCGTGTCGGGACAGCAATGGGCTGCGGAGGAAGCGGGTTGGCGAGGCTGGGATTCAATTTGTAGTAGAACCCCGAGCTCTGGGTCTGGACGTCTGGGAACAGGGAACTCCATGTAATTTCATGCAACCACAGCCAAAGAGAATGTCACTTACCCCCTTCTGAGTCCCTTCAAAAATACTTCTAATCTGTGAGCATCATGGTCCTCCGTGCAGTAGCCTTCTAAGTGTTACATTAGAAGGTTCAAGGAAAGCGATCCCATTCCGGATCGGAGTGGAGGTTAAGAGCATCTGGGGGCACATGTCACTGAATACGGGTGACAGGAAATACAAAATAACCAACGAACAATACAAAGAACATACCTTGAAACCTAATGGGGTCTCTCCAAGCACCAATTCAGGCATACCTAAATTCTATCGCCCGGAAGAGGGTATGTCCATCCGACAACTCGAGGTGAGGCATGCCACAGGGGAAACGTGGGATGGGACCTTGGTCTTCATCTTGCTGTCCTTGTCCATGTTCCTGATGATCCCGAGTTTCGACGGCCAAACCACGATCGGCACGATCGAGGCGCGTCTAGTGAATGTTTAGGAGACTAAACGCAGCATGCGCGATTTCGGTGATAGACCTAATTTTTACCAACAATGGGACAGAACTGGTAGTTTCTCTTTGTGGACGCTGCCCCGTTGGCTTTCGAGTCGCCCATGAGCTGGGCTTACGGTCCCGTCCCCGTGGTCGATATGGAAGTGGACGGTTTTCAATTCGGACCAGCTCCGCATCCAAACCGGTACCAGGAACTGTTGAATCCTCGAGATTGGATTGGAGGAGCTGTGTCTCGACGTGCGAGATGAAGTCGTGGAAGTGGGTGGACAATGATGTGTTGTATGTACTCGATATCCAATCACAACAATCCGACAGCCATTCCTTTCAAATGGAGTGTTAGGGCGGCAGAGAACGCGACGTGCGGACTCACCGAATCTATGGTTGGACGCGGATAGTTTTGCGAGACCCACCTAACGACACGTTTGGGCGCTGGAATAATATTAGCTTGGGGAGTCGTTCGATAGTCGACTGCGTCGGGCTGTGATAGGGATTCTAGTACGTAGGAGGCACGACAAAGTAATAGAATATTGTCTTCGCGCGAGTGGCTGTGCAGCCGCGCGCCTCGTCTTTCCTTCCTCCATCGTCGTCAGAACCCAGCCTACAGCATGGACATCTCAGTGTTCAGTTTTCATGCCCTTTTCTCATCACTCCTTAATTCCAACCAACTAATCCACTCCTTTGACACCCCTTTTGAGGATCTCCCCGAGCACACCCCAGATTGCAGGCAGTCCCTGGCCTCTTGGCACCACAAGCAATGGACACTCAACAACCTCAGCAACCACAACAACCCTGACTTCACCCTACTGGCCTTCCAGGGTGTAGTAGAGCTCATGATGGCAGGGGAAAACTTGCCCTAGGAGGAAGCCATTCAAGCTCTAGAACAATGCTGGGCCCAGAACAACCTGCTGGGTGAACATCAACAAGAGGACCAGCCACACCAAGAAGAAGTGAAGCTGCGACCGTGAAAACAGATGGTGTGGTCATGGCTGAGTCAGGACCCCATCACAGTGTGACGGATCTGAAATGGGTACGGTGGGAATGAGTGGGCTGTCACCCCAGCGACCTAAATGGCCATCGCGTGCAGGTGTGCTGACGCACAGACTCCCTGCGGGCAATCAGATTGCCTGTTCCCTCAGCCCCTCCCTGAGCCCTTCCATCCATGCCTCCGATCAATGGCATCTGCAAGCAATGCGAGTAACAGTGAGGAGTTTCGCTGACTGGTGATGCCCTCCCTAACACTGTGGATGGAGTCCTCAGTGTACAGCAACACCATTGAGTCCATCGGCAAGGCCAGATTGAAGTACTCACCAAGACAGAGATGGGGACCGGCAGTGAAGAGACCGAGGGTGCCATCACAGTGAAGACACTGGTGAGATCGTGATGGAGCAAGTATTTGGAGTGTGAGGTGAGAGGTAGGGGGTAGGGTCGACAGACAGAGGTTAAACGGATGGTCGTGAGTGGTCCTCGCTTATAAGCCCCTCGATCGACCTCTCATGAAGCCAGCATACGCTGTGTGTTATATCTTATGCTTTGATGTTAGGTGTCAAAGCTGGTGATGTGTCATATGACTTGGCTTTACATCAGCCATTTGTGGTGAGTATGCACTATGCTCAGCTGTCATGTCACAGGATCGGAACATCTTTTTTCATGAAAGAATGGTCCAGTGGGTGGGTCGCGGTGGTTGTGCTTTCCCTGCCAACTCAGGGTGTTCCTTCGAGGAGTCTCAGCACTTCACAGAAAAAATATGGTCCTGGGTGGGTTCTGAGTGCCGTTTGGTGTCGTACAAGACACTGTTTTGGTTACCATCTGTGTTCGTGTTACCAGCTTGTCTAGCTATGACTAATGATGATTGGAAATTCACTGTGTATATAGGAGGCCATCAACTCTCGCAGCTTTCCCCATTTCCTCCAACAAACCAACATGTCCGAGTGAGCCTTCGATAGCTATCCTGGACTGTGTCATGCTGTATCTCTGTCCGAGGCATCGCCCCTCAAACTCCTTGATGTTTCATATGACATGACCTCTGAACAACAAACTCTACCTGGTCCCATCTGTGGCAGCGTCGACACCAACAATGAATTCTCTGCATTTCAAGCCACACTACTAGATGCATTGAAGGGGGTGATGGAGGGAACGGATGCAGAATATAAACAGTCTGTTTGTCCTGTTTGCTTTGCAAAACAAGATTACTCAAACAACTTAATCCCCATAGCCTCATGCAGCAGTGTCAGAGATTCCTTGTGGGCATGGGATGGTTGCAAGGTGATGAGTCATTCTATTCCAACCAACCCCATCATGATGTGCCGACATTCATCACTGCCTGGATTATGAATGTGTATCCCCCATCTCTCCTGTTTATTATCACTGCCTCAAAACTGATGAAAATGATGTTGACTCTGGCAGGTGTGATTCAATTACACTGAAGGGCACAAGTAAACTGCCATCTGAGGAACGAGGCACTTATGGCCATGCGCAGAAGATGAGGGCAGCGATGACCTATGCCTTTGGGTGGTTACATGGGCTCGGTGATATGCCCTGGCATCAGTCAGAGGTACCAGGGAATTCCACCATGCTGGGGAACCCAAGTATGTCAGTACAGGTGTCATCTTACATGTGTACCTTACGGCGCCGCAAGGTATGTGTCTTCATCTGGGATATATATGGGTGGTGAACGGTCTCACCAATACCCCTCCCTTACACTTTGCAGGTCCAAGCTGGCAAAGTCGCCATCAGCGCATGTGCAATCACATCAGTTACGTTGATACCACTGGTGCGATGGTTCTGGGAAGCTCACTACTCATTCCCACAGGAGATACTCTCACAACTCTATCATTTCAACCATCTACCCAACAATTGGACCATCCGTCCATACCAGCCTGGCACTCGTCGACCTTGTGACCCCAACCATCATGGTCAAGATGACAGGTTGGCAGACTGGGGCGGTGCTCAGGCCCATCGTCTCTTACAAGCTGCCTATACAATTGCATTCATCTGCCTTCTCCAATTTGATGAAGTTTTGAAGATTCAAGTCCACAACATCAATTTCATGTATGATGCCACCGGCACCACAACTGGCATGTCCATTACCCTCCCTTTCTGTAAAACTCACCAAACCGGAGGTGAGTGTGTGTGAGCTGTGCTGACAGCATGGCGAGGTTATCTTGGACTGATTGCACCGGCAGACATCAAACCATATTTCCTGTGGGCGTTCCATCAATCGGAAGCTCACCTCTGCGCTGTAAGGGCCATATCTGAGTGGATCATAGCATCCAACATCATGTCTGGTTACCTCTTCCACAAAATTGCTTCTGGTGACTGTGTTGCAGAAGCCAACATACCAATGGTGAGATAGAGTTCTGCACCTCAGGCTTGCCAAGCCAATCAGCTGGCTGATATGGTATCTGGTTCGAAAGTCGTCTGAACAGTTCCTGGAAATGTTCCGAGACAACTTGCTGGACCTCAACATCGATCCTGCAGCTTATGGCACCCACTCTTTTCGGTGGGGAGGCTGCCAGTACCTCCACATCGAATGACAATGGCCTCTGAGGAAAATTTGTGAATGGGGAGGTTGGAGTCAAGAATTCACTAACCTCACGATAGTTAAGTACCTCATCTCAGTCAACGATGATGCGATGGAGGCCTGCGAAGATTTTTTCAACCCAAATCACCGTCCTGCACTCAAATGCCCACACTGTGGATGATCTTGTGCTTGTGCTTGACTAGCGTCTCTCATTTTGCGGGGGAATGATACTCCTTAATGACAGCTCCATGTCAGTACCTGGTTCATTTGAATTGGCCAAGCAGTTCCCGAGTTGTTTGCATTTTCGTGAGAAGGGCCACCCTCGAGGTCTTGTCATCATATCTTGTCTGTCTCCTCACCATTCCTCTCGCTTTATGGTCTGTTCATTCTGCTCACTGAACCCTATTTGGAGATACCTCATTCACCCAGTTCTGTGCAGTAGTCCTCAAGATATGCCCATTTTTTGTGACTGGAATGGCTATGAGGCAATTTGGCATGTAACTTGGGTCTGTATAGGAGTCCCCCACCATCTTCGGGATTCTTGTATTGATTCCTCCAGCCCTTGTCACTCAGTGGTCTGTCCTTCTCCCCATGCTGGTATCTGGTGATGTTACATGTGTCGTATCCATATCCTGCCTGTTCTGGCATTCCACCTCTCACCCACAAAGTGGGTGGGATGTTCTTGGACAATTTCGCAGGTATCATTGCTTATGCTCTCCACCACACCAAGCTCCATCCATCCATCACGTTTGCTGCGCTAGTCTTCAAAGACCAAAGGTGTGATTCCCCACTGCCTGTGGCTTGTCTGCCTTCCAACTTTTCATTTCCACATTTATGCTCACAAGCAAAGTAATTTGTGACGACACAGTGGGAGCTGAATGTGGATCCCTCGATGCTAAGTGAGTTCAAGAGTATGATATGGAAAGATTTCGCAGGGATGGGCCCTTTTCCAGCTTACATCTTGCCATCGATGAAGAAATCGACACCCCCTTCATCAGCAAACCCTTTTGCGCCTCTCGACCATCATGCCCCCCACCATCCATCCTCCACGGTCTGTGTACGTCCTGCCACCTTCACATTCCACCGTCCCAATATCCCAGAGGCGTCCCTCTCTTAATCTACGTTGTCCACCTCCCCTGCTTCCTCTGCACTACCACCTATGCCCATTGGCATTGAAGAGCTGTCAGCCAAAATCATGTCCACATCATCTTTGCCAGGGTACTCCCCAATGGAGCATGTACACACCTTGTTGTCAAAGGCGAAGATGTTGACCTTTGTGTCACCCGCTGTCTGGTAAATAATGTCTAGCTCTCCACATTCATTTTGTCAATATTAGATCTCTTTCCATCCATCTCAATGACAGCTGCAAATGTATTATATATGTCATTGTTCCCTCCCCAGTCTTGCAGGGTATGCTATTTAATGGACACGGTATCTCCATATCTATACCCTCTACTCTCCTCCTATGTACAATATGAAGAAATCAAAAGGACTCTCTAACTAATTGTCAAACGTGGCGAAGAGGATAATGGGAAAGCTTACAACTTGAGGAGCCTATATTAACTATTACTTGTGTTTCAGCTTGCCACATACTACATACTATACTGGTCACATAGTGGACTCAAAAGTGCAATAGGGGCTCACAGGCATGTCATCACTGTGACCACTGCCATCATCATACAGGATTTAACAATAATGGGTGTTACAGGCCTTTGGCAGGTAAGTCTGGAGGCTGAATATTTGTACTACTTTACACACAAATTTGGTTTCGGTAGGCAGTCACTCCAGCAGCAAAGAAATATTCTCTGCAAGAGCTCATGGTCAACCACATGTTTAATCTGGATGGCACAAAATGCTCTGAGCATCCATTCAGGATTGGTGTTGATGCCAGGTATGTTCCCAGGTGCTCTGATATAATCTGCTAGTCTTGGACTTAAGTATTTTTACCCGGTCAGTCCAACTCTGAAAGCTTATGGATGGCCAGTTGCCAGCACTCATTTCGACATGGACATGCACAGTGTGGGCAGAACCCAGGAGTTGAGGACGCTCTTTTACAAGTTAGCACACCTGTATCGCACCCCAGCCGACGTCCTCTTTGTCTTCGATGGCCTGCAAAAGCCAGCAATCAAGTGGGGCAAGAAGGTTGTCACTATTCCACCATGGCTTACAACGTACTTCAAGGACTTTGCTAGTGCTTTCAGATTTCGGACACATGAGGTGAGGTTGAACCTATCAGACCAGTGACTGCCAGTGTCATTGTCATTTCTACAAATTTATTCTCTAGGCAGCAGGCGAGGCAGAGGCAGAGCTAGCTGCCCTCAATCAGCTAGGGGTTATTGATGCTGTCTGGACTGAGGATAGTGATGCGTTGGTATTTGGTGCTCTAACTGTGTTCTGAAGGCAGGTGACCAGATCGTGCTGAGCTCCTTCGAACTAACTTATTACATTGGTGTGTTAACAGTGACAACGACAATGACAAGTCCATTCTAATGTATTCCACTAATGGTTTGGCACAAGAGTCCACTGTTGCATTGACAAAGGGTGGGCTACTGCTAATGGCCCTCTTCTGTGGTGGAGATTACGATGTAAGTTCATGCTTGCCCACTGGCCACTGACAGGCGCTGTGCAACTCACATTGGTCACATGATAGAATGGCCTCTCATGTTGTGGATGGAAGACAACTTGTGCGCTTGCTCAACATGGTGTTGGAGATGAGCTGCTACATGCGGCGACCACTACTGTGAATGAGGATGATCTTACCACATTCCTTGGACCTTGGGTCAAGCATGTCTGTGATCTCCTCACCGAGATGGGCTGTAAGAAACTTTCTGCCACCTTTCCAACCGACTTTCCCTCCCCTGCTGTTGTCCTGGCATATGTTAAGCCCTTGATCACGTTCATGTGTGCTGATCCTGGGCCTCCTCAAGCCTTGTCAATGCTGCTCAGAAAGCTGCAAGGAATTGACTTGGAATGACTGGCTTTCCTGTGCAAGTTCCGCTTTGGGTGGTCTAGAGGTGGACCACCCATCCCAGTCCATGCCATTGAATCTTCTGGTACACTCGGAAAGCTGAAGAACCTGGTCTATGAGGGAGTTTGTATTCGCAATCTATGTGGTGTGAGTAGGCTATACCATGTCATAGTATGAATTTGAAGGCTGCCATTAATCGTCATCTCACCATTAATGCTAAATTGCTAAATTGTGATCTACAGATGGACAGAGCAGACTCAGACACTCTAGGTAACATATGCCCCCAGGGTCCATCTGAGTCTTCTTCCAAGTCATGTCCAGTGCAGCAGGGCTTCACGCTCGATTCAGTTCTCTGTATTCGCTCACAACACAAAGATGCTGCCTCAGGACAGGTACTGGTACAGCACCACTTGGGGATCGACACCATGCCATTAGCGCTCCCTGCAAAACACGGTGTTGCTTGAGTACTGAGCATGCCAGATGGTGTTCCCCAGGCTGGATTATTTGCAGATTCCGCACCCAGCACTCACCCAGCACTGAGCACTCACCGGGTCTGGATGCCAGATCCAGTGGTCAGGTTTGCACTCCCAGGTTTGCTCACAACTGGGCTGACGAAGCATGACACCGAGGAACCAAGCTGTTCTGCACACCAAAGGCTGAGTCATGGCAAGGAGATGATTGAACTCACAGACAGTGATTCCGAGACTGAAAGAGAGATCATTGAACTTACAGATAGCAATTCTGAGACTGAGAGGAAGAATAGTAGCAGTGGTGGCCACACATTTGACTTGGGCATCATTGAGCTCACAGATTCAGAATAAAAACAGACACGAAACGCATGATACAACGCACGATCTACGTCTCGTACCACAGAGTTATGTATGCTAGATAATATGCAGCTAAATAGAACCGCCCTCATCCCTGCCATGCCCATCACTCAGCCTGTGCAGCCATTTTGTGATAGCCCGAGGCTGGGTCAGGACATGGATGTTGCTGTCTTTTCTGTATGTGCACTGCATATCAAAAGATTCGCCAAATTCTTCTGCCACTTTCCACACAGCTTCCTGATCTTCTTTCTTCCGAGCCTCACGAAGGAGGACAAGAATACGAGTGTAACTCATCAGCCTCCCATTCTCACTAAACCTGCGCCAAAACTCATCCAGGGTGCCTTGATGGTAGCACTCTACAATGTACTGTGAACTCAGGATTAGATAGGCCCACTTTCGACCAAGAGTGAGTATGTATACTTGCCTTCCAGCATGTCCAGTTGTGTTTGATCCCTTTCCATTGTCAGTTGTGTGCATAACGGTACACCTTGGGCCAGTATTTGATCACAATCGGACAGCCCTTGATGGTAAGGGTGGACTGGCCAGTCCAGTGAGGGGAAGTGTCATCCCACATGGAATTGAGCCTTGGGATGTCCTTGCTGAATCCCATGGCTGTGGGGTCACCAATGTCAGTGAGTGTGAAGGTGAGAACAGTCCCATCACCAAGTGTTAGCGTGCGAACGACAGAAGATGGATTGGTAGCCATGACAGTAGGAGAGGTGTCCCCACTTGCCAGTGAGGGACAGCAAGCATCAGCAGATGGGGAGGGGAGACCAGGTGATTGACTTGCAGGGGCCCATGCAAGGCTCATACCTGACGGCACACCTAGTGGCCCACCACCATGACCTGTTGTTACTGCAACAACTGGGGGAGGCTGGTAAGGATATAGAGTGAGAGTCGTTTGTGCCTGCAAGGACACAGTGCCAGCATGAGTGATCCTGAACTTGGTGAATGGAAATGAAGCTGCAACTGACCCAGTCAAGGATGGCTGCCTTTTCTGCCTGCGTTTGGGTGTCTTTCGACCTTTCAGTAGCAGACGGGACTGTAGCATCACTGCTACTGCCACCCAGCAGCAGTGCCCGATGTTTTGCTGACCGCTTTGCAGGGCCTCTCTTGCCCTTCCCGCTACCTGTATCTTGAGCATGATGATTTTGAGGGCCTTTGTGAGATCTTTGTGCACCTGGAAGGACTCTGCATTGGAACAACTCAGCACCTGGTGAGAGACCAAGGACGAGGTAAGCTGTGACTCACCGCTGCCAGGCATTGTGATCCTGGCTGAATGCCTCCAGCCTCTCGAGAAGGACTTGTTTGGTACTGGTCTGGCTCAGGCCAAGCTTTTGACAGAGGACCTTGAGTTCCTTAGTGGTCATGACATTGCTGCATGGTAAACCCAGGGCACCACAGCCAACGATCAGTTCAGTGAACGGTGTTGACTGTCCTTCGAGGTTGACTCACATGTTAATATGTTCAACCTCGGGCTGCCTGTTGCAGCTGAACTGGCATATAGGGAATGGGAGCACACCCTTGCAACTCTGCAGTGAGCAGGGTCCATGGCTGTCAACAGATGTGTTAGCTGCTCTCGCACTGGGACAGATCATCAGGATGAGAGGGATGAAAACGGTGTCACATGCGGCTACTGACCTGAGTTTGGCAGTGGATTGAGCTTCAGAGGTGTCCCACATGGTTGCCAACTCAAGTTCAGCAGCGGATTGAGCCTCAGTAGAGTGGCTGACCATTGCCACTGCTTGATGGTCAAGCTGTTCAGCTTCGACGCAAAAAAACAACTCCCATGCAGAGGGATCATATAGGCCTTTCCGGGGAGGGCAGATCCATGCACAGATCTTCAGGACGACAGGGGAGAAGTCCGGTAAGAATTGGCTGTAAACTTTGTAGCAAATAACGAGGGAGATGAAGACAGAGATGCTGAGGACGATGCCGAGTGCAGGCAACTCAGGGAGGGTGACACTGGAGGAGCTTGATGACAAGGAGGGGACCATCAAAGGAGTGGCCATTATTGCCTGGTCTGTGGGCAGCGAATCAGCAAGGAGGGGGGGTCCAGCATCTGTTGCGATCGTTTCCCAGTGGGAGGATGGTGCGACAGCAAGCGACAGCAAGCGACAGCTGGCAGGGAAATGAATGAATTAATGAAATCAGATGCAAAAGTACATAATAAACAATCAATCGGCACTCTGTTCAACTGAGAGAGAGAGAGAGAGAGAGGCAGAGGCAGGCACGATAAGTGCAGGCAGGCGAGCGACATGCATGCACAGACAGGTGATTACCATAATAGTAAGCGCAGCCCAGGCATGTGGCCAGGTCACGTGCAGAGAAAAGATGGCCCTGCCACCGCCACCATGACAGTTCATGTCACGGCTGGTCATGAGGTGCGGTGGTCCCACCGGCAGGTGCCGGGGCGTGACAGCGGAGTGTCTGTTCTCGGAGAGAAGGACACTACCCCCTCCCCCCTGTTTCCTCCACCAGTCACTGACCCTGATCCTCCCCAATGAGCCTCAGAAACCAACCCCCCCCCTGCCTTTGATGTGGATGCCACAGTGTCCACCAACCTACTGGCTTGACCAGCTGAGTATGCCTTCAAGAAGATAGAAGCTTTCAAATTTGTACACATGTGGTATTTTACAAGGGAGGGACTACAGGAGGCTGCACAAACAATCAGGCAACTTGAGGAGAATGATATGCTAGCCATCACCCAGGCTGGCAAAGGCAATGTGACACTGTGCACTTCCAATTCCCTAACCACTTCCAAGAATGCCAAACCAGACCATGGGCTAACCTTTGTGGAATATATGTATGCCAAAAATCATTTCCTAACTTGCATCAAAAATGCAGGCTGGGGAAACAAACTAGTAGATGCATTCAACTGGTTCTTCCACAGAATTGACAACCACCACCTTTGAGACTGGGGGGACTGAGGAGAACAAGGCCTACTACACTATGTGCCCAAAGTCTGGCAAGACTGGCATGACAAAGCTGTGTGGAATCAAGTGTACAACATTGGGATCATCAATGAAGATCTACTAGCAGACATTGGGCATGACCTAGACACCACAGATGTCCAGTCAGGACTTGACCAGGTCAGCAACTCTTCCCAGACCCTTGTAACAGCAGAACACCAGACTGAAGACCCAACCCCCATCATTTCCCCCCCACTGCTACCCCTCCCTGTCCCACAACACTGCACCCAACCACTGCTGCACACTGGGGCCTGTCACCATGTTGCTGCCTAACAATGGCCACTTTTCCCTCACCATCCCATGTGCTGACCACCTGCACTCCCCCACCACTGCTACTTGCTGATGCTACCTGCTGCTGCTGCCCATGTGCCGATGGATGCCCACCACCATCCCTCACTACCCCACACCAAACCCAAATGCTCTACCATGACACTACCCATGACAGGGTCACCCAATAGCTCCAGCACAGCCATGCCCCCTGTTTAGAGACCACAGAGAGAGGTTGACAACCCTATCACTTCCCAAGATGCAGACTCTCCCACTCCCCATCCCCCAAGTCCTACCAGGGCCAGAAGCCAAGGCAATGCTACCAGAGATCCAGGTCATGCTCACCCTGCAAGCACTCCAGATCCCCACAGTGTAGCCCCAGCAGAGAAAGAAGAGGCTGCTGTGATTTTTGCACCAAAACCTACATCATATGCCTGAAGTGTCTGGGATGATACAAAGACCACCCCTTCTGCAATGAACCCATGTGATGGGACAAAACAGAGGCAGCCTACTACACATGGGACCATCACAGCTGCCTTGTTAACAAGAATGGATGCACCCTCTGCTGGGATTTCCAGCACCCCAAAGGATGCACCAGCAAGATGCACTGCCATGAATGCTCAGGCTGTGGAGACACCAAGCATGGAGCCCAGGATTGCCCTCACCATCAGCCAGCGTGAAGCATGCTAGCAAGGAGTCACCCTGACCCCATACCACCCACAAGCCTGGAAGAAACTACTTGTGCATCACCACATCACTTTGAAATACCCATCCCTAGTTGACCAATTAATCTATGGCTTCCACATCCATGTACCTAACATACAGTGAGGGACAAAAGTGTTGCAATGTTTGTGAGGTGTGACTTGCTGCCAATGTATCTTGGGCTATTCTGCACAGATCATCATGATACCTATACCATTGGAAAGGGGTGACTCTAAACTTTCCAGAGCACTGAGGTTCAGTCCAAACAAAGCAATACATGCTGAGATACACCCTATTCTTTACAGAAAGTGCATTGCAATGCTTTTGTCCCTGACTGGTGAAATAGTGAAAAGTGACCTGTTGATGGGATTGAGGGCATGAAGGATGGGAAAATATGATTACATAATAAACCACATGATCTTCCAGATGATTTGTCAGCATGTAATCAATGACAAACTGGTATAGGTATCATGATGATCTGTGCAGAATAGCCCAAGATACATTAGCAGCAAGTCACACCTCACAAACATTGCAATGCTTTTGTCCCTCACTGTACCCCAAACATACAACCCCCCCAAACAGCCCCTCCATAATGCAATACCATTGCACATTCCAGGAGATGGTTGAAAGGGAGTTTGTGTGAGGTTGATACCTAGGCCCCTTTTCCCCCCACCTCCTTGAGCAGTACATAGGCCCCTTCCAGTCATCCCCCCTTAGTATCATACCAAAACCCAGATAACCAGGGAAGTACTGACTAATACAGAACCTGTCCTACCCAATTGTATCTAGACATGATGCTGCTCCTTCAATCAACTCATGCATTGCACATAGTGTAGTCATGCTTAGTCACAACACATGGGCAGCCTGTGCACCAAAACACCAACACTTATATAGACCCCAAGATGGGCCTGCCTAAATAGATTAGCTGGTACACATGGACAGGTCTGAGGGACTAAAGTGAGAGCAACATATGTATGGGCCTGTAAGTGCATTACCACAACATATGGGAGGGCCCATGGTGGGTAAGGATGGTGAAACATTTAGATGGGCCTGTGACCAATTAAGTATACTGAACTGCTGTAAGACATGGATGGGCCCATCCTGGTAGGTTACACCCCTGTTGCAACATCAAGGCAGGCCCACCTATCATAACATGGAGAGGGTCACAACATAAGGATGGGCCTGTCTATGATTAGAATACAAAGTTGGCAACATATGGACAGGCCCAGGAGTAATATCATTTATGGTGTCACAACATCTAGACAGGCCCATCCACAATAAGCTGTACCCCTGTCACAACATAAAGACAGGCCCATCAGTAATGTCATTTCATAATGTCACAACATATGGATGGGCCTGTTGACAGTAAGATGTACTGCTGTTGAAACATAAAGACAGGCCCATCACTAGTATCATTTAATAGAGTCACAACATAAGGTTGGGCCTATTGTGAGTCAAAGTGTGGTTCAGTGGTGAAAACCAACCAAAACCAACACAAAAGACAATGAAAGTGAGTGGTGGTGTGCCTATGCAGTACCTAGATGGTAGAACCTTTGATTTGGGAGGTTTTTGCAAGCTACAACACTCAAAGATGAGTGCTGAGGGTTGGGGGAGCTCCTGATGAAGAGGGAGCAAGAATGTGATAGAATGTGATAGGGTAGACTGCTATCAGCCTACAGAAGGATGGATGGCAACTTAATTCAATGCTCTGAGCTGCACTGAGCTCAGGGAGGACTTGGAGTGAAGTATATTGATGATAGATGATGATAAGTGAAGTAGATGATAGCTAGACCCTTAATGAAGTCTCAACTATCAAAGCTGCTGAATGAATTACTGAGAGATGATAAATTGCAAGCAAGAGGGGCTCTCTGATGTCTTCTTTTTTTTTTTCCAGCTATCTAAGTACAGTGGTTTATATACAGTACAGGGGCATTGCCTATGGAAAACAAGGTGCAAACACTTGGTAAGTGATTGGTGAGTGATAAGTAAGGAATGTAAGCAGTGGGTAATCATCTTAGAAAGCATTGGTGAGCATTGGTAAGGATAAGTAAGCCAAAAAGTGAAGAATCAGTAAGCAAGGTCAAAAGATTGGTAAGTATTGGTAATAGGTGAGTCAAAGACAGTCAGAATGTCAAAGTATGACTCAAGTAATGTCAGGAACTGGGAAAGCACACTGGAATTGCATTAGGGGGTGGCTGTGCATGTCACATCTTGAAGAGATCACTTCTGGGCCAAAGTGGGATGACAGAGAGGCAGCACTGATCTGATGCTGATATAGTACATCCAAAAGTAGACAGGGTGAGTCAGATGTCAACAGGGGTCAAGCTTTGGGGGTCTGTGGGGTGACAGGAGCATAGGGGATTGCAACTTTCCCCCCCTAACCATCCTCTCAGTGAAGCAAATAAAAACTTCATGAATGAGGCTCTGTTGGAAGAGAGGACAAAGGGGGAGTGTCTTCTGCTGTATCTTGCAATAAGGAGGCAAGTGACAAAAATCTATACAGATAGCACAGTCATGCACAGATAGTGACAATGTCTGAGGTGATCAGGTTTACAGTGTAGAACTAAATACTGTAGTTGTAACAAGAGATGTGAAACACCAAGTGTTGAACCTGTCTACATACAATAAGTATTGTCTTGTTGTGAGATGTGCTATGGTTTTCATGGATAACAAGAAGACTTGCACATAAGTGTGAGACTTGACTAGGTTGGGGGTTGAAGGCTGAAGGCTGAGTGCTGGGTGTGACAACCCTTGGTCTTGGCTCATGTGCTAGACCCTTGTGCAAGCCAGGTTGAAGTCAGAGAGAGTTGAGGGGGGGTCAGGAGTGAAAGCTGAGAGTCATCTCAGGCTTAAGCTAGGAGCTGGGGGTGAACTAGATTGATATTCAGACTGAGGAACTAAGTACAATGTATGTAGAGTATATATACCAAAGACTGGTAACCCAAAGGCTGGGGTTACCAGTGAGGGACTAAATAGCTGTGCAAGGAACTAACTAAAAGTTAAACAAGGAGGCAGGGATTGGAGAGCCAAAGACAGACACTGCCTCAACACAAGCAAGGGCAGTACAAAAGCTAACTAGAAAAGCATAGTAAGGAACAGACCTTGTTTTGGCATTTGGCATTGACCTGGCATTCAGAACATAAGACTGGTTCAAGGGTCTCTCAGTATATGACAGTATCCCCCCCTTAGGGTCAAGCCATCAAGACCTGCCCTAAGGTACACAAGGTCAACAGTCACTGTGCCAAAGGGACATGTGTTCCCCAGGGTTAAAAGGTGCTTTTTTTGTGAAGATTGTTTTCTCCCAACTTCTTCATCATGTCTTCCTGTTGAGCTTCCCCATGTGTACTCAACAACCCATCCAGCTTCCAGAAAGCCACCACACCTGAACTCCAGATCACCAGTGATGATGAGGAGGCTGACATTTGGGCTACAATGGCCAAGTGCAAGCAGCACAAGGCTGTGAGGGAAGAGGCTGCCTGTCTGGAGGCAGAAAGGCTTGAGAGGGAGCAACTAGACACAGAGCAGCATGAGAGGGAGCAGTTGGAGGCTGAAAAGTGGGAGCAGGAGTGGTTGGAGGCCAAGAGGAAAGAGCAGGAGTGGTTGGAAGCCAAGCACTGAGAATGGGAGATCCAGGTGCAACAGAGGACAGGGGAGCCAAAAGGCAAGGAGCAGGAGAAGACTGTTGGTATTGTGAACACCAAGTCATGCTGACAGTGCAAGAAGGGTCAGGTGCCATGCACCTTTGGTTGCACACAGCAGAGCAAGTGCAAGAAGAGGACATGTGACCAGTGCACTGAAATGAAGGTCAGGTGCGAGTTGCCTGAGGGAGTGGAGCCTGGGACTGAAGAGGTTGGGGCAAAGGCCAGGAAGAAGAGAGCACTGGAGGATGTTACATCACTGAGGGCTGGGGAGAAGAAGAAGGTCACCCAAGTCAGATCTGCAATCCCTGGTGAGTTGGAAGCTGGTCCCTTGGGAGTGGTCATGGCCACTGCCACTCCCTCCAACCCCTTGGTGGCAGTGGTAATCAAGAGGTTTGAGCTGATCACAGTGGCCATGGACCAACAAACCACAGAGATGCAGGCCAGAAGAGAGACCCAGTGCTGGTTCAACAGCCAGCTGGGTGACCTGCTGGGTGAGTTTGAGTTTGCTCTGTACCTGACCACCCTGGTATCTGAGACCAGCAAGGAGCTGCACTTAGATGTGGCAGACCTGGGCTCAAGAGTCTCCAGTCAGATTGTGAGGGAGTGGGGATGGAGCTGGATGAGGGAATCATGCACTGGCCTGAGGACATGCATATAAAAGGTTGGTGGTCCAGTTTGGAGAGTGGGGAGGAGAAGGAGCTCTGGATGAGCAAGGGGGAGGTGTTTGAAGGGGACTCCAAGTAGAATGCTGACTGGGGTCAAACACCAATGTATGTACATAGTATTCAGTGCATCTAACAGTTCTTGGTATAGTAAGGGAAAAAAAGAGTAAGGAAACAAGAGAGAAAGAGGAGAAAGGTATGTTTAGCTAGTGACTGGTCTGGGTTTACCAGGATAACTGGCATGGAAAGCGGCAAGTAGATCCTCAGTGTTGCCCAGCTTGGTGGCTGGTAGCCAGGATGTTTCCTTGTCAGTGCTGTCATGACCGTTGTGAATCAAAGTGTGGTTCAGTGGTGAAAACCAACCAAAATCAACACAAAAGACAAAAAGAGCAAGTGGTGGTGTGCCTATGCAGTACCTAGATGGTAGAACCTTTGATTTAGGTGGGTTTTTGTGAGCTACAACACTCAAAGACGAGTGCTGAGGCCCAGTCAAAACTTACCAGGATGAGGGCGGCTCTAGTCGGGTGAGATCTGACAGGGTTGATTGGTAAGCAAAATATCCGTTTTGATCAGGTGCGAACCGGAATCAATGCATATATTGCACAGCGAGGCAGGCCGACATTGGGTGACGTAGGATTTTGGTACTCATGATCCGATCCTGACATATCTCAGCAGATAGTAGCTACCTCTCTGTCTGTAGCATAAATATGATGACAGCGGTGTGCATCTGTCTGGATTGGATTAGGGTTCTCTCATTCCGGTCTCACCAGATTCACACATATTGGGTCAGAATGCAACAAATTCCATTCTGGTCCCATCAGGTGCAGTCCAATAATACAATTTACACTACGTGCCCATATTATACACAGTACATGCGCCCCAATACCTGCGGGTAATAAAACGGCAGCCAGAACAGAGCAGGAGCGCGAGCGAGCCGTCGAGTTGGCAGTCGAGAAACCCAGGATGGAAGGTACAGCAAAATGGAACAACAGAGGAGAGCGGGCGATAAAGTGGCAGCCACAGCAGGGTGGCAGCGCGAACGAGGCATTGAGTTGGCAGTTGAGAACTTGCGAATGGCGGGTACAGCGAAACAGTGCGACGGAGGGTTCAGGCGACAATTGAGAGACACCTGCGACAAGATTAAGCCAAGCACGAATGAAAGTGAGAAGCACCTGCATTGTCTAAAATATTGTACCGTTGCAGGCAGCTGGGTCGGATGGTTTTGTCCACATTCCGTCCTTCTGAAGGTGCTCAGCCTCAAGGCGATACTTCTCTCGTGTCTCTGCTGTCAATCCATCCCAGTACATGCGGAATTCTTCGGTCGTCCCAGTCGAATTGATATGTTTGTGCCACCTAAGTGCGCAGAGGTTTCTAGAAAATGTATAGTTAGTATTGTAACGAGATAGATACTAGACATACCTCGCATTTTTTGCTGTGCCAGGTCGCATCTTAGTTTTCTTTTCCCCTTTTACTGAGGTGGTCAACGTTGACGACTCCATGTTCATGTTCGTCTTTGACTGAGAAGGTGCAAGTGGCACCTTCTTTGCAACTCCATTCGGACCAAATACATTCATACTAAGTTGAAAACGGTATCAGTTCACAATCTGTGTGATGAAAAACACTTACAGAGGATTCTGGAGTGGGAACTCGTTCTCTTTGTTCGAGTTATGGCGAGACAGGCTGGATGGACCAGCAGCCTTGGATGCCTCACCACGTGTGATGGAATTTGATTGGGACCGCGAATGGCTATGGTGGGGCATTGGTAAATAAACACCATGGGGAATATCGGGGGGACTTCGGCATGGTTGGAGCAATAGGCTGTCGTCCATGGGAACGACAGGCATCATCGCAAGTTTGTCTTGTGGCTGGGAAAAAATGGGATCTGGCTGAGGTCGCGCTGACTCGCTATTATTGTCGACTGTCACTTCAGTGAAGTTAGCACTGAATAAATACTGCCATTCACCCCATCTATGCTTGTGTTCACCCTACCTATGTCTGCGTTGCTAGGGTTCAGAATTAGGCTCTGCGTCTCTTCCACTGATAATTCTGTAGTAATATTGCATCCTCGGATTGTTGTGATCAGCCCAAACCACACAAATCGGACGAAGTAACGCACCTTTTGGCCACTTTGCATGCACGTTCATGGAATGGGCGGGGTCGCTCTTGTGCTTATTACCTTTTGTAGCGAGCGGTGATATCGTATCATTCGACTCCTCCTTAGGTTCTTCTTTTGGTTCGCTTTTCGTTGATGACGCACCCTTGAGTTCGCTGCTTGGTGTGAAGTGGTTCTTGCGCCACCCTGAATAGTTGTTGATGCAGAGCATCTCCAGCTTGAAGCCATCCTCATCGAGGCCGAGAAGGGGATGTTCCTTGAGCATATACTTGGACACAAGAGCCTTTGCAGATGAACTTATTCGGGTCCATGTCAGTGGCACAATCTGTCATTGAATGAGCTCAGCCCAAATACTGCGAGCACTTGCACAGATGGCCTTGAGCGTCTTTGCTGTAACAGGGTCGCCGTTCTCTAGTTCTAGCCATGGGGCTTTCCCACGGTCGATGCCTTGAGCTTCCGGTGATAGCACGAAAGCCTCATAGTCGGACCTTGACCAGAAGCGGATCTTCAGGTATTTTTCCCTGAGGTCGCCTTTATCCTTGCTCACTTTCGTTTGTGAGTCAATGTCCGTGAGTGAGAATGTCAGTGGGTCCATGTCATCCAGCAATTTCAGCACAGATGCGAGGGTATGAAATGCCGCCCTGAAAAGAAACAAGTCAAACAACGATAGTGGTACATCTGTTACTTACTTTATTGTGTCACGCTCGGTGGTAACCTTGGTCAACTGGTTCTGTAAGTCATTTATCTCGGTCTCATACATTGCGCCGTGTATCATGTGTGCGCGTGTGAAAACAGGGTTCTGTTGGTGCTACATGGCGCATATATGCACCCCACATAAATCAAGCTATCAATCGGGCCAAATGAAAGATGTTTTATGATTGAACACACCTGAGATGGATGAGAAAAGAAGTTATCATGCGAGAACAACTGTGATTCGTTGAGCGCATTGAACTGGTTCTGTTGGCGACTCATCCCAATCTGCGTAGAGATGTCAGGGGTATCTAAAAGACTCGATGGAGTCCTGCTCAGAAAGCCAGACTGCGATCTGGCAAGTGGGTCCATCCTTTGTCGAGAAGGAGGGAGATGGAGATAACAATCAGTTGGTGTTCGCCCAGCTTGAGACATTTCCCACGAACTCGTGACCTCCATACTACACCGTGCTACCACTGACTTCATGCAAATAAGTCTGGCTAAGTATAAACTTCGTGATGGACTTACCCATGGCTGTCCAGCATTTCTTCGATATCCCATCTGATATCGACCTCAACAATGCCGTTCTCAGTGATTCCATCACTGAGAGCAACACGAGCCCCCATTTAACTGCCTCTGACGATCAGCTTCTTGACCTGGAATATTGGCAGACCCACCCCGATCAATATGTGCAACTTAAACATCGTTTTCTTCCATACAGGCTCCCAGGAACCCCCTCCAATACAGACTGGACAGATGCGCTGTGAGTATGCTTGGATATTGTGTCTTCAATTGATTTGTAGGCATTCTACTCTAGGTTTGAGCACCCCCCACCTGTATGCACAAGATCGACCTGCCAAGTGGAAGAGACACCACACCCCGTAACACAGCACCCATCTCCTGGCTCGACGACAGAGCCAGAGTCTGATCCAGGTATGTAGGTACACAGATTGCTATCTCTAACCAGCCATAGTGTACTTCCACAAGGTTTGGAGCGTGTCTCCACCCCCCGGCTGACTATGATACAGCATCCATCTCCTGGCTCGATGACAGAGCCAGAGTCTGATCCAGGTAGGTACATGGAAGACTATCTCTATCTAATCATAAGCTAGCCCTTTGTCAAGGCTTGGAGTGTATCTCCACCCCTTGGCCAGCCGTCCCCACCATCCCAACCACAGCGCAGCACCCTTCTCCAGGTTCGACAACCGAGTCCAAGTCGGATGTGCCAGTGCACACCCAAACCCCACCACCAACAGAAGACATCTCGACGGCATGTCCAGCCACTGACGCGATTACGATCAAGAAACCTACACCCATTCGCAAAAGTATCTTCGCCACTCCAAGCCCACCTCCTCCTGGCTCAATTTATTGGAAGTATGTCTCACGAGAGGAGGATTCGAAGTGGTATGACTGGGAGGGAAAAGATAAGAATTTTGATATGATACACCGTTGGAAGAGTGAACTAGAGGAAGCGTTGTAATGATAGTTAGTCAATTTCTTATGGATTCTGAAGTGATACAGTGTGCGAAAAGTGAACAAGAAGCCATCCATTTCGATGAGGACTATAAGGACTGTAACAGCAGCTAAAAACACTAAGTACTAATCAATGGAATCTGTCTCGTTGTCATCGTTATTGTCGGCCATATCCTCCTGTGTGCCCTCCCCCTCATATGGAACACCATATGTAGCGATGTCAAGCCCGGGTCGCTCTACCATAAAAAAGCAACGGCCTAATCCTCAAAAGTTATGCGGCACCATCCTGACAACACCTGTGATTGATTTGACTTCGATGACACGCACATCCTCGTCTAGAGGGCGGCATGCGAAGACTGTCTGATACGAGAGTGAGAAAAGGTTTGCATCGGGGGGCGAGAACATTCTAACAATGGTGATGTTCTTCCAAAACCAACGAGATGTGCAGCCAGGATCTTCGTTTTGAACTCCGAGGTGAGTGAAGTACTGGACCTCGGCGACATATGTACTTCCTTCAAGTAAGAACTATGAGATATAATTAGGGCGTATGATCATTTAAATGAGTGGATACTTACCTTCACAAAGCGAGCCGGACGTATTTGCTCCAGTGGTCATTGTAGCTCTCTCCATGCTGTTTGGGCGATCTGTCCATTGGGTAGACGCAGGCGGGCCCAATGATGTATTTTGATGTTGGATGCACGTCCTAAGTAATGTGAGATCGCCCTTGCTGCAAGCCCTTTTGGAGAGATCAGACGTGGATCACGTTTGCGGAGCAAGACATATCCGTCGTCTAGCTCGACGGCTGTCAATGGAAAGGATGGCTTGTCAGGGCACAGGCTAGGTACCATTGCCTTCAGCGCGTTGACTTGACAGCGCCGGACTCCCTCACGAGACAAATTGGCATATGGATTTGATGGCTGTTGGATTTCTTGACCTAAGTTGCCAATCGTTCGCTCCATGGCCCACTGCGCATAGCAACTAGGAGGTCCTTTCTTGACTGTCTGCTGTGTCAAGTGGGCGACTTGGTGTATGCATGGTCTAATGAAGTGGAGTCGAGAGGGAGAGCGCTGACAGTAGAGTTCTTCAAAATCGAGTGGCCACTCTGTAAGCAGAAGATGGGAATCACGAAGTTCGGACCAGGTGATGTTGTTCTGGCATATGAGTTGAAATCCATGAACCAACTTACAGTAATTGCGCCAATACGGTTCCCCCAGGACTCCATAAAGTAGCGCAGGTGCGAGACAGAACATATACAGCTGAAACTCCCATGTCTTGTATCCAGAAGAGATCTTCTCAGCAGGGTTGCGCGGCTTCCAATCAAATGACCCGGGAAGGTGCTGTGCAGCGGACGAGACAAGTGCACCATGTGTCTCCCAGGCTTCGGAGGTCTTGAGGATGGCCCACGGCCATCAGGAGACATGGTCTGGGGGTGTACAGTTGATGGTACCATGCCACAACGATAGATGTAGATCCGAGAGTAGTCCTGCAAGATGCATGATATCGGGGGTAAGGCAGTCTGGGATGCCCAGCGTGCAGGAAGGATTGAGACCGAGAAGGATCAAGGGCTTGGTAATCCCAGTTTCCATGCGTAGTTTCTTGTATTGTGTTGGATTGCAGGCGGCGACCAAGTCACAGAGATTTTTGAAGTATTCGGATGTCGCAGGTTGTTGGATGTCGTATGGACTGCAGTTGGGGTGATCACTACCTTCCACATTGTAGTTGTTCGGGAGTAGTAGTGCAGGATAGTAGTGATTGCCCTTGCGGCGTCCGCAGAGTCCACAGTAGAGTCTGCAGCCATTGTGGCCGCTATGTCCCACCATCCCATTGAAGTAGACAAGTCCTGGGCCATTGGCCATCGCAAAGAGAAGATACAGGTCTGACAGGAAGGTAATATCTTGAGATGCATCCCAGATGCATAAATGTTCATTTTGTAGTGCAGCGAGATGGTGGATACCAGGGAAGAGGAAGGAGTCGACATTCTTTGGTTTGTTGGGACCTGGAATAAAGCCACCTGGCAGGACATAGCACTTCTTGTAGCGCTTGTCCGGGGCATGGTTCATAACGATCCAGATGTATATCCAACAGTCAGACTCCTTGCTTTCATAGAGCTGAGCGCCGTCAAGCGAAATCATGAGAACCATGTCGTCTGATTTGATATCACCCCGCTGGACAGCCTCAAGGTAATCCGAGCCTTTGCAAAAGTCATCAAATAACTCGATCAAACCACCGCTAGCCTGCATCTGTTCCCGAATGCGACACGTCTCCTCTCGCAGATACCCAATATCTTTATCTTTGGCATGCTGTGGATCGCGCCAGAGAGCCTGCAACTGTGGGCCAAGTGGTATGGTGACAAATTTCTGATGGGCCACACGAGACCTCCCCCCACTAGTGTGTAGTCTGATATGGTCGTAGCGATCTCCACCGCATATGGGGCACATGTCAAGTGAAGAATATGGGCCAGTGAAGGCCACGCAGGTATCTGGACACATATCATGCTCGATCAAGTCAACCCCCGTGTACCCAGCAATGAGCTTCTCGACAGTGTGATGACTAGGAATATCTGTGGCAGTCCCATCGAAACACCGGGCTGCTGATCGTCGTATGGACTCATATGCACTGATAGCGGAGTGCTCGAGTGTGAAGTATGTTTCAATCCTGAAACGGATAGCATCATTGTCTATTGTGAGTCGAGCGCGGGGCGGATTGCGTAGCCTATAGAGAGCTGCATCATCTAATTTCGCGACAGGATCGTCCAGTGAAGCTTCAGTGAGAAGATCAATGAATTTGATGGCATCCGTTTGCTTGGGATCGATAGCAAGGTGCCTGAGAGCATCAATGTCAATAGTCGCACGGGAGGTAGAGAGATTCTGATGGGCAGGTGGTGGGGAAGGTGGAGGCGGCACTTGAGGAGGAAAGTTTGTAGGCTCTCTGGGTGAAGGAGGTGGAGACGGCACTCGTGGAGGAGAGTTTGCTGGCTCTCCAGGTGAAGGAGGTGGAGACAGCACCCATGGAGGAGAGTTTGCTGGCTCTCTGGGTAGGGGGGGTGGAGACGGCTCTCGGGGAGGTGTTTGAGGCGGGTTATCATCAGCTGGTCCTGTCACAGAGGTGTTCTCACAGTTAGAATCCCGTTGGGAGATTTGAAGACCAGTTCATCCCATCTGCAGGAGTCAGTGAGAATCTGGGACCATAAAACAGGAATACTCACTTCTCCAGGTGTATTTGAACCAGTGCTGGTAGAAGCGTCTGTCTAAAGGGCCTGTAAACCAAGCATAGCTGAAGAGTATATAAAAGACGTACCTCCTGGTGTGAACATGCCTGTTTAGCGCGTCCTCGAACTCCATCTGCTGCACCTGTACCAGATCTTACTAGAGCACGGTGAGCTTGCCGAGCACGCTTGGATTTCGGTATCTGGTCAACTTGGGAAGTGCTGCAGAGCATATGGTTAGTACCTTACAGGACTTCCAAGACTTGTATGTACCGTCACATCGCATTACATCAACAAGACAAAGTGAGCAGTGCGATGCATCGTATGACGATGTAATGAATGCATGCAGTGTGGTGTGCGTTATTGATGCAATCGTGCTGTATGAGTACTTCTTGTGTTACGACGACCATGTAATGTGTTACAGAAGTGTTACATGTAAGATGAAATTGTTGGCAAGAATCCTATTTTGCCCGATTCCAATGGACGAATTCTGACCAAATCCGGCTGGAGCAGCTCCCATCCCACCCAATCCTACACAGTTTTCACTGGGGCTGAGGGTTGGGGGTGCTTGTCATGGTCATGCCTCAACCCTGGTCAGACTCAGTCTCACACTCATTCAGTCTGGCCTTGGCCTTGCCATTCCCTTACCACAGATGACCTAGCATGGTGAACACTGCTTTGCAGTGCATGTCACTTCAGTTAAGTTCTGCCCAGCCTTGTCCCTGGTCTGCCCTGTCCCAGTCTCCATTACCTTAGTCATACATTACTAATATTTGTCTTACCAATCATCTTAGCAATTTTTGCAAGACTGGCATTACTGGTCTCTGTACTATAGTTGTCTCTGGTATATAAACTCGATATGGCATGAATGAGTAAATGATCTCAACTCGATGATTGCTGCCCATGTGAGATCAGAAAGCATACTTCCATAACTCCATCAATGTCAAACACAAGACAACTATGGGCGATGCAGAAGCCTAGTGGTGGACATAGATGGCTGCACTTACCAGATACAATGTGAAGTCTTGGTCACGACTCACGGTATCGAATCACATATACATACAAATGATCATTTTAGAACAATTTTCGTTCCACTGGGCTGTGCATCCCCCGGTGCCTGTGGAGTCATAACGTGGTGAGCATGCATTAATCCTGTCAAAGCCTCGATGTCGATAGCGCTGTGGACAAACTTAGAACGACCCGCATGCATACGGCAACCCGGTATTGTCAGTTACCGTCCCGTCGTTGGGCGCGAACTTCTTCGTAGGACTGCACGGCCCGACTTCATCGCGAAATCCGGATTACCCTGAACACACAATCTCATTTAACCATCCCAAATATACGCACCTTCGATCCGCGCGCTGATCGCACGTCATGATGGAATGCTATGAAAAGGGTGAGTCCGCCAGTCGTACGTGCTATAGAGTGCTCTAATCGTTTGGCCATGCGGTTGTCAGCTGGCCTATCCCACAGTCTGACAGGCTTGTACGCATCTCAAGGTTTCCCCTCCTCTCGAATGAGCAATTTCATACCGAGAAAACGTATCAGCCGTGTCAAGTGCTGCGGTTAGGTGTAGCCGGCCCCTGTTACGGGAATTGAAGTGAACATTGGTGGTGGACGGCGTGATAACCCCCTGGATCCGACGTGCACGATGGTGGGGTGCCACATTGGCAGATATTTCGCACGTGTGGACGGCTGCTTCTTCCCTGATGACTTTCAACTACCCATCCGTATTGCATGACTGAAGGTTGTTGAAACGTTGATCTCCCGCTTTTCTTAGATGGCAACCGTGAACTCAAAAGCAGGTGATACCCAAGCTTGGTATCTGTCACCGCAGCGAAAGTCCCGCGGTGAAGGGGTAAACGCACGTCATTGAGTAGCATTTACATGCATAATTACGAGTAAGGACAAGTTGCGTGGCAGTTACTGCATATCGCCTTCTCCGCTGTGGGTCATTACTACTACGCACCGTTAATGGCACAATTTACAGTAGGCCTTCAACCCATCAATCACCCCAAATGCCTCCTCCCCGAGTCTTCACGACCACTCGTTGACGCCAGCTTTCTGCTGCGAATGGCAAGAGGGCTTCCTAATTATGTCCAAATACTCACAGACGAAGTGAGTGGCGCATGCATCCCGTCCCACTCACAGCCATCCACTGACGAACTAAGTGATCGGGGTCCCTGGAGACGAACACGAACTAAGTCCCCAAAACCGGTGGCAGCGTCTCTGTCGACCGAGCCACTGGTATGACCGGCTCACAATACATACGTTATACGATCTCTAACCCGTTCACTGGCAACCACTGGATGGACAGTGGTCTCAGGTCCCAACTTCCAGATGAGTAGCCTGTCACCTCGGGTGCAGGGGAACATCGACCCACTCTCAATAGATTTAAGGTCACCAAGACTTCAGGTAAAACGAAGAAGCAGGCAAGCTACCATTTCAGCCAAATTCTCACTGGTTGGTCTCTAACATCGTGCATCCTCGCGAGCGTCCATGTACCTATAAGTTCATTAACACCCTTGACAGGCAAACCCATGCCCGGCAAACTACCGCCAACCTAGACAAGGTACGGAGTGCAGTATTAGTAGTTAATCGACACATAGTGACAGACAGACAGATCTGGCTAGATGGCCGGCAACACGACATCAGATGCGCCGTCCGTTCCTTCTTTTCAAAGTTCTACGTGGTGCTCGGCGAATTGGAGACCTCTGGTTAGGATACCGGCATACGAATATCGCACACCCTACAGCACTCCCGAATCCCTAGAGCACCACATCCTTTTTGACTGCAAACGCCCTTGCGCAGAACTAATCTGGTTCCTATCCCGCCGCATCTAGCCAATGCCCCTTTCCCCCTGGCGAGAGATATCCCTCAGGCTCGTCCCCGGATCTGGAAACATCGCCATCTCATTACCTCACGACAATACAATCTCACGCACCAACAAAACCTTCTCAAGACTGTCGAGGATCATCCTATCGGAATCTGTCCACCTTCTATGGGTCATCAGGTGTGAACGAACGATTTAAGCAATAGCCCACTCGGCCAGCACTACAGTGACAAGGTGAAAAGCAACGATTAACCAACGATTTACTATGGGTTGACACCTGACCTCTATCTATGACCGAGAGTCTGGAACGCGTCCCTCATACAATGTGATCTAGACTTCTACAAGGACTGAGTATCCAACCTCGAGGTTTTTCTGGCTATAAGCCCTCTCACACCCAGTGCAATGGGCCCCTCTGACAGGTTCACATCCCACGCACACCCGTCACCGACATGCTCTGACGGGAAGTGAGTAAGAGCATCTTTCCTCGGACTGGTTGGCCCTGATAGCGGTCTCGACTCTCGGGTACAGTGGTTATGTAGGGCTAGACAGGTCAGTTGCTACATAATGTATCACTTCTCCCCCCAAAAAATTACAATGCGGTCGAGGGCATGGGCAGAAATTGTTTTAACCGCAAAGTTTTGCCCTTTGACGTGCACAATGCATCAACTCTGGCAGGTTTCAGATCACGGCATACTTAAAGATTCGTCACATGTCGAAGGTTAGTGGATAGTAGGCTACAAGCAACCGGGCCTCATCGAAATGAGCTCTTCCGAGAACCGACCCCACTATAATGCAGAAACTGCTTTCTTTGGGTGATGTCGCACCACGCTGTCTTTGTAACTAGCGACTATAGCGACCCCGATCGACCCCAATTTCCAGCCGCACATTTTTAACACACGGTCCTTGTTCGGTTGTAGGGTGGGTTTTAGAGGCGTTCCGTCGGCGTGATCGCGATGATGATGGGTGATCTTGGGGTGATGTCGAGGAACTGGTGAGTGAGTGACCGCCTTGGGTTCGTCCGGCCGCAACATTTGCGAATGTGGGGGGGTGGTGTGCAGTCAAACGAGTGGTGTGGCGGTGCAATACTATCTCTCGGAGCGGTGTAGTGAGTTGAGCACCTCCATATTCCCGCGCTTGTGGTCGATTTTGAGGAGATGTCGGGAAGCTACTGGGTGTGTGACCGCGTTGCGTTCGCGTATCGGCAACGTGGTGTACAGGTAAGTGAGTGTTGGGGCGACGCAGTACTACATCCCGGGGAGGCATGATGAGTTGAAGGTCTCCATGTACCCATGCTTGTGGTCCAAGAGTGGCTGCAAGCTCTCCAATGAGAGTTGATGCCGCTGGACCCCATATAAATGCTTTGCTCGTGCATATAACCATGGCCTTCTTGCAACGGGTGAGCATGACATTGGTTCGTCGCTGGTTAGCCAGGAAGCCAAGTTTGTCCGTTCTGACCACAGAGATGATGATGTGTTCTGCCTCGTTGCCTGGAACTAGGTTGAGCCTGCAAGGAAAGAACCGGAGCGAGGCGCAAACCTTGAAATGAGTCTACGTTGAATACTTTGTCCTCATGATGTAAGTTTGCCTCTTCCAGCTCATGTTCAATGAGGGCGCGTTGGGCATCGTATGGTGTGATGATACGAAAGTCAAGTCTATTAGCCTGGTATTCACCGGCAATCTGCACTACAACTCGTGCTTCTGAAGGATTCTACCTTGATATCAATGTACAGTCATTGATGTCAAGAGAGTAACGCACGGTCCAACTCTTTTCTGACTGTTTTTCCTGTCCTCTTTCAACATTGACGAAGCGGCACGGGAAACGGACGAGGTCTTCATGACAGGTCTTCAGCTTTCCATTGTAGACTTTCTGTGATATGAAGTCGCCGACGGCGCTCGGCATGCGATCTAGAGAGGTCATTCGACATACATGAGTCGGAAGGAGTTGACCCACACTGCGTATCCAAGAATAGTACTTCTTTGCGAAGGTGCTTGAGTTCGAAGATACTCTGTAGTGTCGAGATGTCCTCTTGACCATAAGGTGGCACTGCAACGTGTTCAGAAACGAGAAAAGAACCATGATTACGACTTACGCTGCTTAGGGTCTCCAATAAAGACCAGCTTTGTTAGGCTGTGCATAAAGCGGTGGATAACCGGGAGGTAATTTCCGACTTCTATCTGACTTCCTTCGTCAAAGATTAGAACGTCTACCGGATTGACATGAACGAAGGACGCTATATGGTTATTTGATAACATGCTTAGTGTGCACAGGATGACCCTAGCCCCGCCAAGTTGGCTGGACGTGCCGGCGACATCGTCACTGAACTCATCAGAGCAAATGAGGCACGATTCAAGCTTCTCGTAAAGATGCTCATGCCTATGACAATTACTGAGCAGAAGAATTTCAGAGCATGTGGGGACGCACCACCCAAAGTGGAATTCCTTCGACACCAGCAGTTTGAAATCATAGAATTCCTCGCTGGCAAACTTCTCGGCAATGTTCTTCACAGCGACGTTTGATTGTGCAGCTATCCAAACAGTCCGACTACTGGCACCGGTGGCTGAAATAATGCTGGTAATAGCAGCAGTGATGACTGTCGTCTTGCCGGTTCCTGGGGCTCCCTGAATCAGCACTACTCGATCCTTATCCGCGGCAGACAAGATTTTTTCGATAGCTTTTTCCTGAGAGGCGTTGACTTTGAGTTTTCGGCAATGAGTCGGTATCTCGGGCTTCAGATGGACGGGTGATAGCCAACGAATTGGATCGTTTGGGAGCCATATGGCCGTAAAAAAAGGATGTGACATGACAGTGGACTCCCCTTTCAAGATAGCGAGGATAATGCTTTCGCGACAAGCCTCTGCAGACGTGAGGTCCGCCTTGCCAAATGTCGTCACCGACTGTATTTCGTCACCATGGAGAGAACCGGAAATTTCGATGTGTGCCTGGCGCCCTTCGACGTGGATGGCACGACCCGATACTTGAACACCGTTCCGTGTTTCTATCTGGAGGACCTATGCAGAAAGAATGTTCTTACCCACCCAACTCCGATGCATCGTTATTAGCATACCTGCTGAGCGGAGCTTCTGATACGAGTCGAGTAGCGGTCAGAAGTCAATGTAAGACCATCCATCGCCCCCGTGATACCTGGTACAACATCGTTCCTCACAGAAAGTGGCTTCAAGGAATCTAAAAGCTCTCCATCACGCGAGATCTTGGCAAGCACTGTCATATGCTGTACCAGAGAAATAATGCGAGATTATGTGAGCGGACGAATTAATTTTGACTATTCGCACGTACCTTATCTGGTATCGTACTCGTGCTGATCCTACCCAGCGCGGGGATGCGCCCGGCCATGTCAGGGAGGATAGACGCTTGACAAGCTGCCCAGGCTTGCTGGACAAGGTCGGAAATTGATACGGGGCACGACTCGTTACTAAAAAATAACGCTTTCACGTTTGACTTGTGTAAAGTCCACTCGCCGCCCATGGCATTCATGAGCGCCTGCAGCGATCGCCTGTTACCAAATGACACCGAGAGCATATCCACCGCACTATCAATGCGCAGTGCCATGTCCAAGTACAAGGCAATCGCAATACGATCCATGTTGAATGCATACTTCCGGTAGTCTTCATTGCAGAGAATTTCTTTCTGGAGGAGGTGCCTTCCCCTATTTCGCTTGCTACGGTTACTGTCTGGAGACAGATCACCACCGGTGAGGTGTACCACCAGAGCTCTAGACGGTGAAGAGAAAGCGATAGCGCTAAGCTTGCGATTTTCCCGATACGAGGCTGAGATGCCAATGGCACCTTCGGGCATCACTGTACTGAGCAATGAGCGAAGGTGCCTTGCATCCAAGGAATCCTCTGACGAAGTCTCAAAGGAGATTTGGGAAGAGTGGCGCAGGAACAATCTGGGCGTGACGGTCGATAATGCGAGAGACATAGAGAGAGACGAGAGGGGAGGGTTTGATGAAGGCAACGAACAGTGACTCTGAAACGCGGCGAACAGGACTTTATGTCTGATGACCATAACGAAAATGGGCGTTGGGCGGTCCACAGCACGAGGCAGCCTACAGATAAGGAAGTATCCTGTGTAACACGAGTGAGTACCTCAGGAAACCCGAAAGATACAAGATACGCACCCAAACACCCATGGCGATAGTCACCTCTGGAGAGCGTTGTCCCTTGCCACTATGCAGTATGCAGATGGCGGTACAATTTGGACTAGTGGTCGTAAGGGTGGTGGTACGTACGATTCCACATAGCATCTACCGGGGAGAAGACGGTTTAGTAAAGTCCATTGTATGGAAGTCACACCACCTTTTCCGTTGTTGGTTTTTACTAGCTACTCCTCGCACCAATGGCACTCCCCAAAGCAGTAGTCTGGGCAACTTCCGCGGCTTCCCTGCCTGATCGCGTTGACACTGTTCGTTGCCTTCGTCCCGCAATCTTGCGTCGAACTTCTCCATGTTGCTTCTTCATGCCTTGTACAGCCTTGTACACGTTCGACACCATGCCTAGGTTCCATGGCTGGTCACATTCCAGGGAGTCCCGCGTGGCTTGTACCCCCCTTGCTCTGCCTTTCTTCAGGGTGTTATCCTCTCGTACAACGCGTTGTCAATTTAAATGATCGCTTATTGCCCCTCCTGAGTCCGATTCGAGATGGATACACCTGGACTATTTGTTAGTTTGGCACTGAAATACATCGTACAACAGTAATCAGATCGTGGCGGAGGTTTGATCAGATCCAACACCAACACGCAGAACAGTGAAGCCTTGAGAAGAAAAAGTCTCCATCGCATTCAAATTTCAAACTCCAGCTTTCAAAATTCCGCCCGATAACGGGTGGTACGACTTCCTTGAGCATCGAGATCTACGCGCTGTGCGCGTTTCAATGCAGTCCCGACCAGTAAACAGCCAGAATACATATCAAGGAAATGTGTCGAAGCCTCAGCCACTCCTGACTCGACCGCTACACACGAACCTTCCGTATCGGAGTAGACTCCCAAGATCGCAACATATGAATGCCATGTACTGTGGATGGTGTATCAAGGAACGACCGGGTATTTGTGGGGAGGAAGCATTCGGAAGTGGCAGGGGTGGAATAGCAGCAGGCTTTGAACAACACAGGCTGGCTAATAGTTCAATTGAGTGAGAAGATTCAAGCTCAGAAAAGGATTTTGGCGGGAGGTTTGAGCAGATCCCGTACCTGCATTGTCCCAAGCTCAAGTAGGAGCCGTAGAAACGTATTATTGTCTGGTCGTGAGGTCAGTAAAATGGGAAGCTAACAACAAACATCATCAGCACACTAAAATGGATAGGTATTTGACGTCGTCAGGGAGCACACTTCATGCAGAATATTCTGGTGCAGCCCATCTTTCGTGCGTGCCGGTCTTTCCATCTGCCCTCCATGCTCGCTTCAACTTTGATACCTGCGGGAGTGGGACCGGCTGCCTTTAATCCCAATACTTAGCACCCGGGATAACCACGTGGAGGGTAGGGGCGAATGTGTCTCGAATTAACCATTGAACTCGGATTGCGTGTTTTGGTCTAGGAGAACAACCAAGTCAATAAAGAAGGGCAGACCTAATGTTTGCACAGCCCTGTCGGGTTGCGGGATAAGCGAAAAACCCTCAAATGACAACCGCATGTCCATAGCACGTACGAACGGTGAGTTCACACAACGGATTTTGGAGAGTTAAGGACAGGTCTTAATGTAGTAGAAAATGTAAAGACTGCACTTGAAAATTAATTCAGCAATTTTTCGAAGGCGAAACTTGAAGTTTTTGTGAACGCCTCGATGTTTACCAAGACTTCAAGTTTACGCACATGTATCGACGGCGTCAGAACATCAATTTTAGCTTCAAGTTTGGTAGTGGTTTGAATGTGCGTGCAAACTTCCGATTTCGTCTTCACATTGCGACTTCAACAAAACGTCAAGAATGAACGTTGAACCCCAGTCAAAACTGGACGGGACGTAGGGGGACGTACGAGGACGAGAGCTGACAACGTTGCTTAATAGGGAAAAAAGTCGGATGTGGTCAGATGTCGCCCTGTGCCATCTCATTTCCTGCATGACGGGGCAGACCCACAGAGGACGACCGCGGCTTTTCTTCCTTTCAATCAGATCTTGTCATATTTCAGTAGATACTGTGTATATAGCATAGGTTATGACAACAGCGGCCCAGCTCTGACCAGATCTGACTTCGTATGCGTTGATCCGATCTTGTCATTTGTAGTCACTTCACAACATATTGCATTCTGACCCCACAGCATCTTGTCGTACCATACAGGATCTGTACTATACAGACCCTAATCAGGTAACATACGACCAGATGCAGCGCCTCGCGGGCGCGGGTGGGACCAGCAGGTATAATACAGCAGCACGCTCCACATCGCCGGCCATCCCAAGCGAGAGAACGAGAACGCGAGCATAAATGTGCGAGAACGATCGAATGCGAGAGAACACGAATTATAGGATACAGTGGAGGGGAACGAGCAATGCGGGTACAATTCTAGCAGAGAATTGATTGAGTGCGACCACGACAAAACAAATGAGAGTACAAACGAGCGAGAATGATCGCATGTGAAAGAACACGAATTATTGGATGCAGTGGAGGGGAACAAGCAACGCGAGTACAATTCTGGCGGAGAATTGATTGAGTGCGACCACAACAAAACAAATGAAAGTACAAACGAGCGAGGGCAATATCTAGTGGCTGGCCATCCAAAGCGAGAGAACGAGAGCGGGGAGAACGATGTCTAGTGTAGCTTGCCTTTGCAGACGGTGCTGTCAGACGGCTTTGTCCACAGACCCTCCTTCTCAAGCTGCTCAGCTTCGATGCGATAATCTTCACGTTGAGTTGCTGTTAGGGCGTCCCAGTATACGCGGAACTCCTCTGTCGTGCCGTTTTTAGAGACCTGCTTCAACCATCGCAAAGCGCACAAGTTCCTTGTGTAAAATGGAGGTTAGTAATGTTACGAAAGAGAAACTGAACTTGCCTAGCGTTCTTTGCCGCACCGGGGCGCATCTTGCTGACCTTCTTTGCATCGACCTTCGCTGTGATCGTCAGTGGTTCGGAACTTGTGCACTCGCTTGCAGGTGGAATCCGGGGCTGGGCTGGGACAAGAGGTGCCCTCTTCGGAATTCCTTGCATGCCAAACACACGAGAACTAAGTGATAGAATAAGCCTATGTCTATTGTTACGAATGAAACGTACAGTGGGTTTGCTAGTGGAAACTCGTTCTCCTTATTGGAATTATGTCGGGGCAGCGCAGATGATACAGCGGATGTCGAACACTCAGCAGGTGGCACCGACGTTGATTGCGAGCGGATAGGCGATGGCTTGGGCATTGGTAGAAACGCACCAAATGGCACGTCTGCGGCGTTCCCACATGGACTTGGAGAACGTGATGCTATGACTGGAGTTAGCGCGCAGTGATCTTGTGGCTCGGTCGAGGGCCCGCTACGACGATCAGCTTCAACTAGCGCTCAACTGATGTTAGCGCTGAACGTATCAGAATAAAGGCACTTACCGGTATCAGGTAACCCGAGGTTTTCTTGTTGCCGCAAAGCGCTCGGTTCTTCGGCGGCTGGCTGTACAAGTGTATCCGAACCTCGGAGAGTGATAATTAGTAACAGCACGTAGGAAATGAAGCGTTGTACCTTTGGATCGCTTTGCGCGTGGGTGTGGATGCGAAAGTAGAGGCAGGCCACCCCCATCATCATTCTCACGCTTTTTACCTTTTAAATCAAGGGGCGAGATGACAGCTCCATCGGATGCTTCCTCTGACTCTTCCATTAGAGGGGCTTTGCTTGACGAAGCATCCTTCCATTCGCCAGTGGGTGTGAGGTGATTTTTGCGCCACTTGGGATAGTCCGTCACACAGAGCATCTCGAGTTTGAATCCATCGTTATCAAGTGCGAATAGCGGATGTTTCTTGACCATGATCTTGTATACGAGCTCTTTGTCAGAAGTGCTGACCTTGGTCCATGTTGGCGGTGCAAGCTTGCGCTGGACGAGCTCAGCCCATGCGCTGCGAAGGGTTGTTCGGACAGCACTCAGCTGTTGTGAGGTTAGTGGGTCACCGTTTTCGAGCTCCAGCCAAGGCGCTTTTCCACGATCGAGGCCTTGAGATTCAGGAGAAAGGGTAAATGCGTCATAGTCCACTTTAGTCCAGAAACGGACGGCAGGGTGCTTCTCCTTGAGAGTACGTTCATCCAGACTAGGAGGACCCTGTGTGATGACATCTGCGAGTGAGAAGGTCAAAGGGTCTGTATCATCCGGTAGTTTCAGCACAGAGATTAGCGAATGGAAGGCCGCCCTGACAACGACCCAGTCAAAAAGCAGAAGTCACCGTGATTAAGCCATACTTAATTGTATCACGTTCGGCGGCAGTCTTGGTCAACTGGTTCTGCAGGTTGTTGATCTCCGACTCGTACAGTCCACTGCTCAGATTATATCTCATGTGCTGGTGAGAGAAACGAGACTATTGCTACATATATGCACCATTTTTGTGATTCAAGCGATGAATTGTGCCAATGAAAGAATTCGGAGAATGGAACTCGCCTGAGAATGCCGAGCAAACGAACTATCCTGGGGGTCGATCTGGGTCTGATGACGGCGGAATCCTGGCTGTGTGGGGCTCTCTGGAGTGTCTAAAAGGCTTGGTATGCTACTCATAAAGCCAGATTGAGATCCGCCGAACGGATCCATGGTATCAGCGAGGGGGAGGGGGAATAGGAGGAGAGCGATGGTGGTGGTATTAGGCAAAGGTTATTTTCCCACGCTACGGTAGTCTTTGTGGCAGCAAGTACGAACAAGTTTGGTACGGCCAAGTCTAATCATTACTACATGGACCTACCCCTTGCCATCCAACATTTCTTCAACATACCAGATGATATTGATCTCGACAACACTATCCTGAGTGATCCGAGCCTGACTGAGAGCAGCAGCAGCCCACCCCACCTAACAGTGTCTGACGATCAGTTGCTCTCCCCGGATTATTGGCTCTCCAATGCTGCTTGATATGCTCAACTTAGGCAGCGCTTTCTTCCGTACAAACTCTCAACAACCTCTTCTAATGCCAACTGGGTTGATGACCTGTAAGTATACACAGTAAATTTCTATTACTTTCCACCTCACTCTCTGTAGTTTCGATCATTCTCCTCATGTATGCATGCCAGTGGTTTTGACGATAACTGCCACGACGTGTCCATCCCCTGGTTCCACAACAGAACCCGAATCCGAGTCAGAGACAGGTAAGTAAAATTATCATTCTATCCAACTCGATGCAGCTTGAGTTGGATGACTGAGTGTGACTCAGATGCTTTGCTTCCAGCCTTGGAGTGCATCTCCACCCCCTGTCCTACTAATTCCAATGTAGCAGCTTTGGAACCGCGTCCGTCGCCTGGTTCGACAACTGAATCCGAGTCAGACGTCCCTGTGCAAGAAGCAACACCATGCCTGACTATAGCACAACATCCATCTCCCAGTTCGACAACTGAATCTGAGTCGGATGTCCCTGCGCGAAAAGACACACCATGCCTGGCTTTGGCACAACGTCTGTCTCCTGGTTCAACAACTGAATCCGAGTTGGATGTCCCTGTGCAAGAAGAAACACCGTGCCCAACTATAACATGACTTTCATCTCCCAGTTTGACAATCCCGTCTGGCCCAACAAAGCCCAAGAAGAAGAGTATATTCGATGCTCCAAGCCCACCTCTGCCGGGATCAATTTATTGGAAGTATATCACACCAGAAGAAGATGCAAAATGGTATGATCGGGCAAGAAGAAACTCTGAATTTGACACAGTTCGGTGTTGGAAGTGGGAGCTCAAGAAGGTATAAGAAGTAGTACTGTACATGTAGCAACTGTAAACTGTAGTTAACTCAATCATCATGGTCTTCATCGTCTGCCATATCATCCTGGATACCCTTGCCTTCATAAGAAACACCAAATGTAGCAATGTCCAGCCCTGGCCACTCCACCATGAAGTAACAATGGCCTACATCAGGGAACTGGTGTAACACCATTCCTACTACACCTGTGATCGATGTGACATCGATAATACGCACGTCGTCTTCCAAATGTTGGCACACATAAACAGTTTGATATGAAAGTTTGAATAGATTTGGGCTGGGGGGGGAGAACATTGTGACCACCGCTACATTCTTCCAGATCCAAGCATTGCCAGGACCTTCGGCTCAAACAGCAAGGCGAGTAAAGTATTGGACTTCCACTACATGGGTAGTCTCAGCGAGTACAACCTGGAAAATATGTGTTAGGACATATCTGTGATTGACTTTAGGACATACCTTAACAAAATGGGCTGGCTGTATCTGGTCTGGTGTGTGTAGTAGCTCCCTCCATGCAGTTCGGGCAATCTGCCCATTAGGCAAGCGCAGGTGGGCCCATCGATATATTTTTGTTGTGGAAGGTTGACCTAAATAGTTGGAAATCGCAATGCTCGCCAGGCCTTGGGGAAAGACTGGACATCAATCTCGTTTGCAAAGTAGTATATAGCCATTATCAAGGTCAGCCGCTGTCGATGGGAAGAGTGTCTTTTCGGGGCACAGACTAGGTACCATCGCCTTTAATGCATTGACTTGGCAACGCTGTACTCCCTTGCACAACAAGTTAGCATATGGATTTGATGGCTGTCGAATCTCCTGACCCAGGTTGCCGATGGTGTGCTCCATAGTCCACTGGGAGTAACAGATAGCAGGACCCTTCTTGGTTGTTTGCTGCATCAAATGGGACACCTGATGTACACATGGCCTCATGAAGTGGAGTCGGGCTGCAGACCTCTGGCAGTAGAGTTCTTCGTAATCGAGTGGCCATTCTGTGAGTAGTACATGGGCATCACAAAGTTCTGAGCAGGTGATATGGGTCTGGCATATGAGCTGGAATCCTCGGACTAGCTTGCAGAAGTTGTGCCAATACACTTCGGGAAGGATGCCATGCAGTAATGCAGGCACAATACCGAACATGTACAACTGGAACTCCCACGTCTTGTATCCAGATGAGATCTTTTCAGCGGGGTTATGTGGCTTGTGATCAAAAGAACCTGGAAGGTGCTGAGCGGCAGATGATACGAGGGCACTGTGGAGTTCCCAAGCATCAGAACGTCTGAATACGGCCCATGGCTATTGTGAGAGATGGTCAGGGGGTGTGCAATCAATTGTACCGCACCACAATGATAGAAATAGATCTGAAAGGAGGGCAGCAAGGTGCATAATATCAGGAGTGAGGCAATCAGGGATGCCAAGCATATGGGAGACATTGAGACCAAGAAGGATGGCAGGTTTGGTGATGCTAGTTTCCATGCAAAGCTTCTTGTATTGTGTTGTATTGTGAGTGGCAACCAAGAGACAGAGATTTTCAAAGTATTTGGAAGAACTGGGGTCTTGGATGTCATATGGACTGTGGTTGGGGTGATTACTGCCTTCCATGTTGTAGTTGTTTGGGAGAAGTAAGGCAGGGTAATAGTGATTCCCTTTGTGGCATCCAGGGAGTCCACAATATAGACGACAGCCATTGTGGCCACTGTGCCCACCATCCCATTGAAATAGACCAGGCCAGGGCCGTCAGCTGTTGCAAAGATGAGATACAAGTCTGATAGAAAGGTAATGTTTCGGGATGCATCCCAGATGTGTAAATGTTCATTTTGTAGAGCAGCAAGATGGTGGAGGCCAGGGAATAGAAAGGAGTCGACATTCTTGGGTTTGTTAGGACCTGGGATAAAGCCACCCGGCAGGACATAGTGCTTCTTGTAGTGCTTGTCTGGGGCATGGTTCATAACAATCCAGATGTATATCCAGCAGTCGGACTCCTTGCTTTCATAAAGCTGAGCACCATTGAGCGAAATCATGAGGACAATGTCATCAGGTTTGATATCACCCTGCTTGACAGCCTCAAGATAGTCTGACCCTTTGCTAAAGTCATTGTAAAGATCGATCACACCACCATTGATATGAAGCTGTTCACAGATCCGCTGCATCTCCTCTTGTAGATACTGAGTTTCTTTAGTGTGCTCAGGATTGCACCAAAGTGCTTGAAGTTGGGGCCCAAGCAGTGTGAGTCAAAGTGAGGTTCAGTGGTGAAAACCAACCAAAACCAACACAAAAGACAATGAAAGCAAGTGGTGGTGTCCCTATGCGGTACCTAGATGGTAGAACCTGTTCTTTGGGAGGGTTTTTTGCAAGCTACAACACTCAAAGATGAGTGCTGAGGGTTGGGGGTGTTCCTGACGAAGAGGGAGCAAGAATGTGATGGAAAGCGATAGGGTAGACTGCTGTCAGCCTACAGAAGGATGGATGGTGACTTAATTCAATGTCCTAAGCTGTACTGAGCTCAGGGAGGGCTTGGAGCGAAGTATATGGATGATAGATGATGATAAGCAAAGTAGATGATAGCTAGACCCTTAATAAAGTCTCAACTATCGAAGCTGATGAATGATTTACTGAGAGATGATAAATTGCGAGCAAGAGGGGCTCTCTGATGTCTTCTTTTTTGCTACCTAAGTACAGTGACTTATATACAGTACAGGGGCATTGCCTATGGAAAACAAGGTGTAAACACTTGGTAAGCAATTGGTAACTGATGAGTAAGGAATGTAAGCGATGGGTAATTGTCTTGGAAAGCATTGGTAAGCATTGGTAAGGATAAGTAAGCCAAAAAGCAAAGAATCAGTAAGCAAAGTCAAAAGATTGGTAAGTATTGGCAATAGGTGAGTCAAAGACAGTCAGAATGTCAAAGTATGAGTCAAGCAATGTCAGGAACTGGGAAAGTGCACTGGAATCACATCAGGGGGAGGCTGTGCATGTCACATCTTGAAGAGATCGCTTCTAGGCCAAAGTGGGATGACAGAGAAGCAGCGCTGATCTGATGCTGATATAGTACATCCAAAAGCAGACAGGGTGAGTCAGATGTCAACAGGTGTCAAGCTTTGGGGGTCTGTGGGGTGACAGGAGCATAGGGGATTGCAACTTTCCCCCCCAAACCATCCTCTCAGTGAAGCAAATAAAAACTTCATGAAGGAGGCTCTGTTGGAAGAGAGGATGAAGGGGGAGTGTCTTCTGCTGTATCTTGCAACAAGGAGGCAAGATGTGCATCACACTCGTCATGGATGCGATCAGGGAGAGTGGAGAACAGTAGATTATACTGTAGCTGTCGCAATTTTGGAAGAATGATGGATGAGACTGGTATGAAGACATTGCAGGGGGCAGGGAGGAAGGATCCATATGCTTCTTGGACTGGAGAGACTGAAACGACCACATAAGACCTTTCCAAGCGAATGACAGACCTGAGGCGACCAAAGAACGTCCTCCTGGAGGTCATACTGACAAAAAGAACACGCTGTCCAAGCTGGATGGGCTGAGAGGGGGCAGACGAGGGTGGGATGTACCAGGACGCTTCAGGACAGAAGCTGGTAAGAACTCCTGGTAGATATATGTAGACATGGTCCCTAGCAAAGGGGACAAGCGAAATGACTGATGTGGAGGCAGCCATATCAGAAGAATTAGTGAAATGAGCATCTTTTGGAGGGAGTGCTGTAGAAATGTGTGGAGTGCACAAATCCTTTCCAATCTTGGAAGGTAGGATCACGTGGCTGAGCACTACAAGCGAGTGTGGCAATGGTTTTGGTGTCTGCAGAACTGGTGGAGATACATCAAAAACTGGAATGCCATACATGGGCGCTTAAGAATTTTATTGGCGCTTAACTCACCTCCTCCTTTTTCTTTGGCATTGACAACCTGTTCTTGTGCAAGGGATGACTGCCGACATTGCTGGCTGTCCTTCTTTGCATGAGGGCTATGGTCTTCACCTCCATTCATCAGCTACATCCATGTCCACCTCACCAAACACCTTTGGTGTGTGACAGTGGTATAGTAACAAACTTGCGGCAGGCAATGTGAGATCGCCCACCACTGGTTCACAGTTGGATAGCATCATAGCGATCCTCACCACATATGGGACATGCATCAAGTGTAGCATATGGGCCTGTGAAGGCTATGCATGTGTCTGGGCACATATCATGTTCAATCAACTCTACACCTGTATATTCTGCGATGAGCTTCTTGATGCTGTAATAGCTCAGCACCCCCATGGCATTCCCCTTGAAACAATGTCCTGCCAATTGTCTGATGGACTTGTAGGAACTAATGGCAGAATGTTCAAGTGCAAAGTATGACTCGATTCCAAAACGAATTGCATCATCATCAACTGTAAGTCGGTCACGAGGTGGATTCCAAAGTCTATGGAGTGCTGCATCATCTAATTTGGCGACGGGATCGTCTAGCGATGTGGTACAGAGGAGTTCGATGAATTGAATGGCATCTGTATGCTTTGATTGGATAGCAGCATGCTTGAGAGCATCGATGTCAAAGACAGTACGAGAGGGAATGTGAGCGTCACAAACAGGTGATTGGGGAGCCTGAGGTGAAGAAGGTGGGGGAGCTTCTGGGCTTCCTGGCTGCTTGTCTTCATGCACTTGATGGGGTGAAGCAGGGGGTGGGGGAATTTCTGGGATTTCTGATCCTCTGTGGCCTTGCTTGTCTTCATGCACTTGATGGGGTGAAGCAGGGGGTGGGAGGACTTCTTGGGTTTCTGACCATCTATAGCCCTGCTGGTCTGAAGGAGACAACCGCAGATTGTCTCGAGGAGCTGGAATGTCATTCTCCCCCACCTAGATGATTCAGTATAAACCCAAGAGCAAAAAACAATGCTACATACCTCTAGTGTGTGTGGACCACCATCAGTACGCCCATCCATCTGTAAATTGTGGGTATAAGTCAGTGAAAATTGGAAGAATACATGGGACATACCTCACACTCTGAACGTGCCTGCTTACAATGTCCTTGTGTCGCATCTCCACCACCTGTACCGCGTTTCACTAACGCATGGTGGGCTTGTCGAGTACATTCAGACTTAGGAAGTTGGGTATTAAGAAAACTGTAGGGACTGTTATCAGGCCGATAGCATGACCCATATATATACTACATACCTTTGCATTGCATAGCACTGAGAGGACGAACTCAGCGACATGATGTGTGTGATGTACATTGTATGTTGTACTATCAGCAATGTGATGTATGTTGCACTATTGGGAATGTAATGCATGCTGTATGTTGTACTACATGGACTCCAGACATCGCATTGCTAATGTAATGCAATTCATAACAAATTACAATATGATGTACTGATGGCTATCACACCTCATCCAATTTTGTCTGAGGAAAATCCCACAGATCTGACCTTAGCAGCCTACGTCCTCCTGCATCCTGTCCAGTTTTGACTGGGAATGAACTATGTTCATGTGTTGACCAAGATTCCAAATATGCACAAACAATAAATACTCTGCCTAATTTTGAAGTTTGGGACAAGGACGAAATATTGATTGAATTGTAAAGTATGATGCACAGTTTATATGAATTACCTGCTGGTTGCCCATTCATCACCCACCTGTCACCCACCAGAGATCTGTTTATAGTACTATGTAGGCATTGACTATTAGACTACTGCCACCTTCATCCATGGGAAGTTTACCAGAGAGACCTCCAGTACTTCCAACTGTCACTGGCTGAGCCCCTTAATCCAAGTGTCATCATATAAAGCAATTGGTAGACCTTTAACTGGCATCCTGCCACTCTCACAATTTCTGGGTGCACGAATTCTTCTCATTGGCCGAGACCCCTGTGGTGAAAAAGTGTCAATGTCAAGGAACTGCTGAAGGTCCACAATGTCAAGCTCCCACTTGATGTGACGTTGCCATTTCATATTCTTGATGCAAAGTGCCCCCTCCACCTCATTCTTGACATCACTCTCTTCTGAACTCGCACCATGTTCACTGAGGCATAGGACAAGGTCTTGCAGCCACATCCAAGCTGCAGTGTTGGCATCACCCTCATTGGTCTTCAATTTCATGATGTGTTCAAGAATAGTTGCTCTGCATGTGAATTTCTAGCCACAAAACCATAAGCCAAAAGTATACAGACAAGCCAGTATCAGTGAAAAATGTAGCTTACATTGCAATGGCAGGTAGTCTGACAACTCAGTTTCAAAACTTCTCTCTCCTCTATCAACATCAGTAAATCACTTTTGCTGGCCAGAGCTGTCCAGAGCTGTCCAGCACTGGACAGATTCCCTAGGACTGCCAGCACACAAAGTGGTTTACTGATGAACCATGCCTCCATTTCAGCTGGTGTTTTGATGACACCATGCTTGGTCAACTTCGGTTGGGCCTTCCTCCATGTCATCCTTAGTTGCTTGTAGCAATCCACAAGTAGTGCTCTGAGATAGTGTTCCGAGCACACTGTTGGCCAGTTCTCTTCCATTGACCATGTACACAGCTCTTGGAGAAGGAGATCAATTATGGCACTATTCCATGGGGAGTTAGCATTACACATCATATCAAAGACTAGCACATCAGAATCAGGGCCAGGTCCATCCTCAAATTCATATGAATGGACATCAATGGGATCTGCTGAATTGCAGGTGACAAACTCAATGTCTTGAGTAAAATGGAGTTTTTCCTTAAACAGCCTTCACACTTTGGCCTGTCACAACAGTCAGTAAATGTTGCCCAAAAGACAGGATTTGCATTACCAAATAGAAGCTACATTCATTGCCAGATTCTGCATCTCTCTCCTCCTGTAGCTCTTGACTCTCTGCATTCTTCCTCTGGGAGTGGGGGCTACATTTGGTATTCAGTGAGAACTGACCACCACTGAGCATGCTTTTCACAGTGCTCTCAATCCCTTTGGTAATAGCTTCCATGAACTGTAACACCTGTGGGGGAATGTTGCCTTGTGGACCTGATGTTTGAGGTTCTGGTGTGTCAAACTCCTGCTGCACAGAGGGGGCAGGAGAAACATCAGGTGTGCCATCCTGTAAAATACATGAACTCTGGCCATCTGGACACCACAACAATCAAATTCTCACATCCATTGGTATACTAACAAGATGTGACCAGCCTGAGATTCCATAAGTTCACGTCAACTTCTTCAGTGTGTTGAGATTTGGTGTGGGTGTCAGCTGTGATGCTAGCACGTTCCCTCACTGTCTTGGTGGAGGTGTTTTCAAGAGCAGCACCTCATCATTGTCATCAACATCACCTTCATCACTTTCTGCAAAGTGGGACATTGGCACATCATTGCCATCTCGATTCTGATCTGCAATTTTCTGGGGTGGGTGTCATGTGTGGTGGCAGTTGAGACCTGTTACCTGTAACAATGTGAGCTCAAGGCCAGTGTTGTCGAATGAATACTTCCTAGTGGTTGCCTCTGCCACACATATTGCTTGTTATGTTTCACCCTTGTTTACTCTTTTCCTCCTTACATTTACCTTGTGATTTGATCTGTTGGACTACCTTTCCTTTTCAAGCCATCTTCTTGTTGATCTGACAGCTCCTTGTTTCCACCACTAGTGTTATCCTCTCATTACATGCATAGAATGTGTGTCACCATTGCTCAACCAATGGCATAGCTACCTCATTACATGTGGATGCCTTATGGTCCACTTCTTGTACAGTATTTAGTCTGTTGGTTCAAGTCCTGGAAGACCCAGACTTGAGCTGCTCAATCATATGCAGTGTTCTCAGAACTTCACCCTCAGTGTCCCTAAACAGGACCACTCTTACTGGTGTTTCCCCAAATCCTCTGTCATTTACAGAGGTTACTGCAGCCATTTGCTCAGTAGAAACCATAGTCTGCATTTGAGCTCTCCCTACATCTTGATTATGGTCAAGCATAACAAAAGCTCAAGTCTACCAGCCTTTGGCCAAACTGGTCACTGTTTAGTGCACCACCATGAACCCCCCAAAAAATCAACGTTGGGTGCTGCTGCGACCCACTTGTGAAGAGTCATCATCTGATGAAGAACAGGAGAGCACTGTCACTGACACCTCCTCCAATGAACCTGAACAACTGGATAGAGGATTTACCTCTGGTATCCTCTTGAACCTCTTTACCCAGTCCCTTGCAACACCCGGTGTGAGTCAAAGTGAGGTTCAGTGGTGAAAACCAACCAAAACCAACACAAAAGACAATGAAAGTGAGTGGTGGTGTCCCTATGCGGTACCTAGATGGTAGAACCTGTTCTTTGGGAGGGTTTTTGCAAGCTACAACACTCAAAGATGAGTGCTGAGGGTTGGGGGTGCTCCTGACGAAGAGGGAGCAAGAATGTGATAGAAAGCAATAGGGTAGACTGCTATCAGCCTACAGAAGGATGGATGGTGACTTAATTCAATGTCCTAAGCTGTACTGAGCTCAGGGAGGGCTTGGAGCGAAGTATATGGATGATAGATGATAATAAGCAAAGTAGATGATAGCTAGACCCTTAATAAAGTCTCAACTATCGAAGCTGATGAATGATTTGCTGAGAGATGATAAATTGCGAGCAAGAGGGGCTCTCTGATGTCTTTTTTTTTTGCTACCTAAGTACAGTGACTTATATACAGTACAGGGGCATTGCCTATGGAAAACAAGGTGTAAACACTTGGTAAGCAATTGGTAACTGATGAGTAAGGAATGTAAGCGATGGGTAATTGTCTTGGAAAGCATTGGTAAGCATTGGTAAGGATAAGTAAGCCAAAAAGCAAAGAATCAGTAAGCAAAGTCAAAAGATTGGTAAGTATTGGCAATAGGTGAGTCAAAGACAGTCAGAATGTCAAAGTATGAGTCAAGCAATGTCAGGAACTGGGAAAGCACACTGGAATCGCATTAGGGGGAGGCTGTGCATGTCACATCTTGAAGAGATTGCTTCTAGGCCAAGGTGGGATGACAGAGAGGCAGCGCCGATCTGATGCCAATATAGTACATCCAAAAGCAGACAGGGTGAGTCAGATGTCAACAGGGGTCAAGCTTTGGGGGTCTGTGGGGTGACAGGAGCATAGGGGATTGCAACTTTCCCCCCCAAACCATCCTCTCAGTGAAGCAAATAAAAACTTCATGAAGGAGGCTCTGTTGGAAGAGAGGATGAAGGGGGAGTGTCTTCTGCTGTATCTTGCAACAAGGAGGCAAGATGTGCATCATACTCGTCATGGATGCAATCAGGGAGAGTGGAGAACAGTAGATTATACTGTAGCTGTCGCAATTTTGGAAGAATGATGGATGAGACTGGTATGAAGACATTGCAGGGGGCAGGGAGGAAGGATCCATATGCTTCTTGGACTGGAGAGACTGAAATGACCACATAAGACCTTTCCAAGCGAATGACAGACCTGAGGCGACCAAAGAACGTCCTCCTGGAGGTCATACTGACAAAAAGAACACGCTGTCCAAGCTGGATGGGCTGAGAGGGGGCAGACGAGGGTGGGATGTACCAGGACGCTTC